ATAGCCTGTGCCACTTGCCACTTTTGTTCCGAGTAGCTGAATCTAAAACAACAACAATAATCACCATTACGGGCTATTCATGCCCATGCCACCTCTTGGGTGGTTTAATCTTTATCAATCATCATCATCATCAGTTTAATGGCAAGAGTGGTTCAGTAGAGAGGCTTGAGAGACACCGCACATCCTCAACCTTGACCAACACCAACACTGTAACACTGGACGTGTCCAGTTCCTGCCCTCAACACGACCCTTCAGCCAGGACACCCACCACACACCCACACTCTGGCCACATCCACCTCCCACGCTCTCCTCTCACACTCAAAACCCACTAAACTATGTGTGTCTAATCAGCCAAATACGTACACGTAAACAGTACGTTACTACGTCATCAGAAGCAATGGGAAACAAAAATTTATATTTGAAAACTTGTGTAAAGTTGAAAATTATTAATTTGAAAAATTAATTACTGAAAAATTTATTTTACAGTGATTTATGATGTTTATAGTAAATTTGTGGAGTGACTGGGAGGTACCGGTACCAGGCACAGCCCGCCTGGTACCCCCCAGGAGCCACTTAAAAAGGTCCCAGAGTTCCCCCTGTTTGGCAGACAGTCAATTACCTGAGTTGACTGCACACCCTCCCGGGGACCAGAGGCCAAAACATGTCCCCTCCACCTCTTAAATGGGGCAAGGAGAAGTGGATCCGAGACTACTGTAACCAAGAAAAGGTGGGTGAAGCAAAACATATAAACAATAATGAAAATCCAACCAACCCGTCCTCAGGCTGTGTCCATTCCATCCAGCGGCCGACCCCAAAGACAGAATCAAGTTTAACATGCTGTTCATTCAAATTATGAATTTTCTCAAGTATAAATGAATATGATTATATATTTAGGATATTGTGCATGTTTAGGCGCAGGTTAAGTTATGTTAGGTATTTAGGTTCTGTTGCCAATTATTCAACCCGTCCTCGACTCAAGTCTATTACATCCAGCGGTCGACCCCACAGACGCATTCATAAATTTTAACATGCTGTTCATTCAAAACAGGAATTTTCTCAAATATAAATTAATATTATGCTATATTAGCATATTGTGCATATATAGGCATAGGGTAGGTTAGGTTCTGTTGGCGATTATTTGTATTCAACCCGTCCTCGACTCAAGTCCATTACATTCAGCGGTCAACCCAACAGACGCATTCATAAATTTTAACATCTGTTCACTCAAAACGGGAATTTTCTCAAGTATAAATTAATATTATAATATATTAGCATATTGTGTATATATAGATGACTATATTGTGTATATTGTAGATGACTGCATCTACAGTACCATCACACCTACTCTGTTAATTTTCAAAGTAGAAAAGACATTTCTCACCACTACTCCACCAAACAAGGTTCTAAGGTAAGGAGACCAAGTAATGAAGAGAAATGCCAAGCATTCCTTCAAACATGTACTTACCTGGAAACGAATAAAAACCAGCTACTGATTGGAAACCTAATTTCCAAAATGGAGGATATCTTCAAGGAAGTCAGTTGTCTACAAACATAGGCACATGTTAAGAACTTTTGTAACATTACAGAGAGAATATCATATCAGGTGAAAGTGGGAAGGAAGATGCCATAACTCGACAACAGATGGCTAATAAAATTCTTCATGTTTATCACAAAGTCAAAAGAATGTGATATCGAGCTCCAGAGTATTTACCTAGTAGAAACTGCTGCAAAAATAATGAGAAATAATGTCAATTCTCTTGACTCTTCTAGAGAAGATACGTATCTATCTCCAAGTGATCTCACTACAGAAAGGTTTCTGGATTACATTTCTACAGTCTAAAATTGCTACCTGGATTGTACCTGAATGGGGTTCTGGGAGTTCTACTACTCCCTAAGCCCAGCCTGGGGCCAGGCTTAACTTGTGAGAGCTTGGTCCAACAGGCTGCCTGCAGGCCCACATATCCACTACAGCCTGATTGGTCCAACTCTTGTTGCTGAAAACTATCCAGGTTTTTCTTGAAGGCTTCCACTTTTATTCTGGCAATATTTCTTATACTTGCTGGGAGGGTACTGACCTTGCCTTATGTACTTTTGTTCTCATATTGACATCCTTAGTGATATTTAGCGCCTTTTGAACATCCTGCGACTTTGATGGTGCTATATAGTCTCCCCAGCTTGGTGCCTTCTTTTGATAATTACTTATTCAAAATGTATACAAATGGCTAATGAGAATAGTGATTCAAGCAATTTTCCAACAATGAATGTTAAGGCCAATAATTCAATGCAAGTAATCTATATCCCTTCTCAAACATTTGCAACTCTCCACAATTTTGGTACTCTACTAGATTGTAACAATTAATAAATATACAAGTCAAGGGTATATTAACCCCTCAACTGCTCGGCTTCCAAATATGGCAATCCCCCAGTGCGCAGGAAATAAATTCTCTGGAAAAAATTATTTGTTTATTTGAAAGTGTCAAAACCCCTTCCCTAAGTATGGGTATGTTAACAAAAAGTCGAAATTGTAGTCGAATAGTTTGGCTGCTATAAGGTCCGTAAGTTCGCACGTGACATCATCAATCCCTGGTCGCCAGTGGTGTAAGCTCCTGGGGCCAGTAGGGTGCCTGGGGTCAAGATGCGTGAGTTGCCATGAATATATTTTTGTTCAATTTTTGCACACGGTTCCAAATATATTTTATTTGTTTTTTCATGCCAATCCTACATATAATGAATACGTACACTATATTATGGCAGTAGAACATCCGTACTGTCCGAAGACACAGTGTTACATGTATGACACACGTGTACACATATCCGGCACATATTTTCAATGTATCATATTAATATATGTATACATACAATCTATTTACACACTGTACAGTATCACACACTATATACACACACCATAAATACACTCAGAACTCCGAGAGTGTGAGCTGCCACATGCAGCCAGTCCTCCCTCACTCCTCCAACATCGTACTCGCCATCACTCTTCCTCCCACAAAACTGTTATTCGCACCAATGTTTCATGTTCATTTATGTATATTTACAACATATTACACACTATACACTATATACATTCACCATCAACACTCAGAACTCTGTGAGTGTGAGCAGCAACAGCCAGCCAGTCCTCCCTCACTCCAACATCTTACTCACCAACATTGTTCCTCCCACCATACTATTATTGTTTTTATTACACTATTTACACATGTTATATATACGTATCTACATGTTTTATTCACCAGAACTATGCAAGTAAGCCTGTATTGTCAGCACAGTGGTCACCATACACTACATGAGAAATCACACAGCAGCCAGCAGACGACACTACGATTACAACGTCACCTCCCTCACCAAAATAGCTCCTCCCAACATACTCCTGTTGCTGTTATTGCACTATATACACACATTGTTTATACCCGTGTACATATGTGTTCACCATAGCGAACCACTAAGACCATAGAACCACTATGGTGAGCAAAACAAGAGTGGCTGCCACACACGGTGAGGCTACCTCGATTCCCTCCCTCCCTCACCAAAATTCCTCCTCCCACAATACTACGCACATATGTACATGGGTACATACACACATTGTATATACCCACGTACATGTATATTCACAATAGTGAACCGCTATGCTAGATGGTGAGCAAAACAGAAGTGGCTGCCACACAATGACACTATCTGGAGTCTCTCCCTCCCTCCCTCCCTCACCAAACCTCCTCTCACAATACTACACACAGCGCTAATTATCACCACAATCCTGCTATTATCACAATTCTGGTCAATGACCAGGCAATGACAATGTCAATTATCACAATTCCTGTAAATGAATAATTGACCACAAGTTTATTTTGTAATGGAACCTACGAAGTTGTCTGATTCCTAGATGGAAGAAATAATGCTGTTGTGCTGTGGCTAGTGCTGTGAACATCGTGAACAGCATTGAATCACTGATATTTGAACATTGTACACAGTCATTATCACACTCAGACTCTTCTGTATTACTATCATGGCTAAATAATACACACACACACACACACACACTCAGGGAAAAATATTTTTGAATATATATATATATATATATATATATATATATGAACATATATATATATATATATATATATATAGCTTGGAACCAAGATATTATTAGGCAATGCTGTGGTCACAATGCTGAACAGCAGTGCTGTGAGCTCCTGCTGCGTGTGCCAGTCTTGGTTGCTCACTCAGTACTGAGGTTCTCACACTCAGGAATGTGGCCCACGATTTTTTTTAAAGATGGCGTCTGTTTACAAGAGCCCTGAGGAAGCTGATGTGAACCCATGTAGCCGCGGGAGTTTTGAATGGAACGCTAAAAATATAAATACTGTACCCAGAGGCGCGTTGCACACCCCCGTTGAGGGCCAGCAGGCGCGTTACGCAGTTGAGGGGTTAAGCTCGTTCTTACATTCTTTTAGGATCCTTGCAAAGACTTAAGAAAACTGGTTTTGTGCAGATTTAGATTTGAAAATACCAGTAATTGAATTGTGACCAGTGGAAGCATTTTTTGAGAGGATATGAAAGTGAATTAAGCCACAGGTTATCAACTGATAAATAATTATAGTAGGTTCAGACGTATATATGAGGAAACACGTTTGTTGTGTGGAAGTTAACCCAAATATGCAAGCAATCTTAAAATTCTTTCAAGTACTTTGTAAGGAATGCTTGTGAGTGACACTGGTCTATAGTTAAGTGCCTCTTCTCTATCTCCATTTTTGCAGATAGGCAACACATTTGCTTTCTTCCAGCAGCTGGACAAGTCCCCTTGTGTAAGTTCGGGGATTGAAAGCCAACCTGCATGAAGCAAGATTGTTGCTCTATCGTCCAGACCCCTGACGAGAAACTACTAAATATCAAGATAACAGTGGAGAAAAATGCAAGCATGTTTTTTCTTAAATCATGAAAAAGAAGGTACAACTGACAGTGCACAAAAAAGGTTGAAAAAATAGATACTGTACTTAAATATTGGATAATATAATTAAAAATTATCACAGAAATACTATGTTGCCAATTGGGAAAATATTTCTAGATTTCTCTCCCTCTCATCTTCAAGACTCTGGGGATAATTGTTCTTCTTCTTTCTCTTTTTAGCTTCTCTGTCAATTGAGGTGTGGCACACCTGAAATACAAAAAAATATCTGGAATTTCTACATGTGGCACCCTCACCCCCAAGAAAAAGATTTTGATACAAAACTTCTTAAAAATTGCTTGAAATGACAACATAAACAAAATACACAAGTAAACTTAAAAGAATTTATAATGGATTTTGTTTAATAAACAATAATAAACAATGTGACCCAAATATTAATGTTATAATATACAGTAAAGAACACACAAGATTCTCAAAGTTATAAGTATCATATTTGCTGGCATATATGAAATGCCTAATTTACAAGGATATTTTGTGAAAAAACCAGCGTTGAATGTAATGAAACGCCATTTTCTGGGTGAGCCCCGGAGGATCCCTGGAGCTTATCGGGCTAATGTATGTTATGTTAGACCGGGACATTAGCTATGCAGTTCAGACCTACCAGGGACCAGCGCCAGAACCTGGCCCCTTCAGAGAGGTTTCAGGGAGCAATGGCCCTGGAAAACCCCATATGGTTGGGGGTTTTCCTTATCTGCCATCGACCGGGGTCAGGCACCCAGAAAGGTAGGCATAACAAAACAAAACCCACATGGTAAAAACTTGAACAAAAACTGAACAGAGAGGTAGAAAACTGCCTACAATCCCAAAGAACAATCAAACAATCAATTTACTGTCACGCCAGTCTTCCACATAGCCCTTTCCCCCCTCGGGAGGGGGAGGGGGGCCCCGGACCTCACTGCGCAGCGCCTGAAACCACAGCTGGGCCAGCCACCAAGGGGCCAAGAGGACAACTCTCCCCTGGTAAGTCTCCAAATGAGTCAGGACCTGGAGCAACAGCTGAACCGAAGGAAAGAGGTACAGGAACCCCCCACCTCGACCAGTCCTGCTGAAAGGTGTTGACCCCAATGGCCTCACAGTCGGGAAAGGGCGCCACATACAGAGGAAGGCGCCGCGACCACGCCGACGCGAAGAGGTCCAAATCGGGGTGTCCGAACGTCTGGCAAAGCCAACGGAAGGAGTCGGTGTCAACCGTCCATTCGTGGCGAGGGGAACAAAACGAGACAGGCCATCAGCCAAGACATTGGACCCCGCACGTGAACCGCCAGGAGAACCAAACCCCGAAAACTCAGCAGACGAGTCACCCATAGCGACCAGCGCCAAAGAACCAAGGACCGCATTGAACCCCCCTGGGTTCAGGGGGGTTCAATGCGCCTCCCCTGCTCCCCTGGTTCAGACAATGAACCACCGGGGAGCAGTTCGAATGGAGCCGGATCGTCGACCCGCAGCTTCGGCCTTGTGATTCTTTTCCCCTTCTCGAACTGTCCTCAGACTGGCTTGAGGTGGATGTGGAGACGCTTGGGGCCACTCCTGGATCTGGTGCGTTAGCCTCGCCAGTTCCTGCGTTGTCTACACTTTTGAAGCTGTTTGCATCGATCCTGCAGGATGCTGTGTTGCTGTTTTTTGCTTCCCATCTCGCATGCCAGCAGGCAGTGCTTGCTGCTTCTGTGGAATCCACTTGGGCACTGGCTCTTAGGCTTTCTTCGCCTTTTAACCCGTTGCTGTGTGCAGAGTCTGCAGTTGTGCAGTATCTGCATGCAGCTTCGTTTAGTTGTCATCCCATGTTGGACTTGTTGGTTCTCCAGTGAGGGGGGGGGGAGGCCCATAGGGGGGGGTCTTCCCAGAAGGATCGTGCCAGGACTCGGGGTTCATTTCATTGTGGTAGGCCAGTGGTGCTAGTTTCGGAGCTGGCGCAGCCTTCAGAACCGTCTTCATCTGGTCGGCGCAGTGATTGCTCTGTGCGGAGGTAGGGTTCTCGTAAGGGACGTTGGCCCTGTCCTGGTTCATCCCATTGACGGGGCGATGGAGGGGATGCTCGCTCTGTTTGCTCGAGTCTGGTCCCACGATTTGTGGGACTTTTGAGTCATTTCGTGCGGCCTGCGGTGGCATTGGGTTGCCCTTCCTCCTTCGGGGGGTTTGGGGTTGGCGGGGCAGGCCTCTTCTGCACTCAGTCGGGTCATCACGGATTGGGTTCGCTTGGGCGTGGTCGAAACGACCTCATCCTTCAGGTGGGTTCCCACCTGTTTCCGGTTCCAAAATGGGACCTCAGATTCATTCTGGATGTGTCCCGTCTGAACCAGTGGATTTACTGTCCCTCCTTTCAGATAACTCCTCTGTCCCAGGTCCATCTTCTGTTTGAGCCGGGTACTTGGAAAGTGTGCCTGGAACTCAAGGATGCTTATTAGCATGTTCTGATTCATCCGGGGTTCAGGGACTGGCTCAGTTTTGTTGTGGGGCATCAGGGTTGCCTTCCATTCAACTTGAATCTGGCACCTCGAGTTTTCACATGCCTTACCCCGGTCGTGGCGGCCCATCTGCTTCTTTTAGGTGTTCGGGTTCTGGCCTACATCGACGACTGGCTGGTGTGGGCTCCCAGCCGGTTCCTGGTTACCTGGTTGATACCTGGTTGATGGGGTCCTGGGAGTTCTTCTACTCCCCAAGCCCGGCCCGAGGCCAGGCTTGACTTGTGAGAGTTTGGTCCACTAGGCTGTTGCTTGGAGCGGCCCGCAGGCCCACATACCCACCACAGCCCGGTTGGTCCGGCACTCCTTGGAGGAATACATCTAGTTTCCTCTTGAAGATGTCCACGGTTGTTCCGGCAATATTTCTTATGCTTGCTGGGAGGACGTTGAACAACCGTGGACCTCTGATGTTTATACAGTGTTCTCTGATTGTGCCTATGGCACCTCTGCTCTTCACTGGTTCTATTCTGCATTTTCTTCCATATCGTTCACTCCAGTACGTTGTTATTTTACTGTGTAGATTTGGTACTTGGCCCTCCAGTATCTACCAGGTGTATATTATTTGATATCTCTCTCGTCTTCTTTCTAGTGAGTACATTTGGAGGGCTTTGAGACGATCCCAATAATTTAGGTGCTTTATTGCGTCTATGAGTGCCGTATATGTTCTCTGTATTCCCTCTATTTCAGCAATCTCTCCTGCTCTGAAGGGGGAAGTGAGTACTGAGCAGTACTCAAGACGGGACAACACAAGTGACTTGAAGAGTACAACCATTGTGATGGGATCCCTGGATTTGAAAGTTCTCGTAATCCATCCTATCATTTTTCTGGCTGTCGCAATATTTGCTTGGTTATGCTCCTTAAACGTTAGGTCGTCAGACATTATTATTCCCAAATCCTTTACATGCTGTTTTCCTACTATGGGTACATTTGATTGTGTTTTGTACTCTGTATTATGTTTAAGGTCCTCATTTTTACCGTACCTGAGTACCTGGAATTTATCACTGTTAAACATCATGTTATTTTCTGATGCCCAGTCGAAAACTTTATTAATATCAGCTTGAAGTTTTTCAGTGTCTTCAGCCGAGATAATTTTCATACTGATTTTTGTGTCATCTGCAAAAGATGATACGAAGCTGTGACTTGTATTTTTGTCTATATCTGATATGAGAATAAGGAAAAGCAGCAGTGCAAGGACTGTACCCTGAGGTACAGAGCTTTTAACTGCACTTGGACTAGATTTTATATGGTTGACCGTTACTCGCCGAGTCCTGTTTGACAGAAAACTGAATATCCAGCGTCCTAACTGGGGTGTGGGTAGCCGGCGCAAGGGTCTGTGGCTCCCTCTTCCCCCTCCTGGGGAGGGAGGGGGGGGGGGGTTCGCAGACAGCGACGTGGTTACATCATGCTCATTTGCTCGTTTTCACTTGGGGAGTTCTGTCCACTAGTTCGGCTTTCAGTAGCAATGTTAACCAGAATAGGTGTTTGTTTTGGGGGCTTACCTTTCTGGGTGCCTGACCCAGTTGATAGCAGACATAGAATGCTTCCAACCATACAGGGGTTTATATAGGCCATTGCTCCTTGTGCGTCTCTGAGGGGACCAGGTTCTGGCTCGTGGTCCCCAGTAGGCCTAGAACTCCATGCACATTGACTGATGCCATAGTCTAATATATCCATATCAGCCTGGATAGCTCCGGGGAGCCTCCGGGTCTCATCCCTGAAAATGGCATTTCATTACATTCAACACTGGGCATTTTTTTTGGTCGGGGGTTGGGTAGGGAGGGGAAAAGGGAGAAGAGAAAAGGATATGTGGCTTATATTTGTGCATATATGGGCAAAATTTAAGAAACTGGAGTTATCAAAAGATTTAATTAATGGTTATGAGGTAGGACCTATGAGCTGCCTCTTTGTTTGCATTTAGAAAAGGTGAGAACACAAACAAGAGTCCTTTGCTTTAGTGTGACGAAATCACTTACCTTTCGTTTTGGACAGTCCATACGTTTATGTCCTGAGTGCCCACACATGTGACAAGTCAATTCCAGAGCATTATGTGTTTGACATTTGTGGTCCTGTGGTTGACACTTTAAGCATTTTGAGCAATGGATCCATGAAGGCTTGACACATTTCATGCATTCATCACAGTGTCTGTATGTTCGTCCATCCTGAAAAAAGAATTACAAATTTTGAAGAAAAAAAATACAAAAAGTCCTAAAAATTACAGCTTCAAGTCAATACGCAAAATAGCTTTCTAACTACAACTTTCAGTTACTCCCTACAGTAAGAGCCTATTGTAGTACATACAGGACTCATGATCTTTTAGATAGGATAACACTTGGTCATCAGTGCTACAGGAACTTAATATGATCCTACATGACTATATAAAGTACTAAGTAATTACCTAAGCGTAGTTACAGGATGAGAGCTATGCTCGTGATGTCTCGTCTTCCCAGCACTCTTTGTCATATAACGCTTTGAAGCTACTGACTGTTTTGGCCTCCACCACCTTCTCACGTAACTTGTTCCAACCGTCTACCACTAGGTTTACAAAAGTGAATTTTCTTATATTTCTCCGGCAGCTTTGTTTCGTTAGTTTAAATCTATGACCTCTTGTTCTTGAAGTTCCGAGTCTGAGGAATTCTTCCCAATCAATTTTATTGATTCCTATTATTATTTTGTATGTGGTGATCATATCGCCTCTTTTTCTTCTATCTTCTAGTCTTTGCATATTTAATGCCTCAAACCTCTCCTCGTAGCTATTGTCCTTCAGTTCTGGGAGCCACTTGGTAGCATGTCTTTGCACCTTTTCCAGTTTGTTGATGTGCTTCTTAAGATATGGGCACCATACAACTGCTGCATATTCCAGCTTTGGTCTAACTAAAGTCGTGAACAATTTCTTTAGTATTTCGCCATCCATGTACAGTGAAACCTCAAATAACGACGTTAATCCGTTCCGGCGCCGTAATAGTCATGTGAAACGGACGTCATACAAAATTAATGTCCCCATTGACAATAATGGAAATCACATTAATCCGTTCTACCACTGAAAAACATCAATATGATATTTGATGTTTTAAATAATGGAGCAGCCTACCTTACATACACTGAACAAACCTTTATGACATTTTTCTTTCTTCAAATTTTTTCAATATTTTTTTTATTTGTCTTATAGCAAAAGATTCGTTCGGTGTTCGGCAGGTAGGCTGCTCCATGTTTTCTAAATAAAAAAATAAATAAAAAATTAAATGTTTTGAAAAACAGAACAAATGTCAAAAATGTTCATTCGGTGTTAAGCAGGTAGGCTGCTCCATGTTTCTTAAATAAAAAAAAAAAAAAAGATAAAAATAACAGCGTTGAATGTAATGAAATGCCATTTTCGAGGCGAGACCCGGAGGCTTCCCGGAGCTTTACCAGGCTGATATGCTAATGTCAGACTTTGGCATCAGTCATGTGTATGGAGTTCTAGGGCCTACCAGGGACCACGAGCCAGAACCTGGCCCCCTCAGAGAGGCAAGGGAAGCAATGACCTATAGAAACCCCCGTGTGGTTGGAATCATTCTATGTCTGCCATCGATCGGGCCAAGCATCCAGAATGGTAAACATTCCAAAACAAATCCCTATTCTGGTTAAAATTGCTACCAAAAGCCGAACTAGTGGATAGAACTCCCCAACAGAAAACAAGCAAACTAGTATGGCGTCACATGTCACCGCGTCACTGTCTGCACAGCTCCCCCCTCCCCAGAAGGGGGAAGGGGGAGCCCCAGACCTCTCATGCCAGCTATCCACCCATCAGTTCTGAGGCTGGATGTCAAAACATGCGAAAAACTGCCGACCGGAGAGAGAGAGGGTTGCCGGGGAGCCTCCGGGTCTCACCCAGAAAATGGCGTTTCATTACATTCAACGCTGGTTTTCTGGGGGAAGCCCCGTCAGCTTCCCGGAGCTAACTACTCACAGAGGAAGGTCAAAGGGACGGAATCGGGAGGCTGACACAACGCACCCCTCAACGGAAGTGAGACAACCGGCAGCAAACACCAACCCAAGGCGACACAGCCCCGAAAGAGCCCGGGGAACAACACGAGACAACGAGCAGCAAGGCCCCTATACGAACACCAAAAGATCCGTGCCTGAATGACAGCAAGCACACTCCGTCCAGACAGCAGCAAGAGCAGAGAAGCCACGAATGCCATGGGCATGGGGAAAGAACACAGGCAGGCAAGCCGCAATAACACGGCGGATAACCCGGGACACCTTCACCCGCGAACAGGGAAGAACGGAACCGGATCAACTCAAAACGCGCCCCGGACATAGAGGCCGCGGCACACAATTAACAGTGGGAAGCCTCATGGGAATATGACCTCATTTAAAATATCATCTTCAAGTTTTATCTCCGTGAGTGCAACAATGCCTGGTGTCTGCAGCTGTATTGCATCACTTAACTCCAGTATCTTTGATCTCACTCTATCTATGTTGGTGAATGCAATTTTCAGAACTTGTTCCCCCCTCTCCTTATTCTTCACTCCCCCTCTCTCTAATGATTTTGTTGGTTTGCCTTTATGTACCACTTTACTGGTCTGCTTACCCCTATCACTTTGTAGAAAAGAGAATCGATTTCTTCTTCATTCCTGCTCCCATTTAAACATTTTGCCTCGGCGAGGTTCAGTTTCAGCTTCTCTCTCTGTCTTCTCTTGAAAGATCTCGTCTTAACAACTATGCTTTCCCTACCTCATCACTTTGTAATTTTCTAGCATTCCTTAGTACTTCTTCCAACTGTTTGGCACTATTCAGGGTGATCCTCAAAAGTCGATCTTTCCCTTTTATGTACTTTCAAATCCTCCTGTAGTCGCAGACATTCTCGATGGTAGTAAGACCTTCCACGAGGCAAACAATTTTATCAACTACTTTCTCTTCTTCTACAGCTCTTTCTGATCTAAATGTTATCTCCTTTTCTTTGCAACCAAAAATTATCAGAGACTTACTTCAATCAACTGTGTTTTGCACCAATTTAGGATTTGATGCCAGTTCCTTTCTGACTTCCAGCCTAATGTTTGTTTTATCCTGGTTGCTGTAGTGTTTGGCTTCCTTTACAGCTTCTTCTATTTTTTCCTTCTCCTTGGCCACTTGTGCATAGGTGAGTTGCATATCTTTCTTGTAAACATAGGGTCACGTTTACAAAGTACAGTACTAAGGATGGAATCAAACCAAGCAGCACTGGAGGACTCTGATGAAACAAGAAGGCACTTGGTAGAGTTAGACATGACTAAGACAGTAAGATAGTTTTCCCCAATAAGATTTGACCATGAATACTGTACCAAAAGATAGATTGAAAGCATTGTTCTGGCCATTTACTATGATATATAATATGTCACTGGAAATAGAACTATCACAGAACTGAAAGACAGATAATGTAGTGTCAATATACAAAAAAGGAAACAGGGAAGAAAGGGGTAGGAGAGACCAGAGTATAATGGCACTAGAACAGCATCACCACAAAAAAAGGAAATCATGTAGATAGAAAATACCACATGTTGGCAATGAAAATGGGGAGGCTTCGGCAAGAATTTGTCAATGAACTCCTCCAAGTACAAAAATACCTCTTGCTCATAGTGTTCAACTTTCAATAACCTAGTCATTCTCCCTGATGACAAGGAAAGACAAGCATTGTGCATGACGACAACTTCACTCACTCTGCCAAGGTGCAACATGGTGATGTACACAGCATCAAAATACAGCTACAAACACAAAGTTAATAAAGTGATATACACACTATTATGAACCCACAGCTTGTGCACCTCTAGCAGAAATAATAATATATTTATGTGCTTCTGGTTCTAATATATGGAGCCACCATCTTAATGAAATAACACCAGTCAATTTGTCACACACATTAACAGTAAGAGCCTGCACTCACCTTCGACATGCAACCATTGCACTTGTCACAATGTAGGTTGTTAATGCTGACCCAGCGATCACACACTTTACAGAATCTATAAGCCTCTTCAGGCAATGGAAACATTGACTGTGGACGGTTCACAAACACTCTTACAGCAGATCCATTTCTCATGCCCTTTGGCCCTAAAAAAAAAAAAAATGAATATTGAATATTAATCACAAAAATAGAATCATTCAATTGCATGTACTGTAGGAAAATGTGGTGCCAATGCCCTATAACTTGCAGGTTGCAAGTTTAAAGTGTGTGCATTATATATAACCAGTGGAAGCAACAGAATAATATTCAAAGAGGAGTTTTCCACAAACTCACAAGCTAATATTTTAGGTAAACCATCATACCTGAAACAGTTATAAAATGAAAGAGATAAACTATACTATGAACAGAAGCAAGTGCACACATTTCCTAATATGTGAATACAACATGTGCCATATCAATTTATGTCTAAATACCAACCTGATGAGTAGAGTGGATGATTGTCATAATCCACCTGGTAGTCAAGCATTGTCAAACTTGGTAAGTTAGATACAACTTGTGGCTCCATGAAGTAAGGAAAAATGAACAAGACTGAAAAATAGAAATAAATATACAGTGCCAAAGATTAAACAATTCAGAAATAAAATTTTAAACCATTAAAAAATTGTTTAATTACCAGTAACTATTTTATTCATATACTTCGTCTTTGTGAGTCTATGGCAAACAAGTTATAATGCCTGTTGTTACATTCTTGTACAGCCACTAGTACGCGTAGCGTTTCGGGCAGGTCCCTGGAATACGATCCCCGCCGCGAAGAATCGTTGTTACAACCAAGTACTCATTTTACTGTTGAGTTAAACAGAGGCTACAGTTAAGGATTTGCGCCCAGTAAATCCTCCCCGGCCAGGATACGAACCCATGACAAAGCGCTCGCGGAACGCCAGGCGAGTGTCTTACCACTACACCACGGAGACTGGTATTACCATCCTTCTCATCGTACGGAATATACACAATACAAATATGACAACCGACAGGCAGGTAGGTAACATTATGTTCAGTGTGATAACAAACCTGGCAGCTCCAGGTGAGAGTCTAGACCCCTGGCTCTTCTCCAGTCCTCCTGGATTTTTTTTAGGTTATGTGCAAGTAACTCCATCCGTCCTCCAAAAGGTGGGTCTGTGACTAGCACTAAATCTGAAAATACACATTACTTCAGTGCAATAAACCTCCATATTTTTTCAAATCAATAGTTAATTCTTTAATTCTAAAACCAGTACACATTCACCACATTGAATTAAATTGAATAAGATTCACAAAATATTCTCGTGTGCATCTACCTTACAGATTCCACTTTTGGATGTGTGCTTCAATTAAGCTTAATTAAAATACTCTCAAGTATACAATAACAGCCAGACAAAAGGGTAAGTAAAGCATACAGTAACAAAATATATTATCTGAACACGTTACAAAAGATGGTAGAAGGGAGTAAGACTGTGACTGAAGCCAGAAATGGGATACCGAGTGGTTATGCAATACTGTATAGTGGGACATCCTATACAGTATTGCATAAGAGACTGCTTAGGAAGCGAACAAGAGGAAAGATGATGATGATGACCTGGTGTTGTTCCGAGGCCATGGGATGTAAGTGTTGCTTGCACATAGATATAGCATCTGCATGGAAATTGTACTGTAATTACCTCCTGAGAAGTGCAGGGCAGAAAGAGGTGAAGTGCTGAAGAAGCTTCCCCTGGACTCAATTCTATCTAAAGCTCCAGTACCCTATACAATATTTGACAAGCTATTTCTCACTTCTACATTTTTTTCTACATCATTTCCATCGAGGTTTAAGTAAAAGACAAACTGCTTTAAATTAAGCCACACACTGTACATATTTATTGTTATTCCTAAAGACAAAATGTTAAATAAACTGAGGTAGTTCTTCAATTTGTGTTTCATCAGGACATGTTCACAGCACACTGTGCCTTGGTGCTAAAGAACAATTTAAACTTTGCTTCAACGCTCACTGATCACTTGTGCAATTTATACATTAGTCTTACAGGTGTACAAACAAATAATTCTTGAATTGTGTTAAAAGTGGGGCATTATATCTCAAATGTAGTCATTTAAACAATTTGATTTGTAATGACATGTATACACAAGTTTCCTCAGGAAATGCTTACTTTCATCTCCAGAAATAAACCTTTGGTAGGTGTCCTTAGCCTTCTCCCCATCAAAAAAGTGATGGTTGAACATGTTGTATCGGATGAACTGCTCGGGCGGGAAGAACGAACACTGTCAACAAATTATATCGTAAGCAAAATATAATAAATAAAATACTCAAAGAGTAGATTTTGGTTAATTCAAAGGATAAGATTTGTGAATATAAAACAGAATCAAGGTGAGTGTATATGAAAACTATTTTCTGGGTAAAACGCTCAACTACAGTAATCCGTAAGACAAGATTATTGAATGTGTTACTAGACAAGATTATTGAATGTGTCACTAGACAGGACCATCACTGCCAGGGAAGGATGACTTTCTGCACAGGTACAACAGGGATCTTCTCAAACATCCGTGTCAAGTCATACTGGTGCAAGGAAGATATCTGAATTATTTTAAATCTGAAAATAATTTGGGCAGATGACAGCCACATGCTGGCCACAAGGCAATATCAATCAACTACACATTTAAAAATAAGGTAATTATGAGGAGAAAACACTAAGCCAGTATCACTAGCACTTGGAAAGGAGATAGGACACGGGACTAGGAAGAAGGAAAGGAACAGTGCCCAACCACTTGGGCCATCGGAGATCAAACATTGACCTGCAAGGGCTTTGTTATGGCGACCAGTCCAAGAAGTTGCATTTGAAAATAACACACAAATAACACACAAATTTATCAACATGTTTAATCCTTGACACATGCATAAAAACATTTGTGTCAGGTGCTCTGCAATTTTTTTAAACTCCCGCTAGTACATAGATGTTCCCAATCTGTATTCGAGGCATCCAGTAAATGTCTGCCATCTTATAAATTGACTTATTTTTGGGACATTTTTCTATACTTAGGGCATAGCATTTAATAATACAGTATAGAAAGACAAAAGATAATGCTTCTTGATTACTAAACTACACATCAAAAAATAAAAGAAACGATGACGTTTTGGTCTATCCTGGACCATTATCACGTCTTCATAATGGTCCAGGACGAACTGAAACATCGTCGTTTCTCCATTTTCTGATGTGCGTTTTGGTCATCGTATCTTCAACCACGTTAATGTGACATTGTCTGCACAATACCTCATGTAACCCTTGTGCAATTCAAGGGTTAAGGCTGATCATGAACTAATAATATTGCATTACCAAGTGTAGCTTTAGCCTGAAGAAAGTTGGACACTTACATATCTGTCATCTATGTCCATCATGAGTGAGGACATGTTCAGGTGTGGGCAAAAAAAAAAACCAGCGTTGAATGTAATGAAACGCCATTTTCTGGGTGAGTCCCGGAGGCTCCCCGGAGCTATCCCAGGCTGATATGCTAATGTCAGACTTTGGCATCAGTCATGTGTATGGAGTTCTTAGGCCTACCGGGGACCACGGCCAGAACCGGGCCCCCTCAGAGAGGCAAGGGGAGCAATGGCCTATAGAAGCCCCTGTGTAGTTGGAAGCATTCTATGTCTGCCATCGACCGGAACAGGCACCCAGAAAGGTAAGCGCCCCAAAACAAACCCCTATTCTGGTTAAAATTGCTACCTAATACCGAACTAGTGGATAGAACTCCCCAACCGAAAACAAGCAAATTAGTGTGACGTCACACACTGCCGCGCCGCTGTCTGCGCAGCTCCCCCCTCCCCGGGAGGGGGAAGGGGGAGCCCCAGACCCCCCGCGCCGGCTACCCACACCTCAGTTCTTGAGGCTGGATGTCAAAAACGCGAAAAACCGCCGACCGGAGGGAGGGAGGGATGCCGGGGAGCCTCCGGGACTCACCCAGAAAATGGCGTTTCATTACATTCAACGCTGGTTTTCTGGGGGGAGCCCCGTCGGCTCCCCGGAGCTAACTACCCACAGACAGAAAAAGAGGGACTTACCCGGGAGGCGGTCGTCGCTCACCCCTCAACTCGAAGCCGAGACAACTGGCTGCAACCGCCGACCCAAAGCAACACAGGCCCGACGAGGGCCAGGGACATTCACAAGGTAACGAGCAGCCAGGACCCTGTTCGACCGCCAAAATCCCCGCGCCCGAATATCAGACCAAGACATATTCCCAAAGACGGCAGCAAGAGCCGCGAACTTACGAACGTCATGGGCACGGGGATAGACCGCAGGCTGGCTAGACCTAATAACCCTGCGGACGACCTGAGAGACCCGAACCCGCGAACAGGGAAGAAGGGAAACCGGATCAACCCACAGCGCGTCCCCGGACACAGAAGCTGTGGCGCGCAAATAACGGCGAAGCGCCGCAACCGGACACAAAACATGATGCACCCCCGGCCTGACCAACCAAGCATCAACCACCCATGGACCCCTCCGGAACGCAGCAGTCTCATTCTTCGCCAGAAAAGAAGGAGACGGCTGCAAACGAACAAAACTATCACCACGACCAAAAGAGCAGAAACCCCTGCGCCGGAGGAGAGCATGAAGCTCCCCTACCCGACCCCCAGAGGCCAAAGCCAACAAGAAAAGTGCCTTGGAAAAACAATCCTGGACCGAAGGGGCCACAACGAAACGAGGAGATGAAAGGAAAGCGAGCACTCTGTCCAAAGACCAGGACGGCTCAGGCGACGCATGAGCAGGCCGGAGGTGAAACAATGCACGAGACAGCTTGCGAAACGGCGCAGACGTAACATCGATACCGAAAGCAAGCTGAAGCGGCTCCGCCAGCGCCGCACGATACGAAGCGACAGTGTTAGGCATAAGATGACGGTCCTGAAACAACCACGAGAGGAAGGACAAGACCACCCGAACAGACAAGGAGCTAACACGACGAAGACGCAAAAAGAAACGGAAGGACCGCCAGGAAACTTCATACTGCCGCCGAGAAGAAGCCCTCAGGTGGGACACCAACAAGGAGGCCACCTGATCACCATAGAGCTGATGATAGACTCGAGTCAAAAAAACCATACGCGAAGACTCGAGGAGAAGATCGAACCAGCTACGTGACGTACCGGCCCGATCTGCTGAAAGAGGCGGAGCCGCGGGAAAACCCTCGGGTTCGGACACCGAGCAACCAGCGCCTGAAACCAAGGCTGGGCCGGCCACCAAGGGGCCAGAAGGACAACTCTCCCCCGGTAAGTCTCTAAGCGAGTCAGGACCTGGAGCAACAGCCGAACTGGGGGAAAGAGGTACAGGAACCCCCACCTCGACCAGTCGAGCCGAAAGGCATCGACCCCGACGGCCTCGCAATCGGGGAAGGGCGCCGCATAAACGGGAAGACGCCGCGACCACGCCGACGCGAAGAGGTCCACCTCGGGGCGCCCGAACGTCTGGCAAAGCCAACGGAAGGACTCGTCGTCGACCGTCCACTCCGTGGAGAGGGGAACGAAGCGAGACAGGGCGTCGGCCAAGACGTTGGACACGCCCCGTACGTGAACCGCCAGGAGAGCCAAACCCCGAGAACTCAGCAGACGAGTCACCCGAAGCGACCAACCCCAAAGAGACAAGGACCGCATCGAACCCCCGCGGTTCAGGCAATGAACCACCGGAGAGCAGTCCGAATGGAGCCGAATCGTCGATCCGCGGGCCACCCGAATCCTCCCCAGAGCAAACCACACTGCCGCGAACTCCCGCACCGTACTGTGAGCTCGACGGAAGGACGGATCCCAACGCCCCTGGCCGGCCTGGTGAGCACTGGTCACAAAACCCCAGCCGAGAGACGACGCATCCGTGTACACATCGAGCGAGGGCTCGGGTAGGCGCCAAGGCACTGAACCCCGAAAAACCCGAAGAGGAAGCCGGTGACGCAGCAACCGACGCAAGTCCCCCGGGGGTCGAACTCTGCGATCGCGAGAGAGGCGGAAGGGAGAACCCCGAAGGAACCAGAACAGCCGTCGAAGCCAAACCCGACCCGGCGGGTAGACCACCATCGCGAAGTTCAGGCTCCCGCACAGCCCCTCGAGCAACCGCCGGGTGACCCGAGGGCCCTCCAGAAACAGACGAAGGCGGGACCGCAGCCGCAGGAGAGACTCCGGAGGGAGAGACCAGGAGGCGGTCCGAGAGTCCCACACGAGACCCAGCCAAGTCCGAACCTGAGAGGGAACCAGATGGGACTTCCTCCAGTTCACCAAGAACCCGAACCCGGCGAGCTGGGAAAGAACCAAATCCCTGGCTAGCAAGCAAGCGGACTGGCTGGGAGCCCAAACCAGCCAGTCGTCGAGGTAGGCCAACACCCGAACACCTAGGAGACGCAAACGAGCCACCACAACCCGTGTAAGGCGTGTGAACACGCGAGGTGCCAGGTTCAACCCGAACGGGAGACAACGAAAGCGGTAACTCAGACGCCCCACTACAAAACCGAGCCAGTCCCTGAACCGCGGATGAATCGGGACATGCCAATAAGCGTCCCGGAGGTCCAGGGACACCATCCAAGCACCCGGCTCCAAGAGGAGCCGAACCTGAGACAGCGTAGTCATCCGAAAGGAGGGGCAATGAACCCAGGGGTTCAGACGGGACAAGTCCAGAATGAACCGCAGGTCCGCGCAGTCCCGTTTCGGAACCGGAAACAGACGGGAAACCCATCTGAGGGACGACGTCGTTTCGACGACGCCCAAGCGTACCCACTCCAAGACGACTCGACAGAGCGCAGGGGAAGAAGCCTGCCCCGCCAGCCCCGACCCCCCAAAGGGGGGAGGGGCCACCCAACGCCACCGCAGGCCGCGAGACACGACCCGAAAGGCCCACGAATCGTGGGACCAGGCGCGGGCGAACAGCGCAAGCCGCCCCCCCATCGCCCCGTCAAAGGGGCAAACCGCGAAAGGGCCGGCGACCCTTACGAGACCCAGAACCCCGCACAGCGCGAACACCGCGCCGACCAGACGAGGGAGGGTCCGCAGGAGGAGCCAACCCCAAACCTGACACCAGAGGCCTACCACGACGAGAGGAACCCCGAGCCCTGGCACGACCTTTCCGGGAAGACCCACCCCGGGACCCCCGGAAAACCAACAAGTCCGACATCGGACGACAAGCCGCCGACGCAGCCTGAATAAACTGCGCCACGGCCGACTCCCCAAACAGGAGAGGACAAAAAGGTGAAGAACGCCTAAGAGCCAGAGCCCAAGCAGATTCCACGGAGGAACCCAGCACCGCCTGCCGACACGCGAGACGGGAAGCATAGAACAGGGAAACCGCATCCCGCAAAATCGGCGTGAACAGCTTCAACAAGGCAGCCGACGAACGCGCAGCCGAGGACAAGGTGCCGGACCCCGGGACGGACCCAAGCGTCCCCACATCCTCCACGAGCCAATCCGAAGACAGCTCCAGGAGGGAAAAGAACCGCAAGGCCGAACACAAAAGGCCCCGAGCGCGCAAGTCCTCCGCCACGAGCGCCGCCGAAAGGGAGGGAACCTGCACATGGAGCTGAATAACGCCCACATCGCGGGGAAGGGCAGGGGCAAACAAGCACTCATTCAGGTACTCAAGGTCACCCCCCAGGAAAACCTGAAGCACCGTGGAAGCTTCCCGCCACTCCAGCGTGCGGGAACGACAGAAGGAATGCCAGGAATCCAGACCAAACAAGGGGCAGTCTGCTAGCCAGGATGACTCCGGAACCTCGTAACGGAGCCAGAAAGGGAACGAAGTCCCAAACCTGAACGTGGACGGATCCATTTCCGAGGCATAATCCGGGTCACGCAGGAGGTAAGCTGCAAAGGCCGCTCGCACCACACCAGGTTGGATGCGATAAGCCGAAAACCTCCGGAAGGACGGAACCGACGTACCCGGGGGAACACGGAACCGTACCCGGGGAGGGGCCGACACCAAATCCAACTCGTACGCAGAGGGGGGGAAAGAAAACCCCACTCCTTGTAACAATAAGCCCCGCTCAGTGGGAAGAAAAACCCAGGCGGGGTCCAGCGGGGCCCAAGGCCCCCAAGTCAGCCCCTCCCCAGCCTCGAGGTCCGTCACCACAGGACCCGAGGCCGAGTCCTCTCCCCAAGCCCCGACCCCACAAGACAAGGACGGAGCAGCCGGAAAAGCTGGAGGAAGGGGGGCCCACTGGTCAGACCCTGAAGCTTCGGCCGGGAGACAAGACTCGAATGCCTCTGCCGCCCCCCCGGAAGGGGCAACCCCCGAAGCTGCCCGAGTCTCGAGATCAAGTAACCCCTGCTCCGACCCCGAAACCCTCAGACGCTTCGGGGCCGGAAGCAGGGGCGGGGGACCAGAACGAACAGAAGGGGAAGGACGAGGAGGTGCGGACTGAACCAGGATCGAAGCGACCCCCACCCCCAAGTCCGGGTCTCGAAAAGCAAAGCGGGGCAGCCCCGGGGCATCCGGGGAAGCAACCAACCGAGCGCGTTGCAACAGACGAAACCTAGACTGCAACGCACGTGCCGCCTGTACCCGAATAGAATCATCAGAGGATTGGGTAAATTGAGTCACAAGCAAGCAGCAACACTCACAGGACTCAGGGTCGAAAGTATCACCGACCCAACAGGCAGCGTGGCAGAGGCAAAAACAATGAGGGTCACCCTGAGACAAGGGGACCGAGCAACCCTCAAACTCGCACACAGCGAGTGGGGACCCCGGGGTCACATCCATCGGACCCACGCGCCCCCTAGGGGATTCCCAGGGTCCTGAGCGTTTACTTTAAGAGGACTCGCGCTCAGGTAGTCCCAGGCAGGGTGCTGCAAACCGGCGCCCAAAACTACCAAGCAAACTTCTAAAGCTGAACCCCAGGGACGTGTACACTCACGGGGACCTAGCAGGGGGCGCCACCGAGGAGAACAGTGGAAGGGCAAAAACAAACTGAATAAAATGACAGAACCCCCCACCAGGCAAAAACAAAAAGAAAAACAAAACCCCGCAAGAGGACAGCGAACCCCAAGGAACAGAGCCGGCCGCGATGTCGGGAATTACAAGCTGAGCAGCACCCTGCGCCCCTACCAGTGCAAACTGCCTCTTACCTGCCGGTAACAAGGGAGAACAGAACACCCAAGAGCCCAACAGGCGGCCGAAAAACCGAAAGGTAAAACGGACCAGCAGAGGCAGACCCCGAGGAGCCTGTGGAAGGTGGCCCCAAGCCCCAAGGGCAGTACTTACAGGGCACCTAGGGAAGGCAGCCCTAGGCGCATGCAGCCCGAGTACTGAAGATAACTCCTGGCTCTCGCACCCACAAAACTAACACCACACTCAAAGCACAGTGCAGTAGCGACACCGGAGCCAGAGCACACGACCATCGCCTATAGCATCAGCCTTAAGAACTGAGGTGTGGGTAGCCGGCGCGGGGGGTCTGGGGCTCCCCCTTCCCCCTCCCGGGGAGGGGGGAGCTGCGCAGACAGCGGCGCGGCAGTGTGTGACGTCACACTAATTTGCTTGTTTTCGGTTGGGGAGTTCTATCCACTAGTTCGGTATTAGGTAGCAATTTTAACCAGAATAGGGGTTTGTTTTGGGGCGCTTACCTTTCTGGGTGCCTGTTCCGGTCGATGGCAGACATAGAATGCTTCCAACTACACGGGGGCTTCTATAGGCCATTGCTCCCCTTGCCTCTCTGAGGGGGCCCGGTTCTGGCCGTGGTCCCCGGTAGGCCTAAGAACTCCATACACATGACTGATGCCAAAGTCTGACATTAGCATATCAGCCTGGGATAGCTCCGGGGAGCCGACGGGGCTCCCCCCAGAAAAACCATCATTGAATGTAATGAAGCGCTATTTTCTGGGTGAGCCCTTTTGGCACACTAGCGCTATCAGGCTAATGTGTGCTAAATATGACCGGGCCATTAGCTATGGAATTTGGCCTACCAAGGACCACGAGCCAGAACCTGGCCTCTTCAAAGAGGTTGCAGGGAGCAATAGCCCTGGAAAACTACTTTGTGGTTGGTGGTTTATGGCCCTGGAAAACCCCTTTGTGGTTGGGGGTTTATGGCCCTGGAAAACCCCTTTGTGGTTGGTGGTTTATGGCCCTGGAAAACCCCTTTGTGGTTGGGGGTTTATGGCCCTGGAAAACCCCTTTGTGGTTGGTGGTTTATGGCCCTGGAAAACCCCTTTGTGGTTGGTGGTTTATGGCCCTGGAAAACCCCTTTGTGGTTGGTGGTTTATGGCCCTGGAAAACCCCTTTGTGGTTAGGGGTTTATGGCCCTGGAAAACCCCTTTGTGGTTGGGGGTTTATGGCCCTGGGAAACCCTCTTTGTGGTTGGGGGTTTTCCTTATCTGCCAACAACTAGGGTTAGGCACCCAGAAAGGTAGGCATAACAAAAACTCCACATGGTAAGAAACTAACAACTAAAAATCGAACAGAGAGGAAGAACTCCCTCCAATACCAAGGAAACAAGCAAATGTCACTCTCTACTGCCGCACCACACGTCCGCGCAGCGCTCTCCTCCCTGCGCCTGCTACTCAGTCGTCCAGTTCGAAAGCTAAGCATCAACCATGCAAAAACCACTGACTGGAGGGAGGGAGGGTTGCCAGGGAGCCTCTAAGGCTCGCCCAGAAAATGGCATTTCATTACATTCAATGCTGGTTTTCTGTGGGGAGCTTCTTCAGCTCCCTGGAGCTACATAACCAAAGATATGTCAAAAGAGGGACTTACCTGGGAGGTGGCTGCCACAAACTCCTCAAAGCGAAGTCAAGACTGCAACCTGCGTCCCAAAGCAACACAGGAATGCCCAGGAGCAGGAATGTTAACCAATTAATGCCATCCATTCCGTGGACAGGGAAATGAACCAAAACAGGCTGTTCACCAGGACATTGGACATTCCCCGGATATGAAACGCACAGAGAGCCAAACCTCAAGAAGCTGACAGACGAGCCACGCATGGTGATGTCCGAGGTTCCCCCCCTCCCCCTCCTAGGAAACGGAGGGCTGCGTGGTCGAGCAGTGCGGAGTGAAGTGTGACGTTTGCTTGTTTCCTTGGGATTAGAGGGAGTTCTGCCATTCTTTCGGTTTTTAGTTGTTACTGTAGTTTCATACCATGTGGGGTTTGTTTTGTTATGCCTATCTTTCTGGGTGCCTAACCCAGGTCGATAGCAGATAAGGAAAACCCCCAACCACTGGGGGGTTTTCCAGGGCCATTGCTTCCTGAAACCTCTGAAGGTTCTGGTTCGTGGTCCCTGGTAGGTCGAACTCCCATAGCTAATGTCCCAGTCTAACATATTACACATTAATCCGATAGCTCCAGGGAGCCGGAGGGGCTCCCCATAGAAAAAGTGATTTTCAAATACAGTTTAATATAATAATCACAATGTGATTTGATAAATTGATTTGATAAATTATATGAAATACTGTACTGTATATCAAAAATAGATCACAAACATACTGAAGCAATTTTAGAACAATGTTAGCATCATGACTTCAAGTCGTTCATTACTACAACCAGAAATCACACATTTTGGGCAGAAAAGTCACTCGAACATGTGCAGGCACGTGTCACTTACTGTTGATGGATGACTTAGGTGTTTGTTAGTGATTGGGGAAATAAGGACACATGAACCGTGATCAGATATTTCCTTTTTCCTCAGTAAAGTTGAGCATGAAGTACAGTAGCTTCGGTCAGTCACTGGTAATTTCTTTATTGCTTCCAAACTGAATGGATAGAGATGAAAAAAGTAACAACATATGCACAATATAGAAGAAGTATACTGTACTATATGTTAGACATATATGAAGATGCAACATATTTTATAATTTATTTTTCCTGTGAAGTGCAACAGGAAAACTCCATCTGAGAGAACAAGCAGATTAATACCAAAGGCAATAACAAATTATCATACAAGCAGGCTTCTTTGGATTACAATTTTAAGTGAAGTCTGCTAATGGGGAAGTTACAAATACTTAATGGTCTTCATGTTGCACATGCATTCAACTGACATTCACAAGTGAAAACAATGCAATGTACAGTAGCTATGTGCCTCTCGGCTCATAGCTACTTTCACATGCAGCAAATTAACTGACTAAATTGGTATTTATTATTCTTGACTCTACCTTTTATATACTTCCTCATGTGACCTAGCTGGAGTAGATTCTACAATCAGATGAGCCCAGAGTGCCTGCTTATTACTAGTGATCTTCTGGTCAGCCCAGTGGAAAAAGGTACACCCTCGTCGGTCCCTGCAGGCTGAGCAAGCATAGAATCTTCGGCTTTGTCCATTACCTTGGAATCTCTCAAACAGCACAGTGGGACCTGATGGCAATAATATGAAAATAAAAATTAATTATATCATTAGATTTACATAATGAGTTACAAGTCTTTTATGATAGATTTATATATTTAACCTGTGTATTGAATTTCATTGCTTTAAATCTTGCATAACTGATGAGAAATGGCAAACATTTAGAACTTTTTTCAAAAGGCTGTATGGATTTTTAACATTAGAATTTACATTAACAGTTTCAGAAAGTAAAGAGATGACTTAAAAACAAAATTAAGGGGTGCCAATTTATTGATAAAATTCATCACTCCTGCCTATATTTCATTGAAGTGTATTTATACAGCATGTTTACCGATCATGTTTGTGTACACAGGACGGGTCGAGTGACATTACCGTGTACACATGACGGGTCGTGTAACATTACCGTGTACACACGACGGGTCGTGTAACATTACCGGGTACACAGGACGGGTCGTGTAACATTACCGTGTACACAGGACGGGTCGTGTGACATTACCGTGTACACAGGACGGGTCGTGTGACATTACCGTGTACACAGGACGGGTCGTGTGACATTACCGTGTACACAGGACGGGTCGTGTAACATTACCGTGTACACAGGACGGGTCGTGTGACATTACCGGGTACACACGACGGGTCGTGTAACATTACCGTGTACACAGGACGGGTCGTGTAACATTACCGTGTACACAGGACGGGTCTGGGACAACATTACCGTGTACACAGGACGGGTCGTGTAACATTACCGTGTACACAGGACGGGTCTGGGACAACATTACCGTGTACACAGGACGGGTCTGAGACAACATTACCGTGTACACAGGACGGGTCTGAGACAACATTACCGTGTACACAGGACGGGTCTGAGACAACATTACCGTGTACACAGGACGGGTCTGAGACAACATTACCGTGTACACAGGACGGGTCTGAGACAACATTACCGTGTACACAGGACGGGTCTGAGACAACATTACCGTGTACACAGGACGGGTCTGGGACAACATTACCGTGTACACAGGACGGGTCTGAGACAACATTACCGTGTACACAGGACGGGTCTGAGACAACATTACCGTGTACACAGGACGGGTTGGTGTGGGTGTCATCAATAACCAGGTCCACCCCCAGCCTCCCTGTGCCCGCCATGGCTCGGGTGCTCCGCTCTTGTCACGTTGGGTTAGACTTTAGGTGCCTCAGTTCTTGAAGTCAGACGCTCTAATTTGTTTTTTTTTTGTTACGACTTGGTGGGAACTATCGGGAATTGCACAGGACGGTGTTGTTGTTGTTGTGATGACGTCAGATGAAGCATCAAAGGAAAGGAAAGTCGCACGTGATAACGATGCCAGATATCACCAGACTATTGCAGCGCCATCTATTGCTAGAATTTGTCAACCCTCTAAGTGAAACTTAGAAAGGAGCCTTATAGGCGTGTGGTCAATTTATAATAATTTTAATTTAATTTCGTTGTGTCGGGGGACAGGAAGCCAGAGAGTATTCATACACGTTAGGCTTTTGTTGGGGTCCCCCCCCTCCCTAAAGTTGGAATTATTGACCCCGCCCAGGATGCAACCCTACAACAGACTGACTGACTAATTATTAAGGATGGTAACACAGTCCATTTCATGTGGTCTCCATCTCATGTTGGCCTCCGAATGCATGATAGAGCTGATGAGTTAGCCAAAGAATCTGCCTTTAAAGGAGACGTAGAGTGTAACCTTGGATTGTCAATGAGCAATCTGAGAGAAGCAGTACACCAAGAAATTCAACCAAATTTAGAATTTTGATTTTTGAAAATCTTGTAGATCTGAGGCAAAGTGAAATCGACACCAGTAGTTCCATCTATCATCATACTATCATGCAAGAGGAGCCACACATCTATGGTTCATCCAATAAAATCAGCAGACTTCTAGATGTTACTACTGCTCGGCTTAGACTCGGTTACATGTGTAGCGAGTAATGGCCACTGCCTTTTGAACGAAAGGCGGTGGAGTTTCTGATGGGGAAGGAAGAGACAATTGCGCATCGCGTTCCGCAAGGCGCGGTGCGGCCAGCCTGGGTGGCATAAAAAGCGCGGGAAGTAGGACCCCTATCATCGCTCTGGACGTATTGCCTCCACTACCACTCCGGAGACTATACCACCAGGATGACCATGAGGTCGATCTCAACATAGACTCGGGCCAGATTCACGAAGTAGTTACGTGTTTACTAGTTGTGTTTTTACGGGGGTTGAGCTTTGCTCTTTCGGCCCGCCTCTCAACTGTCAATCAACTGTTTACTAACTACTTTTTTTTTTTTTATTTATTTTTTTTTCTCTCTCTCTCTCTCCCACACCACACTACTGTGTGGTGTGGTACATACTTACGAATGTTTTTCTTCTTAGCATCTTCGTAGCGGCTACTTCGGTATACAGGTAGGCATTTAAGAAGGACAATTTTCGTAACTACCCGCCTCAATTTAAGGATGCTCTGGACCACTCGTAGCTTTATGTAAACTGGATATAATTTTTCTCTACTACACAACACGGAGGATTGATTTTCTAATAAACAAACAATTTAGCTGGCGAGTTTCGTCAAGTGGCGTCCTTCGTGGTAACTATATATGCATTCTCTGCTTGAAAGTTGTAGTACATATTTTTTATGATATTAGAATTAGTTTTATAATAGCAAGATATTATACAAGTAGTTATTAAGTAAATAAACACTGGTGAACAGGAAATATGAGAGGCGATGATCCCGGGCTGATGGGAGCATTTCTATCACCAAATGCACCTGTTCACCTAGTAATAAGTATAGCTAGGGGGTGTACCTTAGCTGTACATAACCATTATTAATTTATTTTGTTTGGTTTTATTTTGAAATTAAATCTGGGTGAGACATAAAAGAAAAATATGCTGCACAAATGATCTTAGGTAAGGGTAAGGGTAAAAACTTCAAAAATATTTCTCATTTAATACTTAAACCAATAATTATAACTATATGGACTATTATGGCTTGTTAAAAAAAGAGAGAGGGAAGTAGGGTCCAAGACCTCTTCCTGTTACACAATTTCGCGGTGTGGAATAAGTAATTATCAAAACATAAACATTATCAAAACATCAATTATCATGACATAGCGTTCCGCGAGCGCTATGTCATGGGTTCGTATCCTGGCCGGGGAGGATTTACTGGGCGCAATTCCTTAACTGTAGCCTCTGTTTAACGCAACAGTAAAATGTGTACTTAGATGAAAAAACGATTCTTCACGGCAGGGGATCGTATTCCAGGGACCATAGGATTAAGGACTTGCCCGAAATGCTACGCGTACTAGTGGCTGTACAAGAATGTAACAACTCTTGTATATATCTCAAAAAAAAAAAGAAGGCACCAAGCCGGGAAGGCTGTGTAGCACCATTGTGTGTAACAATAAACCAATTTTTTTAAACAGATAATGCGCCTGTGAGTTAAACAAATCCTGTCAGCTGTAAAAATATTGATCCAGTTAATTAAATAAAAAAATATAATGAAACAAATATTTATAGGTTATTCATTCTATTTTCTTCTAATGTATATCCAAAGAAGTGAAAAATTGAGACGTACTGCACAATTTAATAATTCACAAAAAATATTAATGAGACTTTTGTCTTCTTTTTATCTTCTAGTGTGTGGTGTTTGGTCAACATTACTAACATTACATATCAATACGAGATCTTAATGATCCACGGATAAATTTTATGATTTAATAAGGATAATACTGGTAATAATAATAATAACACAAGCTATAATTTAAAATATTTATTACTTATTCTTTATTAGCAAGCTTAGGTATACACAGCAATGTGCTGCTACCCAATTCTATATGAAAGATTACCGTGTAGATCATAAACCAGCTACAAGCTCATCCAACATCCCCACCTCACAGGACGGCCAGTCATACATGGAATCAGGAGAGAATAAGAAGTGTAAGGCTGATCTATTAGCCTACACTGGCAAAATCTGAGTACAGCACAAGAATATCTTCTAATATTCCTGAGTGTATGAAGTAACTACAGAGCTCAAAGTACCTCATACCATTTGGTCTGAAGTCACCGATATCAGGGCAATCACAGATATAGTGTTGGAGAGTATGTTCTCTTAAGTAAGACTGAAAACAGATTTTTTTCACACAGAGGGTTATAAATCCTTGGAACCGCCTACCCGCTGAAGCCGTAAATGCTAAAACCCAGCTAGAAAATATCATTAGGACAATTGGCGGGACTTAACAAGCCCTCGGCTATTTGTCCTCGTCGAGGCCACTAGATAGTTCTATTTTTGATCCATGATAGAACATGGTTAAATTCTTTTAACCATGTCGTAGCTCAGTCGATTAAGGCAGCATCTGGGATCCTCTCGGACGTAGGTTGGAACCCTCGTCACGGCCCTTGTGGATTTGTGGATTTGATGCGTCACACTATTGTGATTTCTGTGTGTAGTGTAGTGTAGTGCACTAGATAGTTAGTGGCCCTTGGGTAAATTTAGGTAAATATATCTATATAAATAAAAGTCTAAATGTTGGTTTGTTCAAAATCGCTAATCTCCGAAAGTTCTTCACTGATTGCTTTGAAATTTTCACACAATGTTCCATTCGCATCCAAGCGGGTTTTTTATAGACATACAATATAAATATCCTGTCTGTGACGGGAAAAAACATGTTTTTTTGAAAAACTATGTTTTTTAGGTGTTTTTCATGTAAGGGAAATCTTCGAAACCTCTTTACCGATTGCCTTGAAATTTTGACACAACGTTGTATTCGAATAGGCGCGTATTTTTATATATCTACTATATACATGCTTCACCTGTGACAGGAGAAAACATGCTTTTTTGAAAAACAACGCCATCTGTTGGACGTAAGAGCAACACACGCTGTAATCTCCAAAAGTTCTTCACCGATTGCTTTGAAATTTTGACACAATGTTTCATTCGAATACACGCGTGTTTTTATGTACTTACTATAGAGATGACACTCTTGTGACAGGTAAAAACATATTGTTGTTTTTTAAAAAAGAGCGCTATCTGTTGCACGTAATAGGAACCCACTCTATTCTAAATATGTTACAATTCCATTTCAGTGTTTCCGATTGCATTGATAAATTGAATTTTCATAGATTTTGTTTTATTTTCATTTTGATTTAATTATTTTGTGTGACAATACATTGGAGTTAAGCTGTGTTGTTTACCATACCGTTCATTTCATAAGAATAAGTTCAGATGCCACACCTGTGGCAGGTAAAAACACTTTTTTTTTAAGAAACAGAGCCATCTGTTGCACGTAAGAGGAACACACACTATACTAAATATTACACGATTGAATTTAATTTTTTTGATTGCATTGACAAATTATATTTTCATATATTTTGATTTATTTTCATATTGATTTAATTATTTTGAGTGACATTGCATCGGAATTGAGATGTGTTGTTTACCATACTAAAAAATGTTTACGAAGAACATTTTGTGAGTATAGTTTATTTTTTTATTGTTTTTCATTTCATTTTTAAAACAGTTTTTCTTATAGTTCAGTGATGGGAACATCAGACCATTTGATGTTCCCAATTTTCTGATGGAAACATCAGATCATTTAAGAATGTATCGGACGAGGGAGTGGGGAATGGTGGGGAGGATGAGGGGATGTAAGTGGGGGGATAGTGGGGAGGACAAGGGGACAGGGGAGGGGGGAATGGTGGGGAGGATGAGGGGACAGGGGAGGAGGGAATGGTAGGGAGGACGAGGGGACGGTGAAGTGAAGGATGGTGGGGAGGACACAATGATGGGGAGGGGGGAAATAGTGGGGAGGACAAGGGGACAGGGGAGTGGGGAATGGCTGGGAAGATTAGGGGACGGGAGAGTGAGGAATGGTGGGGAGGACGAGGTGACGGGGGAGGGGGGAATGGGGGGAGGGCTGGGAGACTGGGGAAGGTTGCTGTGGTTCAACAACGCACACGCGTTGTTGAACCACAGCAACGCATGGCCGGGTACAGCTAGTATGTAAATAAATTCTATTACTTCTTAAATCTTGGGAGCGACAAGGAAAGCTATACACTATCTCTTAGAATTACGTAGGTAAAACAAAAAAAAATTAACATATATGTTTACTAAAATGTCTGTGCTGACTGTACAAGCTGAAAAACATAGTTTGTCTTCTAAATATACTAATTTTATAAGAAAATTTGACGTAAATAAGTAGCAAGTGATCACAGATAAGCTCTGATATGCCAGCGTCGTGATTGGCTACAGCTGTAAGATGAAAAATGTTGCCCTCTCTCTGATTGGCCAAACTAAAAGCCCTAGTGACATCTAGCGAGACCTAAGTGAACTACTTAAAATCTTCGTAAGTATAATTTTCTGAATCGCACTTTGCCGCGTTCTTAGCAGGTACTTAGGAACCTTTGTAGCACACATACTTACGAAGAAATACATGGAGCCTCGTGCCTCGTGAATCTAGGTCCAGAACCATACAAGACCCGGGCGGCACAGAGGTCCCACGGTGTTCAATTCTTCATTTTTGGTTGCATTCAAGTACTCTTTTACATATGTGTTGTGTAGTGTAGATGTGGCCTCCGTCACCTGAACAACGCCGGGTACTCAGTAGTTTATTATGAAATCATAAATATTTACCAACAGCAGCATCGGACTAGTCATAACACCTTCATAGCTCAGAGAAATCAAGGAAATAAATAAAACTTCAATTGTATGTCATGAGTTATAAATATGAGCGTAAATATACCGAAGAGCATCTTGCAGAGTCGTGTTAGACATACGTATTCTCCTTGACAGCAATGCTAATGTTAATAGGCCTAACTCGAATAATTACATCAACATACACTATGTACGTTCAAACCTTGCTTCTTTCTGTCCAGTTTTGGTGCGGGTAAGCTGCCCAAGACGGCTGCCAGCGCAACCCTCCACAGTGAGGCATTATCTGGACCTACATGTACAAATATCAGCTATGGGCTAATTATTACACTTATTAACAAAAATCACTGGCGAGTGCCTAGATTTAGGCACCCCAGCAACAGTCCTGGCTGCCTATGATGACTTTAATTTGTGAATAATCTAAAGAGTCCAATGTCTTATATAGATTAGTAGGCTAGAGGCTGTCCCACCATAGAACACGAACTAATTCTGGAGTCACAATTTGTGAGTCTTTGAGAATGTAGAGCACTGGGAATGTGTTTACACACACTCGTCGCTGTACCTTCTATTGACGGCTCGTGCACAGTTTTCTCCACCGCTTTTCACCCAACCACTTGGGCTGGACGGTCTCGTGTCATGCACGTCGGCGTTCAATCCCCGACCGTCCAAGTGGTTGGGCACCATTCCTCCCCCCCCCCCTCCCATCTCTAATCCTTATCCTGACCCCTTCCAAGTACTCTATAGTTGTAATGGCTTGAGGCTTTTTCCTGATTGTTCCTTTCCTTTCCACCGCTGTTCTTTCGTTGAAACCTCTGGCAAATTTACCATTGTACTTCTTAAACTTACAAACGGCTTCCTCCGCCACTGTTGCTCTTCGAAAACTTCAAGACAACTTCATAAATGTTCCTACGTGATAAGTATATAATTTTCTCTAGCAGTGTTTCTCTGTGGCTGCTCCTTGGAGAGCTTGTGTGGCAGAGTGACCAGTCCGTCACTGGGCCATGATGGCGCGGTAGTCTCGGAGCACAGGCAGGAAGGACGGCATTCGTTCATCCCAAGCGAGCACCAGCGAGCAGTCCGCCACTTGCTGGGAGAGGGCCTGGCAGGGGAAAGGCACGTGAGATTTTATGTCAGAGGCTGCGTTCTCTAATGCTATTGTTTAGTTTACCCCACGAGTAAACATAGACATAACTAGACATATATAGCGTCTACCCTAAACGCTATGCGTGCTAGTGGCTTTACAACAATGTAAAACTTCAATGTTCTATACTCTGCCGACAGCAACCCCAGGGTGCCGACAGCAACCCCAGGGGGCCGACAGCAACCCCAGGGTGCCGACAGCAACCCCAGGGTGCCGACAGCAACCCCAGGGTGCCGACAGCAACCCCAGGGTGCTGACAGTGAAATGGATTGTTTCATATTTCTAACTAAGACCCCATGTGTAGAGACTTGAGACTGACCGTGACCCTGTGCCTGGAGGGTGCTGGAGACTGACCTGGAGCCTCCGCCTGGAGGGTGCTGGAGACTAACCTGGAGCCTGCTCCTGGAGGGTGCTGGAGACTAACCTGGAGCCTGCTCCTGGAGGGTGCTGGAGACTAACCTGGAGCCTGCGCCTGGAGGGTGCTGGAGAATAACCTGGAGCCTGCACCTGGAGGGTGCTGGAGACTAACCTGGAGCCTGCGCCTGGAGGGTGCTGGAGACTAACCTGGAGCCTGCGCCTGGAGGGTGCTGGAGACTAACCTGGAGCCTGCGCCTGGAGGGTGCTGGGTCGTGGCCCCTGGAGACAGCTCTCCGGGCCAGCTCCAGCTGCAGCCTCACCTCCTCCCGCGCCATCCTGACTGTTGACAAAGACTCCCGTTACAACTCCAAGCTTCATGTTACACATTATTTATAATTCATAATTATAATTCATTGTGTTAAATGTATAATTTAACACAACGTCCCTCCTGGTATGGTGCTGGTGGCCAGCAGGAGCCCCCGGGGGACACAATATCCAAGAGCATCGTCGATTCAGCGTTAATTTAACGCGGAACCCGAGCGACTCTTAGATCTTGTGCCAACTGGGAAAAACAAGACGCCCAAAGGGTTGAAATGTAGTCTAGGGGGCCAGATTCACGAAACATTTACGCAAGCACTTACGAACGTGTACATCTTTCCTCAATCTTTGACGGCTTTGGTTACATTTATTAAACAGTTTACAAGTATGAAAACTTGCCAATCAACTGTTGTTACTGTTATAAACAGCCTCCTGGGGCTTCGGAGGTTATTAACTGTTTCATAATTGTAAACAAAGCCGCCAAATATTGAGAAAAGATGTACAGGTTCGTAAGTGCTTGCGTAACTGTTTCGTGAATCTGGCCCTAGATTATTGAAGTAAATAACGCATGATTATTATTTTTGTATATTACTGAACTGCGTCGAAATATTGATGGTTCTCAGGTAGAAAAAAATGCTTAACCATAATTACATATACTTTATATTATTATATAAATTTGAGTTAAATTTAATTATACATCAAATTGTTAGCGACTTACAAAACTTACAATCTAATTAATTAATTAGTTTTATCAGGGGGGGACAGTCAGCCAGTCTATATACATTAGACTTAAATATATGAAACCCTCCCCCCTCTTCCGCACCCAGATGGAAATACTGACCCCCCCACCCCCCCCAAGGATGTAAACCCACAAGTGCCTAGGTCCCGGGTACCTATTTACTGCTAGGTGGACAGAGGCATAAGGCGAAAGGAAACCTGCCAAACCGTTTCTATACCGCCCGGGATTCAAACCCGAGATTCCCGATAGTGAGCCTGGTGACCCACCTGTGAGCCTGGTGACCCACCTGTGAGCCTGGTGACCCACCTGTGAGCTTGGTGACCCACCTGTGAGCCTGGTGACCCACCTGTGAGCCTGGTGACCCACCTGTGAGTCTGGCGACCCACCTGTGAGCCTGGGGACCCACCTGTGAGCCTGGTGACCCACCTGTGAGCCTGGTGACCCACCTGTGAGCCTGGTGACCCACCTGTGAGCCTGGTGACTCACCTGTGAGCCTGGTGACTCACCTGTGAGCCTGGTGACTCACCTGTGAGCCTGGTGACCCACCTGTGAGCCTGGTGACCCACCTGTGAGCCTGGTGACCCACCTGTGAGCCTGGTGACCCACCTGTGAGCCTGGTGACTCACCTGTGAGCCTGGTGACCCACCTGTGAGCCTGGTGACTCACCTGTGAGCCTGGTGACTCACCTGTGAGCCTGGTGACTCACCTGTGAGCCTGGTGACCCACCTGTGAGCCTGGTGACCCACCTGTGAGCCTGGTGACTCACCTGTGAGCCTGGTGACCCACCTGTGAGCCTGGTGACTCACCTGTGATCCTGGTGACTCACCTGTGAGCCTGGTGACTCACCTGTGAGCCTGGTGACTCACCTGTGAGCCTGGTGACCCACCTGTGAGCCTGGTGACCCACCTGTGAGCCTGGTGACCCACCTGTGAGTCTGGTGACCCACCTGTGAGCCTGGTGACTCACCTGTGAGCCTGGTGACCCACCTGTGAGCCTGGTGACCCACCTGTGAGCCTGGTGACCCACCTGTGAGCCTGGTGACTCACCTGTGAGCCTGGTGACTCACCTGTGAGCCTGGTGACTCACCTGTGAGCCTGGTGACTCACCTGTGAGCCTGGTGAGCGGAGCCTCCAGGGCCCTCACCACTCCCATCACCAAGTCAGCGATGGCGGCCAGCGTGGTGATCTCACCGTCACTCATCTCTGTAAGGACATGTTAAATGAATCCACAGTACACACACACACACACACACACACACACACACACACACACACACACACACACACACACACACACACACACACACACACTCACACACACATGTATAGATGAACTGCAGAAGGCAGCAACACTAGCCCACAGAATGAGCGAAGCTGCTGGTCATGGGGGACCTAAATCATGGAGAGATCAATTGGGAATCAAGGAATCCCCATGGAGGGGACGAAACGTGGGGAGCAAAGTTAGTAGATGTTATAGACAGGAATTTCCTGACACAACATGTGAAGGAAGACACAAAGAAAAGAGGAGGAGATGCACCGAGCCTATTAGACCTGATTGCCATCCGGAACGTAGAAGATATCGAGAATTTGGAACATGAAATACCTCTAGGGGCCAGTGACCATTGTGTCCTAGTCTTTGACTACATGATGGAATTCAAACTTGTGACCATGGGACAAGAGATCTGGGAAAGGAGAGTTGACTACAGGAAAGGGAACTACAGGAGGATAAAGGACTATCTGGGTGAAGTGCAGTGGGAGGAAGAAATTAGAGGAAAAACAGTCCAAGATATGATGGACCTAGTCATACAGAAATGCCAGGAGGCCGAAGAGAGATTTATACCAACAGTAAAGGGAAAAATAAGAAGGAATATAGTAACCCATATTTTAATAGACAGTGTCAGGAAGCAAAGATGGCCAGCAGGCGGGAGTGGAAGTATAGAAGACAAAGAACAGAGGACAACAGGATCAGATACAACAGAGCTAGGAACGATTACATTAACATAAGACGAACATCGGAAAGGGACTATGAGAACGATATTGCGATCAAAACGAAAAAGCTACCTAAGTTACTACACAGTCATATAAGAAGAAAAATGTCGGTGAACGACCAAGTGACAAGACTAAGGAAGACAGAGGGGGCATATACTGAAAATGACAAGGAAATCTGCGAGGCACTGAATGCCAGTTTCCATGGAGTGTTCACTACCGAGCCTGAGCAGCTCCCATTGTTGGAAGGGGTTACCCTAGATGAAAGACTATCAGATATAGAGGTGACAGCAGAGGAGGTAATGAAACAGTTGACAACACTGGATGTAACTAAAGCAGTTGGACCAGACAAAGTATCACCGTGGATACTAAAAGAAGCAGCGCAGGCCCTCAGCGTGCCTCTGGCAATGATCTTTAATGAGTCACTTATGTCGGGAGAATTGCCAAGTTGCTGGAAGAAGGCAAATGTCGTACCGATCTTTAAGAAAGGCGATAGGGAGGAGGCACTTAACTATAGACCTGTATCATTGACAAGCATCCCCTGTAAAATACTGGAAAGAATAATTAGGCTACGACTGGTTGCACACCTGGAGAACGTTAGGTTTGTGAACAAACATCAACATGGGTTCTGGAAAGGGAAATCGTGCCTAACAAACCTTTTGGAATTCTATGATAAAATAACGAGGATAAGACAGGACAGAGATGGTTGGGCAGACTGCATATTTCTGGACTGCCAAAAAGCCTTTGATACAGTACCGCACATGAGACTGCTGTTCAAACTCGAGAGGCAGGCGGGGGTGGGGGGAAAGGTCCTAGCATGGATAAGGAACTACCTAACAGGAAGGAGCCAAAGAGTTACGGTAAGGGGCGAGAAGTCGGACTGGCGAACAGTAACAAGTGGAGTACCACAAGGATCGGTGCTGGGACCAATTCTATTTCTAGTATATGTTAACGACATGTTTACAGGCGAAGAGTCCTATATGTCGATGTTCGCGGATGACGCAAAGTTGATGAGAAGAGTTGTGACAGATGAGGATTGCAGGATCCTCCAAGAGGACCTGAACAGGTTGCAGAGATGGTCAGAGAAATGGCTACTGGAGTTCAACACGAGCAAATGTAAAGTTATGGAAATGGGACTAGGAGATAGGAGACCAAAGGGACAGTACACAATGAAGGGGAACTGCCTAACCGTGACGACGCGTGAAAGAGACCTGGGGGTGGACGTAACACCTAATCTATCTCCTGAGGCACATATAAATAGGATAACGACAGTAGCGTACTCTACACTGGCAAAAGTTAGAACATCATTCAGAAGCCTAAGTAAGGAGGCATTTAGGGCGCTTTACACTGCCTACGTGAGGCCAGTCTTAGAGTATGCCGCCTTATCATGGAGTCCCCATCTGAAGAAGCATATAATGAAACTGGAAAAGGTTCAGAGGTTTGCAACGAGACTCGTCCCAGGGTTACGAGGGATGGGGTATGAGGAGTGGCTGAGGGAACTGTGCCTTACGACACTAGGAAGAAGAAGGGAGAGGAGGGGGACATGATAGGAACGTATAAAATACTCAAGGGGATTGACAGAGTGGACATAGACGAAATGTTCACACGGAATAGTAACAGAACGAGGGGACATGGGTGGAAGCTGGAAACTCAGATGAGTCACAGGGATGTTAGGAAGTTTTCTTTTAGCGTGAGAGTAGTGGGGAAATGGAATGCACTTCAGGAACAGGTTGTGGAAGCAAATACTATTCATAATTTTAAAACCAGGTATGATAGGGAAATGGGACAGGAGTCATTGCTGTAAACAACCGATGCTCGAAAGGCGGGATCCAAGAGTCAATACTCGATCCTGCAGACGCAATTAGGTGAGTAAACCCACACACACACACACACGCAGGCATGCACGCACACACACACACACGTGTACAAGTACTCATCAGTACACACGTGTGTCTGTGTACCGCGGTACACGCACATGTGTGTACATAAGAGTGTACGGGTGTTGTACAGAGCATGTGTCACACCACAAGCGGGGTATAGCATTATCCTGGTGCCGTACCCGTGAGGTCCCTGGTGACGATGGTCCTGAGGGTGGACATGTGGAGCTGGAGGAGGACGTGGTGTGTGGGGTGGAGGCTGACCCTCAGGGCGTCAGCCATGGCTTCCAGGGCCTCGGCGTCGTTGGGACGGAGGCCTCGCAAGCCCAGCCCCACCCGGGCTCCCACCCGGGCCACCTGCTCAACACAACGTCCACAGTTACTGCTTTATTGCTCTCAAAATGTTGATACCTTATGTTATTTATTTCTTAAAATTACACTCACACACATGCACACATACACACACATACATATATACACACACACACAGACTCACATAGAATAGACTCGTTCCTCTCAATGTTTGCTGATGCTGCAAAAATTATGAGGAGGATTAAGACAGGAAGATAGTATGAGCCTACAAGATGACCTAAACAAACTAAAGAAATGGTTGAACAAATGGCTATTAAAGTTCAAGCCAAGTAAATGTAAGGTGATGAAACTAGGCGGAGGAAATAGGAGGCCAGACACAGGATACCGAATGGGGGAGGAAGTCCATCATGAAACAGACAGAGAGAAAGATCTAGGAGTTGATATCAAGCCAAACCTGCCTCCTGAAGCCCACATCAAAATAATAACATCGGCGGCGTATGCGAGGCTGGCTAACATCAGAATTTCCTTCAGAAACCTGTGTAAGGAATCCTACAGAACCTTCTGAAAGAACTGTTTCATAAATTTATTAGCTAACCTCTTCCTTTCCAAAATTCTAATCCTTTACAATACTTATTGTCCTCTTCTCACCAATCACGTAACTGGCAAAAGGTTAAATAATCCCTGGCTCACAAATGGCATACTCAATGCAATCGACAAGAAACATGAATATGAAAAAACTTAGGATTGGCCTAGTTGCAAAGGAAGTAGTTAAGAGGTACTCGTCAGTGCTTACCAGTATAATAAGAAAAGCAAAACTTTCCTATTATGAGAATAGATTCAAAGAAGCAAAAGGCAACATGAAAAGCACACGGAGAGCCATCTCTAACACCCTAGGAGCTAAACAACACTCACATAACCAGATAAAAATATCCAAGGAAGGTTATACACCTGCAACTGATCTAGAAACAGCAACTGAATTTAACAGCTTCTTTTCATCGGTTGGTGCTAACCTTGCCAGTAAAATCCCACAGACTCAGACACATGTTACCACATATCTCTCAGGCAGCTATCCGAATTCTCTTCTCCTCTCACCAGTCAGCCCGACAGATGTTGTGTCCATCATACACTCACTAAAAACCAAAGCTGGGAACATCAGTGAAATACCATCCATTGTATACAAGAGCGCCTCCCATGCCCTTGCGCCACCCATAGCTCTGCTTCTCAATAAATCTCTCGAGTGTCATACCTTCCCTGATATCCTTAAAAAAGCAAGAGTAACACCAGTTCATAAAGGAGGTAATCCGGCAGACATAAACATTTACAGACCAATATCAAATCTACCTATATTATCAAAAATATTTGAAAAAATTATATACAAACAGCTCTACTTCTATCTTAATAATAATAATAATAATTTATTTAGGAAAAGTACACACATAGTTGCAGAGTTACAGTACAAACATTCTGATTTAAAGATAGAGTTAGTACATACAATACCTAAAGCCACTAGTACGCATAGCGTTTCGGGCAAGGTGAGGTGGGGGAAAAAACCCACTTGGACTAAAACTTAATTGTAATTGAGCTTAAAGTATAAATTGCGTTGAAAGAAAAAAATAATAAAAGATAAAAAAAAAGGGGGAACATGGTAGAAAATAGCCAATATACAAGTTGGTCAACAAACAGCATTTTTTTTTTTTAATAGTAAGACATGGGTTGCCATTTAGGGGTAAGGTAGGTTACATGGAGTTAATTAGGTAGTACTTAGTTTTCATCTTAAACTGGTTGAGAGAGGTACAGTCTTTGACATGATTGAGAAGGTTGTAGCGAGTAGATTATCCCAATAATATACTCGCTCCAAATGCATTGTTAATATTCCTGTCAACCTTTGGAGATGAATGAGGTGAGGCGTTGCCCGGGCAACACGGTGAGGTGTTGCCCGAGCATATAAGCAGCGGAGTAGCGAACATTGGCTAGTCTACTTTCAAGTGTGGTCTAGAGCAGACACTTGCGAGATACTGTACCAACGCTCAGTGCGCTCAACTCACACCAAAGTATCACCTGTGTACTTCTGTATATTCGACCAAATATATATATAGTATCTTAGTGTCTGTGTTTATTGTCACCATACTTTAGGTAACAATAGAATCGTTACAAGGTCATTCCACATTCTGGGTCCCTTGATTTGTAGAGCATTTCTAGTTTGATTAAGTCGTACTCTTGGAATATCAAATAGGTATTTGTTTCTGGTGTGGTGCTCATGGGATCTGTTACAACCTTCTAGGAAGCGTTGAAGGTCAGGATTGACATTACAATTCAGAGTTTTAAATATATAGAGTACACAAGAGAGGATGAGCAGTGACTTAATATCTAACATATTCAGAGATTTGAGTAGGGGTACCGAGTGCTGTCTGGGGCCAGAGTTGGATATTGTCCTAATAGCAGCTTTGTGTTGAGTAATTAGAGGACGTAAATGATTTTGGGTAGTAGAACCCCAAGCATAAATACCATAGTTGAGATAAGGATAGACGAGAGAGTAATAGAGAGTCACCAGGGCAAGGCGAAGTACATCAAATCTGATCTTAGAAAGAATGCCAACAGGTTTTTGAAACTTTTTTTGCTATATTTAGAATGTAATATCTGCTATCATATATATATATATATATATATATATATATATATATATATATATATATATATATATATATATATATATATATATATTGTGACGGTAAAGCGTTGGTGTTCGGCTGTTTTCAAAAGCTAGGGGCAGGGCCTCGTCACATTATAGAAAAAAAAGAGAAAAGCTGGAGCTTTCGTCTGTGATAAGGTAATGGGAAGACACACAAAACACAATGAAATTTTAATTACTCTAGAAAAACAAGACATGAATAAAGTTAAGCACATAAAATATAAAAGACAAGTCAACAAACAAAATAATATTAATCTGTGTAGACACTCTATGTAAATAAAAAGACCTGGTCTATAGAACTCACTCCCTAACGAATTTAAAAAGTGTCCAACTTTTGCCTTATTCAAAAATAAAACGAAAAAGTATCTAATTTCATCTTCATAGTTTCCTACCTTGTGCTCTAATTCACACTGTGTCTAGTGCTACCCAATCCCCCAATATATGTACCTAAGCCATGTAACTTTACCATTGTAATCTTTGATATCATCTGATACCATGGTTGTTATATTGAGTGCATATTCTACTGCATTATTCCTTGAAATGATCCTCAAATTGTACTTTAGTGAACCAACTGATAACCCTGAAATTTTACCCTAATGAACCTAGTAATCCTTGTTCATTATAGTGTATTGTTATTATTGTGTATTAATCTAGTCTTTGTTTATTGTGCCAAAATTTCTTACAATGTACCTGTAAACATTTTTTGTCAATTTTACTGTAAATTCTCTACTTAAAATTATGTTAGTTTAAAGACTTGCCCGAAACGCTATGCGTGCTAGTGGTATTACGAGAATGTAAAATCAACATAATTTGTATGTACTCTCTTAACCCTCGATGTACCTTACCTTGAGGTTACCTTGAGGTGCTTCCGGGGCTTAGCGTCCCCGCGGCCCGGTCGTCGACCAGGCCTCCTGGTTGCTGGACTGATCAACCAGGCTGTTGGACGCGGCTGCTCGCAGCCTGACATATGAGTCACAGCCTGGTTGATTAGGTATCCTTTGGAGGTGCTTATCCAGTTTTCTCTTGAACACTGTGAGGGGATTGCCAGTTATGCCCCTTATGTGTAGTGGAAGCGAGTTGAACAGTCTCGGGCCTCTGATGTTGATAGAGTTCTCTCTCAGAGTACCTGTTGCACCTCCGCTTTTTAACGGGGGTATTCTGCACATCCTGCCATGTCTTCTGGTCTCATGTGATGTTATTTCTGTGTGCAGGTTTGGGACCAGCCCCTCTAATATTTTCTACGTGTAAATTAGTATGTATCTCTCCCGCCTGCGCTCAAGGGAGTACAGATTTAGGCTCTTTAGTCGGTCCCAATAGTTTAGGTGTTTTACTTCTACTTTTACTTTTACCTTCTTGTATATAAATAAATAAATAAATAAATAAATTGGATACCACGTATGTAAGACCAATCCTGGAGTATGCTGCCCCAGCATGGAGCCCGTACCTTGTCAAGCACAAGACGAAGCTGGAAGAAGTTCGGAGGTATGCTGCTAGGCTAGTTCAGAACTAAGAGGCATGAGTTACGAAGAAAAGTTGAGGGAACTGAACCTCACGTCGCTGGAAGACAGAAGAACTCGGGGAGACATGATCACCACATACAAAATTCTCAGAGAATTGACAGGGTAGACAAGGATGGATTATTTAACACGGGCGGTACACGCACAAGGGGACACAGGTGGAAGCTGAGTACCCAAATGAGCCACAGAGACATTAGAAAGAACTTTTTCAGTGTCAGAGTAGTTAGTAAATGGAATGCACTAGGAAATGATGTGGTGGAGGCTGACTCCATACACAGTTTCAAATGTAGATATGATAGAGTCCAGTAGGCTCAGGAACCTGTACACCAGTTGATTGACGGTTGAGAGGCGGGACCAAAGAGCCAGAGCTCAACCCCCGCAAGCACAATTAGGTGAGTACATGCACGTACACATACAAGCAGACACCCTTCAGTAAGACATGGTGACAGTACCCCCGCAGGAGACTAACTAATACACAAAAATAGAAAGGAAAGGAACTCTCGGGGGAAAGCGCCAAGCCATTACGACTACATAGCACTTGGAAGGGATCAAGATACGGGCACAAAATGGAGAAACAGGCAGGAGTGACAGGGAAGGTGCTCCAGTGGATGAAGGATTACCACTGCGACATAAAATATGTCGGAGTAACAGGAGAGGCTTCAGAGTGGCGAGAAGACATCAGTGTCGTTCCAAAAGGGACAGTTGGATTTGGATTTTTTGGATTTGATGTTCAAAAAGCTTGGAAAGGATGTGGAAGGAAGAGGGATGTGGAGGTGAAATTCTTGGAAGAGGATGTGGACGTGGAGTGAGGAGGCTTGAAAGTTGGGTGGCCGCGTCACTATGAGTTGGCATGATGTTTTGGTCTTGACCTTGTTGATGGTTCTTATTCTGCGGCAGTAGGCTAGTGATGTGACGGTTGGCTGCTGTCCAGGTTTAAGCGGGGGTGTTCTCTCTGACCTGGAGGGGGCGTCTTCCCTACTGAGTTGGTGAAACTATTCTTACATTAACTGAGGTTTGGTGGTTTCTATCTCGTGGGAGTGCGTTTCAATAGTCAGCACAACACCTCTGGTAACGGAGTTCCTTCCGGGTCTTGGGGTTCGTCGCGGGCATCTTCCTCGACTGGAGAGTAACCCGGGTCGAAGTACTCTCTCTTCAGGATAGTGAGGTCAGTGTGTCTCCACATTATTTATGTGTGGACATACATTTGGTGAGGGAATTTGTCGGGGTTCTTGTTGGCAATGATCTCGTTGAATTGTACGGCCAGTTGGTTTTTAGTACTGCTGTTGCCCTTGAATTCGGTATCCCCTTCAATGCAGAAGAGGTAACAAGGGGCGCCTCGTGTCTGTCTTACGCCTCTTGCATGTGGGTTCGTGTTCGGGTTCAATCCAGGAGACTTCAAGTTCTGGAAGATCCATGTTGTCTTCTGGTTGAGTTGCTGGTTCTGTTGCTATCGCATCCGCTTGGTGATCTTGGTTTATCGTCAGTGGAGGGAGTTGATGTAGCCATTGGGTGATTGGCTGTCAGGTATGGGGTGGCTTGGGGCCGTGCGGTAGCTGATGCCAGGGTCGGTGGTGTTGCTAGCACTGTTCTCGGTTCCTAAGCGAGGATGTCGTGGGCATTGTTGCTGCTGGTCCCGTTGTTGTTGTGGCCTGGTCTGGTCGAGTTGAAGCAACTTGTGTAATCTGTAGTAAGTCCGCTGAGACAGATATCCTGGGGTAGTCCGTTGGCCTCCAGCAGCCTGTAGAGTATAGTTACGTACTTGGTGACGTCCGTCCCTGCCAGCTTCTCCGCGAGGTTAATCAGTACAGCGACCAGAGTGGTGGCGACCGAGGCCGCTGATTGGTTGGTAGCAGTGGCTGGAGCCGAAGCGGTAGCAGTTTTTTTTTTATTATTATTATTTTCTACCACAGACGTGGCCACACATTTACAATGCTAACCAGCATATATACATTTTCTTCTGTCCTCCATGGACAGGGTTAGAGAAGTGTTAAACATATAGTTCAGGGGTTTATTGAACACTCAACAACAGAAGGTGATTCGGTGCTTTTAAAATGCTAAGCTAACCTACATACGTAAATACATAGATACACAGATTTACTTATGCCCTACATAAAGTGTTCGATGTGTCTTTTACAGTGTCATTAATGTACATTCACAAAGGTGAAATGTAATTCTGATCAGCTTCCATATATACTTTATACCCATACATATACATACACACACATATATACATACATATATACACACACACACATGCATTCACATACATTTGTCTCATTTACTCTGACAGGGTGAGATAGCTGATAAAGAAACTAGTGTGCAATTAAGCACTTAATCACTGAAGGTGATGAAGGTGCTTTTACAAGCTCAGGTTATATAGTTACATCATATATATACATTGTATGATTGATATATTACACGGTCAGTCTTAGATACAAGTCCAATATATCATCAAGTGTTCCAGTACTCATATAGTAATTACACAGTTCAGCATACCTTAGCCCAGGAGGGCGAAAGTCAGTCAGTATGGGACATTCTACAATATAATGTTCAAGAGAGTGCATGTTTTCTCTTTCACAAAGTTGACACATTGTGTACTCGACATTTGGGTTTTGAGAAAGCTGCCAGATACGTCTATATCCCAGGCGTATTCTGGCCACTATAACATCACATTGCCGGGTTCTTGTTCTATTAGTCACTGTCAGCCCCAAAGATCTCAGTACATAGGCAAGACAACAACTCCAGCATTATGGAATCCGAGGCCTTGCCCTTGACTACATCCGATCCTATCTTAGTGACAGACACCAATATGTAACCATCAATGATACAACTTCTTCCACTCTACCAATTACCATTGGAGTGCCACAGGGCAGTATCTTAGGACCTCTTCTATTTCTTATATATATAAATGATCTGCCTAATGTCTCTAATATTCTTAAACCTATATTGTTTGCTGACGATACTACCCTTATCTATTCAAACCCCAACCCACATACACTAAATAATGTTGTGAATAATGAATTAAAAAAAGTCCACTTATGGATGACAACTAACATTAAACATAGAAAAGACTTACTACATCTTATTTGGAAGCAAATCATCGAATGCAATTCAGCTACAGATAGACAACATTAACATCAGTAATAAAAATGATGGCAAGTTTCTTGGCCTATTCCTAGACAAGAGACTCAACTTCAGCACCCACATTCAACACATAACTAAGAAAGTCTCTAAGACAGTTGGTATACTCTCTAAAATAAGATATTATGTTCCTAACTCTGCTCCTCTCTCACTATATTATGCATAATCTACCCCTATCTTAATTATGGTATCTGTGCATGGGGGTCTACCACTGCAAACCACCTTAAGCCCATCATCACACAGCAACAATCTGCTATCAGAATAATAACAAACTCTGCTTTCAGACAACACTCAGCTCCCTTGTTTGAATCCCTAAACTTGCTAAATATTAACTCCCTCCACACATTCTCTTGTGTCAACTACATTTACAAAACCCTGTTCTTAAATGCAAACCATGCTCTGAAACTCTCTCTGGACAGATGTAATAGGACCCATTATCACCACACCATAAATAAATATCTCTTTGATATCCCCAGGGTCAAACTTAATCTGTGTAAACACTCTATGCAAATTAAGGGACCTGGTCTATGGAACTCACTCCCTAGTGAATTGAAAAGCTGTCAAATTTTTGCCTTATTTAAAAGCACAACCAAAAAGTACCTAATTTCATCTTCTTAGTTTCCTACACTGAGCTTTAAATTTGCTCTGTACCTAGTATTACCCAATCTCCCAATTTTTATGTACTTAACCCAAACTACTTTATCATTGTGTTCATTGCTGTCTTCTACTATGTGCTAGCCATATGCTGTATTGTGCCTACCAATTTTTGTCAACTACCATTCAAGCTGACATTGCAATCAATCTGAGCTACCTATGTGCTATAATATACCTACAATTTTCTCTCATCTTTTTTTTCTTGCCTTGTAACTGTTATCATTTATTATAAATTTTGCAAGTATTTACCTACTTAAAATTTTCTTAGATTAATAAGGACCTGCCGGAAACGCTGCGCGTACTAGTGGCTTTACAAGACTGTAATTACCATATTATGTATCCTCACAATCCCAATGTACCTTCTTGTATATGCATAAATAAAAATAAATAAATACATATAGCACTTGGAAGGGGTCAGGATTAGGGTTTGGGATGGGACGAGGGGGACAGGAATGGTGCCCAACCATTTGGACGGTCGGGGATTGAACGCCGACCTGCATGAAGCGAGACCGTCGCTCTACCATCCAGCCCAAGTGGTTTGGACAAGAGATAAATGAGACGCTCGTGAAACCGAAGAACGGTACAAAATGCCCCGCTCCTGTGCCAAGTAAGTCCACTACGGGCTCACAAAAGCCCGTGCTATTTGCCCCGCTCCTGTGCCAGGTAAGTTACGGGCTCACTATTACTTGTAGTAGTACAGGCCCGTACTACTTGAAACCTGTTCCGAGTAGCTGAATCTATAACAACAACAACAACAAACCGAAGAAGAAACATTAATGGAGACAAAGGAAAGTCAAGAAACGATTGTAATTCATGAGAGGGTGTAGGCGGGAGTGTGGCCCAGGTGCTGCTGCCCACACCCAGGGTTCCGGGACACAACAACGGCATGCAATAACCAAGAATATTTACCTCTTTGGCGGGGGCGGTGTGTGGGCACCCTGAGTGGCACCTCCAGTCAGCTGTGGGGTCGAGGGGGGCGGAGGAGACGAGAGGACCCCCACACCCCGGACACAGTGGGGACCCCAGAAAAGTTCCCAGCTCGGTGGGGTCTTGGCACCGCCTGCAGGTGCAGGTGAACTGCTTGGAGACTCGCAGGTGATCTTGCCGGAGCATGGTGGCCCACAGGGGGTCGGTGTAGCAGGTGGTGACGATAGCTCCCTCGGGAATGTGGTCTACAGCCCTCAGCACCAGGTCTCCGCGGTTACTGAACCACTGCTGAGTGTTGGCGCGGCACTCGTGGGTCAGCAGGGATGCCACGGGGTAGAGGCCGTGCACGCGCGTGTCAAACCCCAGCGGCACCTCGAAGCCATTGGTGTCCCAGACGGAGCACACGCGGTGCACCAGGGCAGGGTCGGCGGCCGCCTGCAGGGTGTTCGTCACCACCGCCACGATGTGCTTCTGGTTCACTCTGTAGCGCTGTGAGTCCCTTTCGACGTTCCCTTGTAACGCCATGATAACCTTTCTATTCATGTCACTATGGCCCATAGCGAGGATCGTCCGAACTGCCGGCTGCACCACATATTGGCGCAGCACCTCCAGACACCTCTGCTGGTGCAAGGTCTTCTGCGCCTGTTGCAGCAGCGCCTGCGCCTGGGTCCGCTCCTCGCAGGGCAAGGATGCCAGGCGCTCCCATATCACTTTTTCTTCCTGCCTGGCCTCCTCAGAGGAATCACCTAGGCCCAGGCGCCGCAGGAGTGCACACTCCTCCTGGTGCTCCTCCGTCAGACACTGAGCGCCACACAGGAAGAAGCCACAGTCGGGACAGGTGAATTCCCCGGCGCGCCTGAAGCACGAGAGGCAGTATGGTGGAGACTTGGCTCTCAGGGCCAGCACCAGCGGCGGCTCCACCAGTAGCACCTCCCCTGGCCTCACGCCCCTCCGAGCCACCAAGTGCCGCCCGTACACTTCACTCACGCCCACCTTCAGGGCGCCACTCACGCCCCCACGCGCCTCCACTTCCGGTAAAGTTGTCTCCCAGGACACTTCTTCTCTCCACGCCTGAATTTTGGCCAGCAGGTCCTCGTGCGGGAGGGCCATGTTGGTGGCCCAGGACGGCGGTGTGGGTAGCCAGGTGGGGTTGTGAGGCACCAGCTGCACCATGTACTCCTCCAGCACCCTCACACCATCACTCTCCTTCCCCGTGACTCCTATGCCACTCACGTTCCTGGCACAGTTTTCTGAGCCTGTTGTTGTTGTAGGCAATTGCTCATTGGCAGCCATTTTTCTCCCTAGAAGAGAAATAATCACAGAATTAAAACCAAGTAAATTCCCACTCTACCGAACACATTCCCATTGTCAGCGCTGGTCGCCACATAATCACATCCACCCGTTTGATGAAGATTAAGCCACCCAAGAGGTGGCACGGGCATGAGTAGCCCGTGAGACCTCCCCCCCCTCCCCTTTCTCCCTTTTGTCACCCCTCCACCCCGCCCCCCCCCCCAATCACCTCACCCCGCTGCCTTCCCTTATTACCACGAAAGAGCTGTGTGGAGTAAGCAAACCAATGAGTTTGCTGGAGAACTGGTAACCATAGTGAAATACCTGATATAGCGATAGCCTCTTAATTATAATACTGGAAATTGCTAGACTAATTTATCTATTTATTTATTATACACAAACAGTTAATTGTGTGCACTCTTACTGCCTTGCTGAAAATGCCTTTTTGTGGTGCATGCAACTACGGACGTCAAAGTTGACCAATGGTATGAACAGATCATGTCACACGTAAGTTTACTTTCTAGAATGCAAACTACAAACTGAAAGAAAAATCACACTGTCCAAGTACACTGACGATTCAATATAGCAAGTGAAAGGACGTGACGTGTTGGCATGACCCCCCAACGGTACCACAACTGTGAGGATCGTACCAGTTAATATTTGTACATCCACCTTACGGGTTAGCTATTCTTTTATCACTCAAATGTATTGAACAGAAAATAGCAGTAGACAGTATAATAGTCATAGGCTTCATTCCCCCATTACTAGCGACATAAAAAAGTCAGTTTTATGGCCAAAGGCAGCCACACATTACATCTTATGGGGTGCATAATAAACTAACGCTCACAAGATATGTGGTGAACAATTAGGGTCGAGGCTCGACTCTAATGTTTATTTTTGTATCGTATCCTCGTCTGATAATCATTTGCTTCTACTATTTCTCCAATTAATTCCTCCCGCTTGTCCTCCACTTTTACACTAAACACGTTCCTGTTCACATCCCCAGGACTCGCCTGCGGTCACTATATACAACACACCTTTCATCTCTTTTTCTAGCTATAATTTTGTTTATTTTGGAAGGTATTCTCTGCGAGGGCTGGAGACTGTCCCGAGTGATGTGTATACAGCTCCACGCAGGTCGACAGCTTCTAGCGTCCTCAGAGTTGTCACTCATACAGATGTGGGAAAGTATGTCAACCACCTACCAGATCCTATTCTTCTGTTATATCAACTATCAAACTCTAGTCCCCTCTTAAACCATGCCAGGTTTAATTCCTCTTTTATGTCAACTACCAGGCTCTACTCCTCTGTTATGTCAGATATCAGGTACTAGCCCTATGTGATGTCAACTGTCAAGTTCTACTCCTCTGTTATGTCCACTATCAGCCCCATTACTGAGGGTGCGTTCGTATACCCACGGTGAGGGTTAGTGGATTAGACTCACACCACATAAAGAACCATCCTGGTGACCTGTATTTTGTGAACCCATATTCAGTAGGGAAGCTGTATAATGTTGTGTACTTAAGCTTGCCCATATTAATAAAAATGCAAAGCACACGAGGGTGGGGGTTCGAAGACTACATTAGAGGGGGGTGTTGTTCGAAGTCAACACGAGGGCATATTCAAAACCCACATGAGGGAGTGTTCGAAGCCCTCATGAGGGTATATTCAAAGCCCATATGAGGATGGGTTGGTTAAAAGCACACGCGGACCGTTGTTTCTGCCGTTGACTCGAACTACTTCAAAACATTTCACCTACCAATTCATACCTTCATTTTACACATATTCGGAGAAAACAAAATTAGAGTTTAACCCACTTTTTTCACAGTATAATTTTTCTTATTTGCGGAAAAATGAAAATAACCAAAAATTCTGTAACTTGCGCTACCAAGAGCCCGGCACGAGGCTTGTCCTGAAATAATGTTGTACGCCGTAGCCTTATTCTGCCTTGTATTTTCTGTTTTCAACAACCATAATTCAATTTCTTCGCGGTGCACTGTAAACTGAGGATGACTACTGACGTGTACCTGGGTGTGCGAGTGCCACAGGACTACTGTAGACCACAAGCCAGCTACCGTGACACACCTTGGCGGCTCAGGCTATTTTGAGTGCCTCAGTTATTTTTAATTTCCTGTATTTACTTCCGGCCTTGTGCGTTGTTGCTGGGTTTGGGGAGGAATTTGTGGTCTAGCCACATGCAGGCCGCCAAGTGCGTGTGTGTAATATCCCAGGGGGGGGGGGAGGGTGATAGCATCTAGGTCATCCGTCACTATCCCAGGCATCACATTACCCAGGCATCACATTATGGTCCTCCGTCAATATCCCAGGCATCATATTATGGTCCTCCGTCAATATCCCAGGCATCATATTATGGTCCTCCGTCACTATATCCCAGGCATCATATTATGGTCCTCCGTCAATATCCCAGGCATCATTATGGTCCTCCGTCACATATCCCAGGCATCATATTATGGTCCTCCGTCACTATCCCAGGCATCACATTATGGTCCTCCGTCAATATCCCAGGCATCACATTATGGTCCTCCGTCAATATCCCAGGCATCATATTATGGTCCTCCGTCACTATCCCAGGCATCACATTATGGTCCTCCGTCAATATCCCAGGCATCATATTATGGTCCTCCGTCAATATCCCAGGCATCCATTATGGTCCTCCGTCAATATCCCAGGCATCATATTATGGTCCTCCGTCACTATCCCAGGCATCACATTATGGTCCTCCGTCAATATCCCAGGCATCATATTATGGTCCTCCGTCACTATCCCAGGCATCACATTATGGTCCTCCGTCAATATCCCAGGCATCATATTATGGTCCTCCGTCACTATCCCAGGCATCACATTATGGTCCTCCGTCAATATCCCAGGCATCACATTATGGTCCTCCGTCAGTATCCCAGGCATCACATTATGGTCCTCCGTCAATATCCCAGGCATCACATTATGGTCCTCCGTCACTATCCCAGGCATCACATTATGGTCCTCCGTCAATATCCCAGGCATCACATTATGGTCCTCCGTCACTATCCCAGGCATCACATTATGGTCCTCCGTCAATATCCCAGGCATCACATTATGGTCCTCCGTCAATATCCCAGGCATCATATTATGGTCCTCCGTCACTATCCCAGGCATCACATTATGGTCCTCCGTCAATATCCCAGGCATCACATTATGGTCCTCCGTCAATATCCCAGGCATCACATTATGGTCCTCCGTCAATATCCCAGGCCTCACATTATGGTCCTCCGTCAATATCCCAGGCATCACATTATGGTCCTCCGTCAATATCCCAGGCCTCACAGGGTCTTCCGTCAATATCCCAGGCCTCACAGGGTCTTCCGTCAATATCCCAGGCCTCACAGGGTCTTCCGTCAATATCCCAGGCATATCAAGGTCTAAAAGGAAAAGAAGCTAAATGCAAATTCAAATTCAAAAAATGCAGAAAATGATGAACCTATGGTTTAATCAGGGGAGGTAAAGTGGCAGAGCAACTAAGTACAAGGGCATGGAGAACCTACAGAAATAACAGAACACCAGGAACACCAGAGAGCAGAGGGCCAGGAATGAGTGGCTCAGAGTGAGAAGAGAGGCAGTGAGAGAGAATGAAAATGACATAGCGAATAAAGCAGACCCAACCCAAATTGCTGCACAGCCACATCAGGAGGAAAACAACAGTGAAGTTTATAGTTTAGTTCATTTATTATGCACCCCTTACCCAACTTGTGGGCGGTAGTGGAAAGGGTTACAGAGGCACATAATGGGCTCAGGGACTGAACCCCACAATTCATTTAGCTAAGCAAGTTACAATCTTGATGAGCTAGTTACAAAATTCAGTATAAGTCGTCACATCAACAATGGGTTCGAGATCGACCTCAAGTACAGTTTCTAATTTAAGCAACTGACAAGTGGAGAGCTAGTGTCAAAATTGATATGTTTGTCCTGCACACCGCGCCCCCATCCAGTGGGCAGCGGTGGATAGGTTACAATCACTCTTAGTTACTACCTACAGTTAGCAAACTGGGGATATTTGGCTAAAATTTCTGGTAGCAGATCATTTTGAATGAAATATTGACACATCGTTGGTACATTGGTTATAGAATTGTCTCTGAATTCACGTATCTTTTCACACTCCATCACATAGTGACGGAGGATGTGCGAATAATTTTGTTGACACAGTTCACATTTAGTCAGGTCTACATCAGCAGATAATGAGAATTCCCAAAGATACTTGTAACCGAGTCTAAGCCAAGTAAACGAATACGAAATCCTTTATAATTAATAATTTACACAACAAACTTAATCCTTACGACAGCTTATTGTTTTTGTTTATATTTATGCATGTATTGTTAATTAATTAATTCTGGAATTTTAAATTTCACTCTAATATGCAAAGAAGACATTTAATTAAACCAGATGACAACATGAACATAACTGGAGCAGAAACTCCCAGGAAAAGTGACTAACATAATGAAGAGGAACTTTGTTGCTAGAGACATCTAGCGCAGAGAATACACATCAATTCGAACTTTCTTATCTTATTTTTAGACAGAATATATCTTTCAAAAACTTTTTTATCCAATTACCAATATTCTTGTATTATATAAATCATAGTGTATACTTGTTGGTCTATATATAATTTTTTATAAAAACAGGAATTAATGCGCAAGTGGTGACGAGTGGCATTAAGAGGTTTCCAACGTGGCGTTATGAAAATCGTGGACATGTTTCGCAGCTCAGTATAGGGTTCACACCGCGCATGCGTCAAAAACTTTAAATTCAAAGACAGAACGGAGTGCTCAGGGGCGGTGGTGTTGTTGTTGTGTATTCTGTTGTGTGTTGTAGCCAGGTGAGTCTGTCCACCATGGTGGTTATTGTTGGGAAGGAGAGGAGTGTCCGCGCGCGGGAGGCGCATGTGTGTATGTGTGGTTTGTCTTGTTAATTAAGGAGAGTTTGACACGTTGGTAATGTGAAGGCGAATGTTTGCTCCAGTTATAATTCATGTCTAATTATTATGGAACGTTGTAGTGTTACAATATTAAATTATTGAATGTGGTTGTGGCAGGCATAATTGTTGTGGCTTGTATTTGGTGTTTGTTCTTGTCAATAAACGTTGTAAGTTTATATTCCTTGTCAGTGGAATGCTGAGTGGACAGCGCTCTGGGTTCGTAGTCTTAAGTTTCCAAACTATAATTCGATCCCAGGCGGAGACAAATGGGCAGTTTTTCACCCTGATGCTCCTGTTCATCTAGTAAAGATACCTGGGAGTTAGACAGCTGCTATAGGCTACTTCCTGGGTGTGTGTGTGAGAAAATTAGGCTTAAGAACTTGCCCGAAATGCTATGCATGCTAGTGGCTGTACAAGAATGTAAAAACTCTTGTATATATTAAACAAAAATAAATAGAGGTGCTCGTTATTACTGTATTGGAAAAGCTAACTACTCAGCCGTACTGTGTGTTGCTAATATTGTGGCGGGTGTTGAGATTCAAGAGCAGAAGTTTTTAAACACATGGGACAAAATCGTACTGAAGCGACCTTAAGTCATAAATACTCCACCAAAGTAAAATTGACACAAGCAACACTTAGTGGGCCAGCCAGAGGCTTAAGGCCTGCTCAGGAATATCCCTGGCCCCCCCCCCCCAAAAAAAAAAAAAAATCCCTTCTAACTTGGCCCAAGAGTCAGCACCACAGGGGGCCAGCATGGGGCTGGAGGCCCACACAGCCTCCAAGTGTTGACCTGCCAGTGTGTGCACGTGTCCGCCAGCTGGCTCTACTGTTCACTGGACTCCTCACAGAAGCAAGAAGTCCAAAATCCTGTATTGTTCATGACATAGTTGCTATCTCATAACCCCCCAAACACACACCGAGACTACGACGTTGGTACAACGTTCGAACAAGATTTAACACCACCTAACCAGTTATAACAACCAATATAGCAAGTTGTAACAACGTTCTAATACGTCATAAACACGTTAAGCCAAGATGTAACGACTTTATTACAAGTTGTAACAAGCGGAAAATAGAGACAGTTTCGGTTTGTGTTTCCAGGGAACTTGGCACTTGGTTAAATTTTACACGAGGGCTACTACAGTATATAATGGGCTCGATGGAGACGGGAAGCTGGCGGCTTGTTTAAAGTCGCCCAGTTATTAGCAGGGATTTGAAATTGAACGTTTCTTAAATTTATAATTGTTGAAAACTACTTGCTGCACTCAATTATAACAATGAGCCTATAACAGCAATAATTTAAGCTTATTGAGTACCTGCTGACTAACATATCAACCAATTTGTTTTATATTTAAATTTGCCTAAAGTTACACGTCCTACTCAATTATTAATTTTAACCCCAACCAGGTGTAACAGAGACCAATGTAATTAAATTTTTTCCATTGTTTTGGAAACCCAGAAAAGTTGTTAGTTGGAAAGGGTGACTTAAGAATGAGTGACAACTTTTCATGCTGTAAAATTTAGCACAATTGTGATGTTTTGGATAAATTGAGTTGTATAGTGAGAATGCCATGATACAATTGCATCTAAAGCTAGGTCTCTTGAAGAAACCTAATCTATTTACTTGTCTTGGTGCACTGCCTACTTGGCTGCAGATAATCAGCCATTGTAATACCCTGTACGTCATTCACTTCATGCTGCTGTTCGTCCAGTAGCTTGTTTTTTTCACTCTTGTTAACTATACGTTACTTTGTATGTCGGCATTAAAATTTGTCTGCCATTCATTAGGTTTACTAAGATGTTTAGTTTTGCTTGTAATGTGTTGCTCTAATGGTGTTGTAACTTCCTCTTTAGTGTCATTGGCAAGTTTTGATATTGTACCGTATTAGCCATTAATTGATGTCATATAAATCGCAGGACCAAAACTAATCCCAAAAAGGACTCCTATAGCATTCCATACCGTCAAAGTGGTTGGGCACCATTCCTTCCCTCCACTCCCATCCTAGATCCTTATTCTGATCTCTTAAAAATGCTATATACTCTATTCGAACCTGCGTCCGGGAGCATCCCAGACACTGCCTTAATCGACTGAGCTACGACAGGGTCCTGTGTCTAACCATACATTTTAGTTATTAAAAATGTCCCAATTTTAAGCTTTTTAACTTTAATATTTTTTGGATAAAATGTTAGAATTGGCCATTTTCTCTTATTTAGCACCAAATAGTACTATGTATCCTGTTCAGAAATAATGATAAATCAAAGGAGTTCTTGTTCATTGCTCGGTAATGGATTTTTTTATTTTACATTTTCCACCGTAAATAGAGAAGTGAAAAACTTTGATTTCCTTGACTTCTGACTTCATCCTGTCACTATTTTCTGCTGATATTGGACCAATTGACTAGCAATCCTTTCATGTACAAGTACAAAACTTCTGGATTTGCTTTGCCATTTTATGCAATATAGGATTGTTTTCTTCATGGTCTACCAAAACCAGTTTCTTAGCTATTCACTGTAACAATAATGCTCTACTGAAGTCCCCATTGTTTTTTCCTTGTTTTAGTTGTTCTTGGCAACTTTGTATTTTTTTGCCATTGTGGTTTGATGGATACTTTAGATTGCCTGTTGCATAAAAACTGACAGTTTATGCATACTATAGTCTCCAGGAGACCTTACACTAAAATTAGCATAAACTGCAGTGCAGTTTATGCATACTACAGTCTAAGGTTATGACCATGTTATGTTCTAAAATAAAATAATTTGTTTAGGTATAATTTTTTTCCACTTTTGTAGTGTTCATTTTTTTGTGGCCATTTATCTTAGTCAATATTAAATGTATTTGGTGATTGATCACTTGAATTGATCTTCTGATTGGTTCCATTATTTCCAACTTTCTCTTAAACGTGGGAAATGTTTAATTGGTTTGACTTTAGTCCAACGGGAAATGGTGGTAGGAAACTAGAAAGGTGTGGTTGAGTGCTGGTGGGAATGTGCTGGCAAAAAAAATATAAAATAAACAAATGGAATAAAATTAATGTAAATAATTTAACTTTTTCAGTCAAGCATGGATGAAAATTGTCCACTAGATGTGCTACTAAGTTCCCCTCAGCAGCAGCAGCAAGGACCCTTGGTAAAAGAATACTCACAAGTTACTACACCAGTGTTGGGTCTCCGCTCGCCTTTAAAGGATATAGCAAACCATCCCTCGGAGGCTCGAACAGTCAAAAGAGAAAAGGTGAAAAACCTTTAGTTTTAACAGTAGCTGCAAATAATTAAAAAAATATATATATATAGCTTTTTTTGGACTGTGTTTAACCTTTTGCCAATAAGTTTTGTATTCTTTCCAAAGATACGGGCAGTGTACCCCAGACACGAGTTTGACAGTCAGTTGGATCAGGATGAAAGAAGTTGGCGTGATCGTACAGAGGTCATCACTAGACTTGATCACGATGCATATCAGATGTTTGCACAAGAAGTAATTAGTGATGCTGTAAGCAAAGTTGAAGAGTCTATCAAGTAAGCTTTTTTCTAAAATATTGCAGATGCAAAATGTTCCATATTTTTCATTTGATGTTTTGTTTCTCAATATTGGTTTTAAAGAGGCTCATGAGATGTTAGGTTGCATGGGCTCATGTGCGCACCTCTGTTTGCACTCGCATCATTTGCACTAAATAACTTAAAGGTCTGAGATGAGGGGGGGGCTCATGCTGTTTGCTCTGGCCTGGACCCACGATTCGTAGGCATTTCTGGTCATTTCCTGCGGCCTGCTGTGGCGTTGGGTGGTTGCTCCTCCTTCTGGGGGTTAGGGGGGCTGGCAGGGTAGGCCTCTTCCCCTGCGCTCTATCGGGTCATCCTGGAGTGGGTACGCTTGGGTGTGGTCGAAACGATGGCGTCCCTCAGATGGGTTTCCCACCTGTTTCCAGTTCCAAAATGGGACACTGTGGATCTGAAGTTTATTCTGGACTAGCCCTGTCTGAACCCCTGGGTCTTTTGCCCCCTCCTTTCAGATGAACACTGTCCTAGGTCCAGCTGCTTTTGGATCCGGGCACTTGGTTGATGTCCCTGGACCTCCATGACGTGTATTGGCACATCCCAATTCATCCGAGGATCAGGGGACAGGCTTGGTTTTGTTGTGGAGCGGCTCTCGTTTTTACACGCCTTACCTGAGTCGTGGTGACCCATTTGCATATGTTAGGGGTCGGGTTCTGGCTTATCTTGACGACTGGCTGGTCTGTGTCTGCTCGCCAGGGATTTTCTTTTTTCCCAGCTCTCCAGGTTCGGGTTTTTGGTAAACTGGAGCAGCCCATCCTCCAAAGACCCAAAAGTGATTCCATACACCCGCCAAACCCCCTGTTTATGAATTAAAAAAAATTTACACAAGACTCGCAACTGATTTCGTTAGAACAGTTCCGGAACAAGTGCTTCACTGACAAATTTTGTTCGAACTACAACGCTGTAAATGCTTCACTCACGTACTACAAATAATTGCCAACAGAACCTAAACACCTAACCTAACCTATGCCTATATATGCACAATATGCTAATATATTATAATATTAATTTATATTTTGAGAAATTCCTGTTTTGAATGAACAGCTTGTTAAAATTTATGAATGCGTCTGTGGGATCGACCGTTGGATGGAATGGACTTGTCGAGGACGGGTTGACTGGAGGCAGTCCCATTTGGTTCCCTCTCACGTTTGAACTTGATTGGGTCTTGTGTGAGACTCGGACCGCTTCCTTTTCTCTTCCTCCAGCGGCGTTTCTGCAGCTGCAATCCCGCCTTCAGCTGGTTTTGGGGGGACACCCGGGTCACTCGTTAGTTGCTTGAGCGGCTGTGCGGGAATCTGAACTTCGCCATGCTGGTCTACCCGTTGGGTTGGGTCTGGCTTCAACGGCTGTTCTGGTTCCTTCGGGGATGTGTGTGCCGCTGTGTCGCCGGCTTCCTCTTCGGGTCTTTCTGGGTTCAGTGCTGTGGCGCCTACCCAAGCCCTCGCTCGATGTGTTTACAAATGCATCGTCTCTCAGCTGGGGCTTTGTGACCAGTGCTCACCAGTGACCAGAATCACGAAGCAGTTACACAAATACTTACAAACGTGTACATCTCTTCTCGATCTTTGGTGGCTTTGTTTACAATTATTAGACAGTTAATGAGCTCCGAAGCACCAGGAGGCTGTTTATAACAATAACAGTAGTTCATTGGGAAGTTTTCATGTTTGTAAACTATTTAATAAATGTAAACAAAGCTGCCAAAGGTTGAGAAAAGATGTACACGTTTGCAAGTACTTGCATAACTGCTTCGTGAATCTGGCCCCAGGACAGCAAGGGTCTGTGGGGTCCATCCTTCCGTCGGTTTTGCAGCACGTTGCAGGTGTTCGCGGTGGTGTGGCTTTCGCTTCGGAGGATTCGTGCCGTTTGCGGATCGCCGATTTGCCTCCATTCGGACTGCTCCCTGGTGTTCATTGCCTGAACCGAGGGGGAGGGTTGATACGGTCCTTGGCTCTTTGGGGCTGGTTGCTTCGGGTGACTCGTCTGCTTAGTTCTCGGGGTTTGGTTCTCCTGGCGGTTTATATCCAGGGGTTGTCAAGTCTCCTGGCGGGACGACCTGTCCCATTTCATTCCCCTGTCCATGGAATGGACGGTCGACGATGACTCGTTCCTTTTGGCTTTGCCAGATGTTTGGGCGCCCGGAGGTGTACCTCTTCGTATCGGCCTGGTCAAGGCGTCTTCCAGTATGTGGCGCCCTTCACCGACCGCGAGGCCATCGAGTTCGATTCCTTTCAGCTGAACTGGTCGAAGTGGGGTTACCTGCATCTCTTCCCCCCCCCCCCCAGTTCGGTTGTTACTCCAGGTCCTGGCTCGCTTGGAGACTTCCCAGGGAAGAGTAGTCGTGTTGGCCCCCTTGGTGGCCAGCCCAGCCTTGTTTTCAGACGTTGTTTGCTCGGTGTCTGAACCCAAGGATCTTCCTGAGGGTCTTTCAGCGGATTGGTCCGGTCCGGTATCTGGCTCTTTCGGTCTCCTCTTCTGCTCCTTGCATCTGGTCGTCTTAACGCGTGTTCTGTTTCACCTGCGTTCCCGCCTTCGTCTGTTCCTGAGGGGCTCCCGGGTCACCCGGTTGCGCATCACCACTTATTGTGATCAGGTGGCTTTGTTGATTGTCCCATCTGCGAGTTCTGTCTTGGCGGCAGTAAGAAGTTTCCTGGCAGTCCTTTTGGCACTTTTTATCTATAGGTTGTGTTCGATTTCTGATAGGGTTGTTTTGTCCTTTCTCTTGGTTGTTTCAGGAGTCATCATATGCCAAATACTGTCGCCTCGTATTGTGCGGCGCTGGCGGAGCCGCTTCACCTTGCGCTCGGGTGGATGTCGCTCCTGCTCTGTTCCGCAAGCTTACTTAGGCATTGTTTCACCTTTGGCCGGCTCATGTGCCACCTGAGCCGGCCTGGTCGTTGGACCAGTTGCTCTTTTCTCTCTCCTCTTTGGTTTGTAGTGGCCCTCTTTAGTTCAGGACTGTCTTTTTTTTTTCTTATTGGCATTGGCCTCTGGGGGTTGGATCGGGGAGCTTCATGCTCTCCTACGGCACAAGAATTTTTGCTCTTTTTGGCTCTGGTGATAGGTTTGTTTGTTTGCCGCTGTCTCCTTCTTTTCTGGCGAAGTATGAGACGGCTGCTATCCGGAGGGGGGTCCTTAGGTTGTTGATGCTTGGTTGGTCAGGACGGGGGTGCATCATGTGTGGTCCGGTTACAGCTCTCCGCTTTTATTTGCGCGCCACGGCTTCTGTGTCCGGGGACGTGCTTAGAGTTGATCCGGTTTTTCCTGCTTCCCTGTTCCGGGGTTCAGGTTTCCCAGGTCGTCCTCATGGTTATTCGGTCTGGTCAGCCTGCGGTCTCTCCCCGTGCCCATGATCATCAGTTTGCGACTCTTTCTGCCGTTTTCGGTAGCATGTCTTGGGCTGACATTCGGGTGTGGGGCTTTTGGCAGTTGGCCAGAGTCCTGGCTGTGCGCTACCTGCTTAGTGTTCCGGGGCCTAGTCGGGCCTGTGTCGCTTTGGGTCAGCGATTGTAGCCAGTTGTCTCGACTTTGCATTGAGAGGCACGTGCCAACCACCTCCTGGATAAGTCCCTCTTGTTTTCATCTTTTGGTAAGTAGTTCTGAGGAGCCGAAGGGGCTCCCCCCCCCCCCCCCAGAAACCAATGTTGAATGTAATAAAACGGCATTTTCTGGGCGAGACCCGGAGGCTCCCCTTCATCCCTCCTTCCTTCCCTCAGGTCGGCAGTTTTTCGCGTGTTTTGTTTCTCCCCTCTCCCCCCTTCTGGGGAGGGGGGAGCGCAGCATGATGTCATGCTTGTTTGCTTGTTTTTCTTTGGGTTCTGTCCACCTGTTTGACTTAAAATAATAGTTTCAACCAGGATAGGGGTTTGTTTTGGGATGCTTACCTTTCTGGGTACCTGACCCAGTTGATGGCAGACATAGAATGCTCCAAATCACAAATCACGAGCATTTCTATAGGCCCTAGATCCTTCAGAATCTGCCTCGTTATCTACCTCAGGAAACAGACCTGATGCAGACCAAAGTTTTCTCCAACCATTTCTTGAGCGTGGTCGCATTGTTGAAGCAGTTACAACCCTTTTGAAGTAAAATGGACAATAGTGTTATGTGATGTACATTATGTTCTACATGCATGGTCATTCATTTTTCAATATTAAAAAGCATTTGCCACTCTTTTGACTTTGTGGAGTTCAGGTAGCTCTTCATAAGGCCTTTGTTTCGTTTTCACTTCCTACTTTATCATAGAGCTTGGTGTCCTTTGCAAATTTAATTATAGTTGTAATATTATTGTTGATGTATATGACAAAGGATTGCCTCAAAGATTAGCTCCTGGTGGTACTCCACTTACCGCATTGTCTCCACGCTTATGACTCTTTGCATTTGACCCTTGTTGGGGTTAGGACCAAACAAGTTTTCATAACCATAGAATAATTTAGCTTTAATGTTTCATCCAGTCCTTCCATATTTAATTGTACATAACCTTTCACTTCAGAATCAAATTGCCAGTCAAAAAGCCTATTCATCGAGGTGTCGCAAAATTCCGTGAGATTGCAACTGCAAGCTTGGCGGACTCAGGTTTGTAACTATTTCTGGCAGCCAGTTATGTAATCGAGTATAGTACTGTACTTGGTAGGTAATGTTAACTAAACAGTAACCCATTGATACTTATCAGATTAAACTTTTATAAATATTATAATTGTAGCCTTTTAAAAATCTCTTGTTTAATAACATTAACATAATTTTTAACCCTGTTTAGTGTTATTTTCTAATTGCTTATGCCACCAAATTATAGAAAATGATTATTACTGAATCAGTGACTCAAACTTTGCTTTGATCTTTGCAATTAGACAGCTTAGGGAAGATGTCTTCAAAAGTTGAAAACTGTAGACTACTACTCAAGAGCCGGGCCAATTTGTCACAGCTGTTGACGGTAGCCTTAAGGTACCTTAGACATCTTCCCTAAGCTGTCTTAAGGGAAAGGTCAAAGCAAGGTTTGAGAGGAATAGCAATTTTCTGCACATTGGAGCTGAAGGCAATTAAGAACTGACATTACCCAGGGACAATAACTTTTTTTAACATGCATTACAACCTCAGTTCAACTAACTATATGGGACAAACCCCAATTTGTCGCAGTGGGGGATTTGATGCAACTGGAGATGCCTCCAGGATGCATTCCCACATCTTATGGGCTAATTTCATTTAGCAAAATTTTTATTTCAAACTAATAAACTACTAAGTGAACATATCTGCCAAAAAAACTTAACCACATTTAGCTTATCTCAAAACTAGTTTTCAAAAGGTAGCAGGGCCATACCCGAGTGAATGAAAACCTTGCCAACACAAAATGGAAAACCATAGAATTTCGTTTTAAATATAAATGGCTTTTCTAAGGCTCCAACTGTTGTAATATAGAGTCCATTTACAAAAATCAGAAATGTGATTGGAGCCGTAAAAGTGCTACTACTTGTGCATTAATATTTCCCACGCTCTATGGCCTGATTCCAGTGAAATTTTAATTTCAAGCTGTTGTATAAAGAACTACCAAGAGAACCTGCCTGTAGAGAGATTTAATGACATCTAGCATATTTCCCATAACCCTTGCCTTGAAATTTAATTTTCAAAGGAAAAAGGAGGACTCGTATTAGTGAACGAAAAGTGGAATTTTAAAAATTAAATGAAACGTAACTTGGTTTTAAATATGGTAAATAGCTGTCCCCATTCCTCTTGCTACTTGTTACAATGTTGCGCCCATCTACAAAAATCATTTAATATGCCTCCAATCACAATTTTAGTTACCATTTGCCCAACAATAGAGCGACGGAACACCGATTTGGGGTTCATTGAATGGCGGTTCTACGTAAATGTACTTCTGCTTCCATTACATTAACTGAAAGTATTAATATGGTGACATTGTTTAGGCAAATCTTAAAGATAACTGCTGTAATGAGTTTTTACAGGTGCCAATCTGAAATTTTGTTTTATATATTTAGTAATGTCTAACGTTATGTAAAAATGGTTCTGATGTATTTTGTAAAGTCAACTACCTGTTGTGACATCATTACTTGATCTCTTTCACCACTTTGTGCATGTAATTTTTTCTTAAACATTTACTCTTAATGAGATGAAGTGCCCATTGGTATAAAGGTTTGTAATTCTATTGCAGTATTTCAATAACCCGAGTGAAATATTGTATAAAGCTTTTATCTTGATCACTATTTTTATATTTTATCATTGTAAATTGGGGAGGATATTATCTACAGTGTATTGATTGAAACTATTTGGTCAGTACTTGTACGGTATTTCAAAAATTAGAATCTTGTGTAGTTCATGTAAGCATGGTGATTAGTAGGCTATCTTAATCCAACTTTCTTGATTAGTCTTCACTCAATTTCTGTTATTTGGAGTGAACCGTTTTCTGTGAACACTTTTTCTATTAAATATTTTCTTATCTATAAATATAAAGAAAAGATTCTGCAGGTGTAATGGGACAATTGTGTACAATCTGAAGTGCTAAATTTGTCAGTTATTTAGGGTTTACATTCATGTGCTTTATTTTTTGTCCTATATCTGATGGGTTGGATAATACATCCTTGGTTTTTGGTTTAGAATCTGAATACGAGAGTGCAGAGGAACTGGATGAGTTTGATGGGCCTTCAGCGCAGAAGATTCTCTCTCCTGTCTTGCCGGTGGCTAATTCAACGCTACTTAATATTGTGTCGTCAGCTAATAGTACACCAAATAGGTAAAGAGATGTTGAATTATACATTTTGATATTTTTGCGAATTAAGAAAAGTTTTTATGTAATGCATAATTGACCTATTGGCTGTCATCCATTGAAACACTAGTACTGGTATGGGTAAAGTGAAAGGGGAGCCCATTTCTTTTGATTGTTGTATACTACTCGTACTGCAGCCCTACATACTGGTCTACTGCATATCCCTTCTGTATTGAGATGTTGATCAATTTAGTACTCTATTTTATTTATCCCTTTTACTTGTGCTCATATTTTTTTTTTTCTTGCCATTACTTGTGCTTGTTGAAAGACTCTTTCTCATTTTCAAATTTGAATTCATGGCTTATCAAATTTATCAACTAAATAAGCAAGTAAAAAGTGTATACAAATTGAGTATCTTTAAGGTGCATTATGAACTGAAGCACTTCAGCTGCAGAGTGGTTCCATTGTGGCCTACTTGTGACTGTGGGTTGATCTTTTTGTGGCCAGCAAGCATTCATATTAACATGTTGGTTTATTCTAAAATTTAAGTACAGTATCTGGTTCTTAAGGTTGTGTATGTGATTTAATCAGAGGAGGTAATGTCAGATAATGGAAATTCATCTCTCATCTTGAAGTGAACGCAGAATAGTGACCTACCACTACACTAGAGTATCAGGTGGCAGAGCTGGAAAAAGGCTCCCATATTTTTTTGCTGTTTGGGAAGATGTCCTTTCCTTTTCCATCAAAATGAATGGCCGAAGTGATCTGATGCCTCAAACTCGGTTGTAAGATACTCTTTTGCTCCCTGGCATTTTAAAGATATGTCGGCCAACATGAATTTGCTTAAAAGGCAAATAAGAAAATATTTCTCGACTAGTTGAACACATTGAACCTTTCGGCAAGAATCTGAAGCTGTTCAATGTGTTTGAGTTCCCGACAAGTGTGCAGGATAATTCTTAGTGATTGACATTTCATGTTTTGTTGATGAAAATTTTAGTTATTCAGTGAGTTTGAGAAGATTTACTTTCAAAAACAGAAACACTGTCTTCTTATATTTAATAACCCCACAGAAATTAATGTGGAGACAATTACCAGACCACCTTAAAATGTGTGAGCTACAGTTTGACTCATTGTGGCAGACAGGGTAGAGTAGTCTTCTGGCTCCTTGGTGGCCGGCCCCAGCCTTAGTTTCACGCGCTGCTTGCCCGGTGTCCGAACCTGGAGAGTTTCTCGTGGCTCCGCCTCTTTCAGCAGATCGGTCCAGTCCGTTATGAGGCTGGTTCGATCTTCTCAAGTCTTCATGTTTGGTCTTTTCGACTAGTCAATCACCAGTTGTATGGTGACCAGGTGGATTCTTTGATGGTGTCCCACCTGCGAGCTTCGTCTCGGCAACAGTACGAGGTTTCTTGGCAGTCTTTCAGGTTCTTTCTGTCCCTTCGTCGTGTTACTTCTATTCTGTTCGGGTTGTCTTGTTCTTTCTCTCGTGGTTGTTTGAGGACTGTAGTCTTATGCCGAACACTGTCGTTTCGTATCGTGTGGCATTTGCGGCGCTGCTGCAGCTGGCATTCGGCGTTGTTACTTTGGCGCCATTCTGTTAGCTGTCTTGGGTGTTATTTCACCTCCAGCCTACTCATGTGTTGGTTGAGCCATCCTGGTCTTTGGATCGGTTGCTCTCCTTTCTCTCTCATCCCCTCGAGTTGTAGTGGTTCCAGATTGTTTGTCGAAGGCAGTTTTCCTGTTGGCATTGGCCTCTGGGGGTCGGGTTGGGAAGCTTCGTGCTCTCCTCCGGCGCGCGTTTCTGCTCTTTTGGGTTAGGTGATCGTTTTGACTACAGCAATCTCCTTCTTTTCTGGAGGGTAATGCTGGCGGTGCATCATGTTGTCAGGTTGCGCCTTTGTGCCGTTATTTACGCCCCCCAGCCTCGGTGACTGGGGACATGCTTTGGGTTGACTCGGTTTCCCTTCTTCGCTGTTCCCGGGTTCAGTGCTGCCGTTTTCGTTGGGCTGACATTCTGGCACGGGGTTTCTGGAGGTCGAACAGGGTCCTGGCCGCTCGCTACCTGGTCAATGTCCCTGGGCCTGGTCGGGCCTGTGTTGCAATAGGTCGGCAGTTGTGGCCAGTTGTCTCGACTTTGTTGATGTGAGGAACGATCGCCACCCGTGTTAGTCCGTTTGTTTTTCTCTTTGGGTTAGTAGCTCCGGAGAGCCAAAGAGGCTTCCCCAAGAAACCTTGTGTTGAATGTAATGAAATGCCATTTTCTGGGTGAGACCCGGTGGCTCCCTGGCATCCCTCCCTCCCTCCGGTCGACGTTTTTTTTATTTTCGCGTGTTTTGATGTCCAGCCTAAGAACTGGCAGGTTTGGGTAGCCGGCGGAAGGTCTGGGGCTTCCCCTTCCCCCCTCCTGGGGAGGGGCGGAGTTACGCAGATGACGGGGCGTTGATAACGAAATGACGTCGTGCTCGTTTCCTCGTTTTTTTCTTCGTGGGAAGTTCTATCCATTTGTTCGGCTTTCATAGCCATTCTTAACTAGAATGGGGGAGGGTGTTTTGGGGTGCCTATCTTTCTGGGTGCCCGACCCAGTCGATGGCAAACATAAAGTACTTCTAGATTATATATAAGGTGTGTGTGTAGGCCATTGCTTCTCGTGCCTCTGAGGGAGCCAGGGTCTGGCTCGTTGGTCCCCGGTAGGCCTAGAACTCCATGTACATAGATTCCCAAAGCTAATACTCTGTATCAGCCCAGATAGCTCCGGGGAGTCTCTGGGTCTCGCCCAGAAAATGGCATTTCATTACATTCAACGCTGGATTTTTATATTTACAAGAGGAATCTGGCCTGTGTCTCGAGTGAGGGTTTTTATTAATGTTATAATATTTTCTTTTCCAGGTCAGATACTGTATTTGAAAATTCATTCATACACAGCTTTGAAAAAATGAAAATTATTGAAAACGATGAGCCAGTTGCAGAAGAAAAGTTCCACGATGCCAGTGATTCATTTGTTGAGGATGTGGCATTATCACCACCCGGTAACAGTGTTCCTGAAGCAGTAGACGTGGAGCATCAGCTTGCCACATCACTTAAAAAGGGGTTAGAAAATATTTTAGACCATAACGAGTTGTGTACAACCAATGAAGTGAAAAGCCTAAGCAGTAGCTCAACAAAGGAAAAATTGACAGCAGCTCCACATTTCTTCCCTGAAAATGCCGAGGATGAATCTCCTACTTGTCAACAGCAATTATTGGTGGAGGAAGTTTTAAGGGATGTTGCTGTTCCCGAGGTGGTAGAGGAGGAGGTCGCCGCCGCCGCTCCCAAGGTGGTGGAGGAGGCCGCCGCTGCTCCCGAGGTGGTGGCGGAGGCCGTTGCCATTCTCGAGGTGGTAGAGGAGGCCGCTCCCGAGGTGGTGGCAGAGGCTGCCGCCGCTGCTCCCAAGGTGGTGGAGGAGACCACCGCCGCTACCCCCGAGGTGGTGGCAGAGGCCGCCGCTGCTGCTCCCGAGGTGGTGGAGGAGACCGCCGCCGCTGCTCCCGAGGTGGTGGAGGAGACCACCGCCGCTGCTCCCGAGGTGGTGGCAGAGGCTGCCGCCGCTGCTCCCAAGGTGGTGGAGGAGACTGCCGCCGCTGCTCCCGAGGTGGTGGAGGAGACCGCCGCCGCTGCTCCCAAGGTGGTGGAGGAGGAGGCCGCTGCCGCCGCTGCTCCCAAGGTGGTGGAGGAGACCGCCGCCGCTGCTCCCGAGGTGGTGGAGGAGACCGCCGCCGCTGCTCCCGAGGTGGTGGAGGCCGCTGCCGCTGCTGCTCCCGAGGTGGTGGCCGCCGCCGCTGCTGCTCCCGAGGTGGTGGAGGAGGAGGCCGCCGCCGCTGCTGCTCCCAAGGTGGTGGTGGTGGAGGAGGAGGAGGCCGCCGCCGCTGCTGCTCCTGAGGTGGTGGTGGTGGAGGAGGCCGCTGCCGCTCCCGAGGTGGTGGTGTTGGAGGAGGCCGCTGCCGCTCCCGAGGTGGTGGTGGTGGAGGAGGCCGCCGCTGCCGCTCCCGAGGTGGTGGTGGTGGAGGAGGCCGCCGCTGCCGCTCCCGAGGTGGTGGTGGTGGAGGAGGCCGCCGCTGCCGCTCCCGAGGTGGTGGTGGTGGAGGAGGCTGCCGCCGCTCCCGAGGTGGTGGTGGTGAAGGAGGCTGCCGCCGCTCCCGAGGTGGTGGTGGTGGAGGCCGCCGCCGCCGCTCCTGAGGTGGTGGTGGTCGCTGCCGCTGCCGCCCCCGAGGTGGTGGTGGAGGCCGCTGCCGCTGCCGCCCCCGAGGTGGTGGTGGAGGCGGCTGCCGCCGCCCCCGAGGTGGTGGAGGAGGAGGCCGCCGCCGCTGCTGCCCCCGAGGTGGTGGTGGAGGAGGAAGCCTCCGCCGCTGCCGCCCCCGAGGTGGTGGTGGAGGAGGAGGCCGCCGCCGCTGCCGCCCCCGAGGTGGTGGTGGAGGAGGAGGAGGCCGCCGCCGCCCCCGAGGTGGTGGTGGAGGAGGAGGAGGCCGCCGCCACCACCGAGGTGGTAGAGGAGGAGGAGGAGGAGGCCGCCGCCCCCGAGGTGGTGAAGGCCGCCGTAGTTACTAAAGATTCAAGATATAGTTCAGAGACAGAAGTAAAGGCCTATGTTCCTGACTTGAAAGTAGGTGCTCCAGATCTGAAGCCACCCGTGCAAGGTGTTGATAAATCTGTTGTAGAGTTGATGGAAGAATCTGTTCCAAAATGTATTGATGAAAGCAAACCTCTATTAAAAGGCTGTGAAATTGATTTCTTAAACATGAGTAATTCTGATTTATGTAACATTAAGTCTTTAGACAACTTGAGCAATGAGAAAGAAAGTACCTGTAGTTCACAAGTTGATGCCAAGGAAGATATTCCCCTTAAGATACCCATCATGTTAAATCCAGAATGCAGAGGCATATCTGATGAATTGTCAGAGAAAATGAAAGTTGGCAATGTTGATCTGCCTCTTCGAGGAAACTCTCAGACAGATTTCCTCGATATGGATGTTAATTTTGATCCTTTTAAATCCAGATCAATTGTCACTAATTCTCCAGATAAATTGCTCATGAATGAAAGGGAGATGGCTAAGCCTCTGCAATATGTAGGGGATGGTATCCATTCCCAGGAAATAAAATACTTTGATAATTTGTCCACAGAGAATGACATAATAAAAACTAATGATAATGAACAAGCAGTGTGTGCGCGCACTGCAGCTGAGGAACTAATTAACAAGGCTGTTGCAAAAAGAGATAGTTTGCCTGAAAATGAATTTGAGGAAGCAGTGAAAAATGAAACTTTCCATCAAAGTTTCCAGGGAGATTTCTCAAATATGACTAATGATGATTTTGCTACCAAATCTACTATTGCAAATTCTGAACTTCAAAGAAATGAAATTAATGTGACGAAGACTGAAGTGCAGCGTGAGAGTGTGGGAACAGGAGTTGCACCAGGGAACTTTGAGTTGTCACCAGCACCATCAGAGGTGGTCTCAACAGAGCTGGAAGATTTAAGACAAAATCAAATGGATATGGACTTCCTTGATAAGTTAGGAGAATCAAATTTTGATCCCTTTGCAACCAGGGCTGCTGTTGCAAACTCACCTGATGTAATGAACAGTACTGTTGTGATTAGAAAGGAAATGCCTTCCAAGAAATTAGTCACATTGCTTACACCTGAGAATGTTGGAACTTTACCACTGACATCAGAAAGTGTTGAGCCTCTAGACAATAGTCCCAATAAAAAGTACCAGTTGAATATCCTAGATAAACTAGATGACCCTAATTTTGATCCCTTTGCAACCAAAGCTGCTGTTGCAAATTCCCCTGTTAAACAGGCTCAAGCCCTCTTCACCGAGAAGGAAAAGCCGAATCAAAACCAAGAAGACATTTCCGAGAGAAAAGTGACTTCACTCGAGCTATCTGGAGATATAATCACAGGCCTAGAGAAAGAATGTCCTTTTGAAAATGACAATAATTTAAGGTCTCTTACAAAATTAGATGACCCTAATTTGAATTTCAGCACTAATTGTCATAAATTGAACAGCACAGTTGTATTTGAGAATGAGAGAGATGAAGCATCACTAGAAAGCTTAACAGAACAAAATGGTAAAACTCTTCAATTTGACCAAGGATGTAATGAGGATATTGTGAAAAAGTTTGGCAATTCTAGTATTAATGTTATGGCTCCTAAAGCGGCAGTTTTAAACTCTCCTGATAAAGACGATAATACAGTTAAGAATGTAACAGACATGCCCAGTAAGAAAGAAAATACCAGGGTTACTTTTGAGGACTCTGTAGCATCGTTAGAAAAAGGAATTGCCATGTCTCTTGAAAACAGATTTCTACCACAAAATGAGACTCTAGAAGAATTCATTAGTAAATCTAGCAATTCTAATTTGAACCCTTTTACAACTAATTCTCGTGTTCAAAATTCTCCTACCAAAAAGGATAGTTTTCCCAATTCAAAGCATACAACGGAGGAAATAAGAAGCGAGCTGCCGTCAGAGGCAGTGCATAACAAATCTGAAGAATCTAACAAAATTGCAATGAGTAGTGTCTTTCAGGAAAATAGCAGAATGGAGTGCCTGAAAAAGCAAGAGGCTCAAGAATTTAATTCATCAGCAACAGAAAAAGTTATTCCTTCTATTAAGAAATCCTTTGGTATGAGAGAAGCGGTGATTCATTCGGAGACTATTTTGGCTTTGGAAAAACAAAAGAAAGTGTCTTCAGAAACTCTAGCCAATGGTCGTGGAGGGCAAGGGAAACAAACGAGTGCGGATTCATTAAATGAGCGTGATGTCTTCAGTCCACTGCATAGAGGTAGAGCAAGAAAACCAGAAAATGTAGAAGAGTTTAACTTTGAAGAATTTACTAGTGCTGCTGAATGTAAGTATTTTTTATATATTTTTATATCGGTATACAGAATGTCTGTTTTTAATTTTGTTTTCCTCTTCTGTTTGAATTTAAATGATCTATAATGAAACATAATGGTAAATGTGGTACTGTATTAACAGTGCCGAGTGATGAGCAGGAGTATATTGAAGAAGAGGTCTTTGGATCTCCACTGTGTTATCCGCGTAAGTCTGATTTATATAATGGTAAAATAGTGGAATATTGGGGATTTAGTTGGGGATCTAAAAAATACTTAATATTTTGTAGCAGTTTTGTGGCACATTAATCACAGGCGAGTGAGTGCATATTTTCCTCCATAGTAATGTGTACTGTACTCTCATATGGTCTCGTATCGGTATGATTAAAGTAATAACACTGCCATCATTGGTATGTTGGGTGTTTGATTTTTTCAATTGGGTTATGCATTTTTTTTCCTTTACAGTATTTTTTTGGTATATGGTACTGTATATATGTTGCACCTCATTGCATCAATGTGACATTCACTAAACTTTAATAATAAGTAATGTTCTGATTTAAATTGGGCAATGTTGCTCTACAATATAAGAGTTTTATTAAGGTGAGGTGTTGATGCAATGGGGGGAAAAAACTTTTTTGGTACCCTTTGTATAGGCATGAAGGAAACGGTATAGTATAAAGTACTTTTTTTTTAAAGACAAGTAGACAGTCCATGCCACACAAATCGATTATGCACCGTCAACAATTGTTTTCAACTTTACCAGTGCTTATGGTTATGGTATTGGCAAGTTAATAAAATAATAATGCACCAAGTTTCTGGAAAAAGGTTATTGCTAATTGCCATAACTATTGCTATAACTATTATTGCTAATAGTACATATTTTTTTCCCCCAAAGTTTTTTTTTTCTGGTCAGTTCAAACAATGATTACTGTAGTGATTTCCTATTGTTCAGTGCTTACCTGTTTGTGTGGGTAGAGATGTAGGTCAATGGCTCTGCTTCTTTACAGTTGCATCTGGTGCTTTTACACTTGTCATGTTCTATGACCTTCATTTGGTACTGTACTTGTTAAAATTGTGAACCGAAGTAGTGTAAAGTTATTGACTTGAAAGTATGTCATTTACCATCCACTGAATACAAATATTTCCCTACATTTTTAACTTTTTTAGACTTAATTTCTGAAGAATCTGCAAGTTTGGGCATAGTTAACACTGCCTTTCCTACCCCAGGGTCGGCCAAGTGTTTCCCTTGAGCGTGCTCCTGCACTAAAATAGGTATACGTCTCTAATGGAAGTTCTAATATCAATACAGTGGAACCTCGGTTTTCAAGTGACCCTCTTTTAATTTTTCGGTTCTCAAGCTCGCTCACTTCTAAAAATTTGACTCAGTGCTCGAGTTTGTTGATACGCGTATGGGCTGACCGAGCATTTAGCATGCTTCAGTTACCAGTGTATCTGTTCTAGTGACTCGTGCTTGAATTCTTTGTGAAGAATTTCATTTGGTTGTGCTTTTTTTTTTTAACAAGTTCCTATCATATATCATGCCATGGGTTCCAAGAAAGTCAGTGGTAAAGTTCAACCTAAGAAAATAGTTGAGGATGATGATAGAGGAAAAACAAGAGATCATTCATAATGAGACAAGTGTTAAAATGTTGGGAAAACCAGTGTCTTTAGACAAATTCTTAATAAGACAAGCAAGCAGTGTGCCACAACCAGGTCCTAATCCCATCACAATGATTGTACTCTTCAAATTACTTGTACTGTCCCATCTTGAGTATTGCTCAGTACTCACTTTCCCCGTCAGAGCAGGAGAGATTGCTGAAATAGAGGGAGTACAGAGAACATATGTACGGCATACACAGATGTGACAAAGCTCCTAAATTATTGGGATCTCTAAGCTCTCCAAATGTACTCGCTAGAAAGGAGACGAGAGAGATCAAATAATATACACGTGGAAAATACTGGAGGGCAACGTACAACGTAATAACAATGTACTGGAGTGAACGATATGGGAGAAAATGCAGAGTAGAATCGGTGAAGAGCAGGGATGCTATAGGCCCAATTAGAGAACACTATAAACATCAGAGGTCCACGGTTGTTCAACTTCCTCCCAGCGAGTATAAGAAATATTGCTGGAAAAACTGTGGACATCTTGGAGAGAACTAGATTGTGTCTTCAAGAAGTGCCGAACCAACCGGGCTGTGGTGGGCATGTGGGCCTGCGGGCCCAAGCTATCACAATTCAAGCCTGTGGGGAAGCAGAACAACTCCCAACACCCCATCAAGCAGGTAATGTTATGGCTGCAAAACATACGAGAGGGATTTCCCTAGAAATGTCATCACTGCTGTTATAATGGAAGGGGACTTCCAAACACTAACCCCACCATCTCCCTTCATCATTGTCTTCCATATGCCAACACGAGTCCTCAATTAAGGTAAGATGTACTTGTACATACTGTAGTACAAAATATTAGTATGTATAAAATGCATTTCTAAGTTAATATTTTTGGGAGTGCACTGCACCAGTTTCTTACCATTGCACCAGTTTTTCTTACCTCGCAAACACCAACCTACATAGCAGTGTCAAACACTGGAATTTCCCCTTCGTTTGGCCTTCACTATGCCACACTCCAGTTCTATTATCAAGCAAGAACCTAGTTAGCAAGGGACTGGTATAATAGTTGTGAACAATATATGGTCCTTGTTCAGCCATGGTGCAAGCAGACTTCACCACACTACCTGAGAAGCCGTGTTTGTCATTAGCAGGAATGTTGTACAGTACTTGTATACATTATAAAAGTTACTCCCTACATACGAGGGTGTTTTGTGCGGTTTAAGGGTTAACTCTGTTACCTCCTTACTCAGTAGATGTGATATAATCATATTTGTCATCTGTATAAATACTGTACAGTAATTGTATTTCTAGGTTACTATGGGTTGTACTGTATTTTGGGATTGGTAGTGATGATGGCACTACTGAAAGCTTGTTCACATCTGGGCTGGCAGTGTAGATTTTACCCTTGTAGTTGGATATCACACAAGACAGTTCTTTTTCAGTGTACAGTATGTATGTACGTGTAGCCCCTCTTGATATGAAACACTGTTTTGCATGGTTTAAAAGAAAAGTTTATAAAGTGTCATTTAATAAAATATGTAACAAATTTAATAATCCATCTTCATTGTTTAATATATTTTTTAACCGTTATAAATGCTTCTAAGTACTTTAAATTTCTATTATTACTGTAGACAGACTAATTATTTTTAACACTATGGCTGAAAATGTTAAAAAAATTTTTTTATTACAGTCTTTAATAACCCTGAGGATCTAGACGTGTTGGGTTCTCATGGGACTGAGGGAGACAAGTTAAATCTTGTTCGCAATTCACTGTACGTTAAATTTGACCCTTTAGTGTCAGGTCGACAGTCTCTGGCTCCATTCCTTGCACAGCACCTGAAAGAGTGAGTAGAACTCTCCAAAGCTTTGGAAGTGTATGTTCTTAGTATAGTTGTCAACAAGATATGGAAACTTATTAGTTCAGGTTGAGAGCAGGGGCTAAAAATACAGTATTGTGCTTGTATTTTACATATTGCAAAAAAAAATTAGTTTTTTATTTAGGGCTGTGTCTTAATGCTGTTATATTTGTCATCATAGTTTCAACTTGAAATGTTTAAAGATTACTTGTGTGTTAAGTATTCAATGTATATATATATGATGGTGCTTTTAAATGTGTTCAGGTCTAACAATGAAGTTTTGGACCCACGGAGGTGCAGTGGTCTCATTTCCTTTAGCCCCTCACCAAAAAAGGTTAGTAATTCACTATACCATACCCTGACTTTACTCGGAGGTTGCAGAGCTGGTGTGGTTGACAATATGTTGCTCTCACACGTGTTTTGGCTGTTTATTTTAAATCTACCAGATATATTTGACAGCTGTATATTAATAGAGGGCTAAGTCGAGCTAGTAGGGCTGACACTTAGTTTTATTTTGCCTGCAATTACAGTAATACCAACTCGCTAATTAACAATTCATAGCTATATAGTAAGAAATTGCCTAGTGGTAATGCAATATTAAAATTTCCCAATTCTATTTATTGGTAATACAGTATGAGGACCCCCCCCCCCCCCCCCAAAAAAAAAAAAAAAAAAAAAATCTAATATTCCAACAGCGGATCCCTCTTAACGGTCCAAATCCATCCACAGATTTCCTTCAAATTTGTATTTAAAAAAAAAATGAAATCTGGATCTTTGGTTCAGCAATTTTTGAATTTAATTTTTTTTAAATAGTATTCAAAATAATGCATTTGTATTTTACACATGTTTTACAAAGTTTGCATAGTACAATGACACCTCGGCTTACGAATGACCCTCTTTAAGAACTTTTCGGGTTACGAGCCCAATTTCTTCATAAAATCTGAATCGGGTTATGAACTTTGTCTTGAGAAACGAAGTTTGTTGACATGTGTATGGCCGACCTAGCGCATGACCCTAATTCTTTGTAAAGAATGTGTTTTTTAGAATTTTTTGGTATTTGAACATAAAAAGTTATTATATCTCCACGGGTCCCAAGAAAGCCAGTGGTAAGGTTCAAGCCAAGAAAACAGATGTGAAAATGACCACTAGGAGCAACAACAAGAGGCAGCTGAGGAAATGTCTTCAGGGAAAGAGGAGGCAGTAGAGAATCTCTTCCTCAACAATGAGGAAGTGGTGTAAACTGTAGGAAGAAATGCAAACGTTTTTTGAAACGACTCGTCCAGAGCAAGCTGTAGTAGGCAGTTGCATTAACCCTTTTAATAACAATGTGATGCCTCACTACAGACAAGTTACAACAAAGGGAAAAACAATCCTCTGAATAGATTTTTACTGATAAAATCGAGCAGCGCGCCAAAAGCAGGTCATAGTGGTATGCAGGCAAAACGTGCCAGTGTGTGTACCCCCAGAGAAGTCATCACTGCCTAATGTAATAATGGAAGGGGGACTTCCCTTCCAAACACTAACGCCTCTCTTCCTCAGTCTTCCATACGCCAACAAGCCATCAATAAAGGTATCTTGGTTATCTTGAGATGATTTCGGGGCTTTTTAGTGTCCCCGCGGCCTGGTCCTTGACCAGGCCTCTACCCCCAGGAAGCAGCCTGTGACAGCTGACTAACACCCAGGTACCTATTTTACTGCTAGGTAACAGGGCATAGGGTGAAAGAAACTCTGCCCATTGTTTCTCGCCAGTGCCTGGGATCGAACCCAGGACCACAGGATCACAAGTCCAGCGTGCTGTCCGCTTGGCCGACCGGCTCCCAGTAAGCAATAACTTGCACATAGTTTAGTACTGAAGATTTGGGTGAATTGGGTATAAAATTTACTTAAGTTAATTTTTTGGGGAATGTGGAACGGATTAATTCAATTTATTTCTTGTGGGAAAATTCACTTCGGTTTACAAATTTTTGGCTTACAAACCGTCTCTGGGAACAGATTAAATTCATAAGCTGTAGTACCACTATACTATAAACTACACAAATGAGCTTGATACTTTTTTTGACATCCAAACCTATTGTGAAGGGACTCGTACCAATTCTTGTGCCTTTCCTTGTTTGAGGGAAGTCTTGTGTGTGTCTCCAAGCATTTTTTATTGGCTTCTTTGATAGGTCTTTGAGATTTGAATCAGTGTAGAGGCAATAGCAGTAACAGCACATGAAAGGTCACAAACTTCCTTACCATTTATAATAAGGCAGTTATTAGAAAAATGTGATCGTGCTTTGGGAAGAAAGATGTTGAAGGTGTGTGGCATTGGTACCCGTGTTTGACATTAAAAAGCAAAGGAAGCATACAGTTTGTGAATAAGAGCTGTGATTTGAAAGTAAAATGGAAACCATGAAACTGTCAAAGTATAGGTGCTGCTGCTTGCCGGTGACTCGTGCAGCACTGTTGCCTGGGATGAGTAGCCAGGTTCAAGCCAAGACTGACATTAACCAGGGACATTGAGGACTGTCCAGTTTAGGGTGATTGCACTAGTTTCCCTCGGAGACGTCGGTGCCAAGTGGAACTCTACACTCGAAATAAATACTAGCCATTCGGTCTTTTAACCCAGGCCAGTTGACTTGCCTGTAACGTTTACTCCCACCAATTGAGTTTTTCTTTGAAGTATAATGAGAATTGAATTCAATTACTGTTCTCTAAAATATATAGACATATGGTCTTGCAACTATTTTCATTATCAAATTTCTGGCTCCACTGAGCTAGAAATGGTATGGTATGGCCATCATGTTGAGAACACGGCTTCTCGTCTGATCGCCGAAGTTAAGCAACATTGGATTTGGTTAGTACTTGGATGGATGACTGTCTGGGAACACCAAATGCTATTGGCATTAAACTTTTTCGAGCCTGTCCCCAGGCAGCGCTCGGGGAATAGAACTCCTCCCGAAACCCTTTCCAGGTATGAGCCAAATGCTAACCCTCTACTCAATTATATTTACTGAATGTTTGTTATATATTATGCAATACAATTTAACCTAACTTAATGCAATGTAATAAAAATAAATAATTTATAACATAATAACCGTAGGGGTGGTAGAAGAAAACGTGTTCAAGAAGCTACGAAAAGTCTTCTCAGAATACTCTTTATTCCCTTCTCCGAGGCTATGGGTTCTACCATTTGTACCAATGGTGGTACCCTTGTATTTGACATATTTTAAGACTGATGAGTGCACCTGATGTAACCTGTGTTTTGTCATGAATTCAAAAGTTTGTTGTCATCTGCATTCCAAAGAAGTGGGTTCAGTTTGAAAGGAAGTTCACAGCATTAAAAAGTTTGCAGTTTTAAGTGTCATTTATAGTGAGTTGTGTATTAATCCTCTATGTAGTGCTTCGCTGGAGAGCCAGTCTTTTAATGGCTGTATTTTGGGGCCGTTTGTTTTTCGTGCACGCACACTTTTGGAATTTTCTTTTCGCAAATGTGTTTATATTTATACTCGGTATTTATAGTAGGAATTTTTGCCTGTACTGTGCTTTAAGCTTAAACATGTATTTAATGGTCTGACTTGTTTCAACACAGCAGCAGAGATGCACAGATCACACAGGAACCCCTGTGAAGGCACTATTTGTCAGTGTAGGAGACGAAACTCTTGCATTAGATGCTACAAGCCTTGAAAACACCGTCGTTAATGATGGCAGCAACACCACTGTTGTATCTTCCAATCAAACTCTTAATAATACTACCATCAGTACTACCATTACTGATGCCAATGAAACTGTGCTTCATGTACCAGTGAGTAACTTAGACTGACATTAATTTGTATCATGTAATTACCTTAAATACAGCAAATCTTTGAAGGATAAAATTATTCAGAGCAAATATTGCCTGGAGTCAAAGGCTGAATGATATTTCAGGCCATTGTGTTATCTAGTGTCGACTTGATATTATAACCCTAGCAACATCAAAGTGTAAGAGGGTAACTATGGTTGTCCTACCAAGAATGCTCATTGCCAATTTTGGTGCATTTGTAGTATGAAGTCAAATATTATCCTAAAGTTGTGCATACTTGATATCATTAATCCTTCTGCTGTGCACTACTCAGCACAGTGTTTCATAACTATGACAATTTTTTTGTTTACAAAATTAAAATAACATTCATCTGGAAAAAATAGTGCAGTTGAGGGGGTTAATAGTTGTATACAAGATTATCTTGTAATTTTCTTTTTGCACATATAAGTGTGTGTGTTTTATGGTTATTTTAGTAAATTCTTAGTTTTCTGGGATTTGGTTATCAGTATATGAATATATTTCATGCAGATGTGCACGTTACATTTCTATAGGGAAGATGATAGGATTGCCTTCTGCAAAAAAAAATTCTCTATATAACATTTTGCTATAATGTGTGTGTTTTATTCAGGTGATTAACACACAAAGGATGTATACTGAGCGTGAATTGAAAGACAAACTGAAGAACATGGAGCTAATTATGCAGGTAAGATGTCTTTGGTTTCCTGATACAGTACTGGCTTGAATGATGCAGGCTCGATATGATCACTTTATTAAAAGTATTTCTTCATTATTGTCATACTACTATCATATTTGGGGAAGGGGGTAGGGGATTGAAGTGTTGGAAAAGTTTAAGATTCGGTGAAGTGTGTGTGTCCTTTCTCTACATCTTGCACACATACATGTCACAAGATAGCCAGCATAATCACAAAATGGCAAATCATTCCATAGACTAGGTGTATGATGATAAATACTTGTATTCACAGTTTGCAGTGTTTATGTAAGTTATAAAATCAGGTCATTGATATGCATTATTGGCATAATATAGCATTACATGAGCATTATAGCTGATGTTACACCAGCTATACATCCAGTATGTCCTACCAGGGGACAGACCCCTGAACCTGGCCCCCTGCAAAGCACTGGGTAGGGGATTGTTACTCCAGTATCACCTTCACTGAGAAAACATCCAGAAAGTAAGAGAAGAATGACAACTGCTAGGTTCATAGAAAATGAAGCACAGATGAACATTTGTTGGACCCATTGTACAATTTGCACCTAATACGAACTGTTTGGCTTGTGCAGGAATTGAGGCCAAGGGTGACTGTATGGTATTTAGTATTGGGAGTGTCTATGTACTTGGGGACCACATATTCAAATTAAATGCCATGATTACAAAATTCCTTATTCTTAGAACTTTCGGTTGAAGGAATAATGAGCAGTGTGCTGCACACTTTGAAGTTAGAATAATTTGTTCTATATGCCTCACATTTAGTAATAGTTTCATGAGCCTTACAGTGGGTACTGGTAATAACTTATAATCAACATGCCTCAACACATTGCCAATGTCCAAAATCACAAACCTCACACACCTGACTCCTTTATTTTTTTTTTCCCCCTTTTCATTAAATATTTTTCATGACTTTCATGTCCTTCCAAAGTACTGTAGTGTGTACAGTATATTTTTTGTATCATAGCATATATATAACATGTTTGTATTACTATATTGATGTGATAAGACTGAGATAAGTTGGTAGACTTGTTTTGTCAGCTACTACTCAAACATTGTATGTCAAAGATATAAGTTATTTGTATTTTTTTGTCTTACATAGGACACTATGCTAAGGAAGAGCCGTGAATTTGAGGACGTTCAGAAACGATTAAATCGCGAGTTGATGGAACAGGATATTGCAATGTCTGGGCTTGAAGAAGAAAATTTTTCACTCAGGTTAGTGCATTTTTTTTTATTTTTAATCAAACTACTCAAGATAGTTGCTTGTCAGGTCATAAAGTACACACAGGTGCTTAACATAAACCTGAAAGCCTTTCTGTAAACATCCACAAAATTACTGTCAACTAACACAAACACCTTCAGCCCAACTTTATATTATATCTGGATCTTCCTCAGCTCGGTCGTCACCAGGTAGAAACGAGAGCTTTGTGAAGTGGCTTAGTAACCATGCATTCAATTTGTGCAATACAGTGGTACCTTTGATCATGAATTTTAATCAGTTCCCAAAGACGGGTCGTAAACCAGAAATTTGCAAACTGGAACGAATTGTCCCATAAAGAATGTACAGTGGGGCCTCGACTAACGACCAGTTTTTGGGAACATTAAATTCTTAAGTTGAAACAAATTTTCCCATAAGAAATAATGTAAATTGAATGAATTTGTTACACACCCCCAAAAATATAACTTGGCACTTTCATGCTATCCGAAAAAAAAAAATATCTTGCCTCGTGTGCGCGCGGTGTTTCGGGCGATCGAGTGGCAACACTGAAAAATGTATACTCTTTTTCCCTGTCCTGACCTTAATTTTTGATGTACGTATTTCGTTTTTGTAGCAATGTGTTCACAATAGAATGTTCTAGAAGAACATAAGTATAAAATGTCACACAAGGATGCGTTAGATCGGCACCAAATAAAAAAAAACTACGTCGATCCCTAGCCGTGAGTGCCAAATAGCTATTTTTGAGGGGATAGTACACCTTGAAAGAGAATGGGCCACACCATGTCATCACCTATTTGGGAAAACGGAAATTTCATGGAGCACATTTTGAAACTATCCCAAAGTTGATCGGATAAAAAATGGATTTTATAGAAATATTTTTTCTCCTGCTGCTTGAGCGCGACACTTACTCGGATTAAAGAGAAATATAGCTGTCGCTCTCAAGCGACATCGGTCCGCAAAAGTGTTATAACCATGCGGACAACCTGGGAGACCCAAGCCCTGGAACAGGGGACGAGGGAAACCGGATGAACCCAAAGCGCATCCCCAGCCACCCCAGCTGAAGCGCGCAGGTAACGGCAAAGAGCTGCAACCAGACAAAACACATGATGCGCCCCCGGCCGAACCAACCAAGCATCAATGACCCACGGACCCCTCCGGAAAGTAGCCGTCTCGTTCTTCACCAGAAAAGACGGAGAAGGCTGCAAACGGACAAACCTACCCCCAGGACCAAAAGAGCAGAAACCCTTGCGCTGGAGGAGAGCATGAAGCTCCCCTACCCGGCCCCCAGAAGCCAATACCAACAAAAACAATCTGGAACCGAAGGGGCCACCACAAACCGAGGAGAAGATAGGAGAGCACCCTGTCCAAGGACCAGGATGGCTCGGGAGGCGCATGAGCAAGCCGGAGGTGAAACATAGCACAAGAATGCTTGCGGAACAGGGTGGATGTGACGTCCATCCCGAACGTTAGCTTGAGCGGCTCCGCCAGCGCCGCACGATACGAGGCGACAGTATTAGGCATCAATTGACGGTCCTGAAAAAGCCAAGAAAGGAAGGACAAGACAACCCGATCCAAAAGAAAAAGACAACCTACGAAGAGCCAGAAAATGGCAAAATGACCGCCAGGAAACTTCATACTGTTGCCGAGACAAAACTCTCAGGTGGGACACCGTCAACGAAGCCACCTAATCACCATAGAAATGGTGATATACCCGTGTCAAAAAGCCCGGACGCGAAGCGCAGAAGAGAAGATCGAACCAGCCCCGTACCAGACTGGGCCGACCTGCTGAAAGAGGCGAAGCCGCAGGAAACATCCCGGGTTCGGACATAGAGCCAATAGCACCGGAAACCAAGGCTGGGCCGGCCACCAAGGCTGGGCCGGCCACCCACCAAGGGGCCACAAGGACTACTCTCCCTAGGAATGTCTCCAACCGAACCAGAACCCGAAGCAACAGCTGGACCGGGAGGAAGAGGTACAGGTAACCCCACCTCGACCAGTCCTGCCGAAAGACATTCGCCGTGAACGCCTAAACCTAACATGCAACGTTGATGCTGCCTGTACCCTAACAGGAACATCCTGAGAGTAAAACTGGAGCACAAGCAGAGAACATGACTTCCAAGACTCCGGGATCAAGGTGTCGTTGACCCAACAGGCAGCATGACGGAGGCAAAACAGATGACGCAATGCATTAGACCGGCACCAAATAAACTACGTCAATTACACTTGGCGTGTCAACAATACAATGGTCTTACCACGATAGTGCAATGCTATGCCATTCTCCCAAATAGGCTATGCGGCTATTAGAGAAAACAGAAATTTCATGGGGAACATTTTCAAACTATCCCAAAGTCGATTGCATAACAAATAGTTTATAGAAATATTTTTTCTCGTGACTCGTGAGCGAGTCCGCTGTGCGACCTCAACACAAAAAGTGGTAATGCTCTCGAGCGCCGTGATAACGCTAAAGTGTTAAGAAAATGTGTGAAGTATGGGAAGAATTGCAAAGTTTTGTTGAAAAAACTCACCCAGATAAAGCTGTAGCAGGCCGTTGCATTGACCTTCTAAATGGCAATGTGATGTCTTACTACAGACAAGTGTTAAAATGTAGGGAAAAACAAGTGTCTTTAGACAGATTCTTAGTAAGACGAGCAAGTCTGTGGTATGCAGGCAAAACGTGCCAGTGTGTGCTCACCAGTGAAGTCCTCACTGCCTGATGTTATAATGGAAGGGGACTCCCCTTCCAAACAGTAACTCCTCTCCTCCTTCCCCCTCCTCTCCATCTTCCATACACCTACAGCATTCATCAACAAGGGTAAGTAATAACTTGAACATAGTTTTGTAGGTTTATTTAGATGAATTAGGTATAAAATTTAGTTTGAAGTGAGGTTTTTGGGTAGTCAGGAACGGATTAATTCATTTCCCATTATTTCTTCTGGGGAAATTAGCTTCTGATTACGAGTTTTCGGAATACGAGCTGTCTCCAGGAATGGATTAAACTCTTAAACCGAGGTACCACTGTACATATCTGGAGATTTCAAGTATTATGTACTAATGTAAACATAGCATACAGTACATTAACAATGTCTTTCTCTTAGGTCGAGTATTAAGCAGATGCAAGATGTAATGGCCAAAATATTGCAGCATGAGGCCACGAAGGAAAAAGAGCACAAGAATCAGCTACTTCTATTGGAAAATCAGTATGAACTGAAACTAACCGCTCTCCAGAAAGAATGTGAGCAGTGTAAAGACGAGATGAAAAAAGCAGAAGTTCCATTATTTGATATGGTCAAGTAAGTCCAATACGGTTCATGCTAATAGTGAATTTTGACATGGTTGGCTATCACCACTTCCAAATTAGTACTTGTATGTGTGTGTACTCGCCTAGTTGTGCTTGCGGGGGTTGAGCTTTAGCTCTTTGGTCCCACCTCTCAACCGTCAGTCAACAGGTGTACAGGTTCCTGAGCCTATTGGGCTCTTATCATATCTACACTTGAAAATGTGTATAGTCAGCCTCCACCACACTCCCTAATGCATTACATTTGTCAACCACTCTGACACTAAAAAAGTTCTTTCTAACATCTCTGTGGCTCATTTGGGCACTCAGTTTCCACCGTGTCCCTTAGTGCGTGTGCCCCTTGTGTTAAATAGACTCTTTATCTACCCTATCAATTCCCTTGAGAATCTTGAATGTGGTGATCATGTCCCCCCCTCACTTCGCTGTCTTCCTGCGAAGCGAGGTTTAATTCCCGTAGTCTCTCCTCGTAGCTCATACCTCTCAGCTCGGGTACTAGTCTGGTGACAAACCTTTGAACCTTTTTCAGTTTAGTCTTATCCTTGACTAGATATGGACTCTATGATGGGGCTGCATACTCCAGGATTTGCTTAACATATGTGGTATACAAAGTTCTGAATGATTCCTTACACAAGTTTCTGAATGCCGTTCTTATGTTAGCCAGCCTGGCATATGCCGCTAATGTTATTCTCTTGATATGGGCTGCAGGAGACAGGTCTGGCGTGATATCAACCCCAAGTCTTTTTCTTTCTCTGACTCCTGAAGAATTTCATCTCCCAGATGGTACCTTGTATCTGGCCTCCTGCGCCCTACACCTATCATCATTACATTGCATTTGTTTGGGTTAAACTAACAACCATTTGTTTGACCATTCCTTCAGTTTGTGTGTGTGTGTGTGTGTGTGTGTAATTACCTAAGTGTAGTTACAGGATGAGAGCTACGCTCGTGGTGTCCCGTCTTCCCAACACTGTCATAGAACGCTTTGAAACTACTGACGGTCTTGGCCTCCACCACCACCTCGCCTAACTTGTTTCAACCGTCTACCTCTCTGTTTGCGAAAGTGAACAGTGTTTGTGTGTGTATATATAATCTCAATAAAAAAATGGGAAAAGGGAACCTTGAACAGGATGTTTATGTATAATTTGTTACTTTTTCTATGAAATTATATACTTTTCTATTTTTTACAGGAAATTTGAGAGATTACGTGAGGTGTCGGAAAGATTATGGAAAAATGAGGAAATTTTGAAGTCCAAAAATGAGAGCTTGGAAACTAAGTTGGCACAGAAGGAAGAAACATTCAAGAAAATAATTAAAGTGGTGGAAGAAAAATATGATAAGTAGGTTTTTGTCTTCTGATTTGTTGTTCCTGTTCTGGATATATTTCTTGGCAAAACTGATTTTTCATTCCTCTGTGGAAAGAAGATATGCTATCTTTTATGATGTGCATTAATTAATATATTCTTAATGCACATTTATATATCACTCAAACCCCCCAACCATTTCCTGCTTTCCCAGTAACATGGCCTGAGGTGGACTCTCAGCCCAGTCTAATTGTAATGTTATGATTTCACTAAATATGTACGTTTGTTTGTGCTCACTGGTTGTGCTACTTTGCCTCGAGTTCCTCGCAGGTGGTTGTGTAGATGTTTATCACGAGGCCATTTGTATTATACAGTTTACACAGTAATTGTTTAACCTGCATAATAGCCAAACCCTCTTGTAAAGTTCATAAGGAAATATATTTGTTTCTGCCATATTTTAACACTGACATTTAATGATAAAATGAACACAAATTTTTTTAAAACATTCTTTTATATAAATATAAATAACTTTTATAATTTTGTTTCCAGATATTTTAGAATCACTTAAAATTCCTATAAACCGTTGTAGGCCTAATGTGCTCGGTAATACTCTATTAAAGGTCATTAAACTGTTTGTATTGCATAGTCATTTAAAACAGTATATTAAATTTGTATTATAAATTCATATGCTCCTTAAAATGTGTTTTAGGGCCCAGGAAGAGTATACATCAACGAAGCACACTCATGAACAGGAAATAAAGAAAGCATCGTTGATGTTGAGGAAAGCGGAACTGAAGATCCTCACACTCACGGAGACGGTGGAGAAAACCACCACTGAAAACCAAAGACTGAAGGATCTGATTGAGGATATCACCAAGAGTTTGGATGGAAATTAACTTGAATACTTTCATTTTTCTTAAACATGTTCTTCATTATTACTTTTATTATTAAGTTTTCCACCTGCTGAATATAGGTAATTTTACACATTTGTTTTTATTTAATATTTGATATTTGTTAATATTGACCATTTTATTCGCATCTTTTCTATTTTCCTCCAAATCCAATATGTATGGAGTTTTTATTCAGCAGTATATTTTAATATTTCTTACTTTGTCTATCACCTTACTTTGTATTGTGAAACATCCTACTTATGAAGTGTTTTAAGTCTGCCTAAAAATGGCTTGAGCAGATATTGCTTATTTACAAAACTGGGTCAGTTATGTGCAGCTTAGTGGAGTAATGTTATTTTAGCTAATCTGTTTGTGGAACATGCCTGGGTAATCTAATAAACCAACTGACTAGGAAACTACTAATGCAAGCCATATATGGATGAAGTAAAAAGGCTGCCTTTCTCTTGTGTATTTTTTTTCCTCATCAGCAGCACACAAATGTGCCCCCTTCCTCCTCCTTTTCTGTATAGACATTCCCCCAATCCATGGCTTTCTGCTTTAGAACCACCAAATAGCTACTTGTGACTAGTGATACTTGAGAGGTTTAGGCTACAGCTTCTAGTCTATCTACTCACTAAGGAAAAGTTTGCCTGGGTAACATCTCAACACAATAATCCTGCCACCATCCATATACATGGTAAGCAATGCTTGAAAATATGTGAAACTGTTTTTAACTATATGGATCCATTTAAAAAATACAGCATTGAATGTAATGAAACACCATTTTCTGGGTGAGACCCTTTGGCTCCCCGGAGCTTACTAGGCTGATATGCTAATGTCAGACTTTGGCATCAGTCATGTGTATGGAGTTCTATGGGCCTACCGGGGACCACGAGCCAGGACCTGGCCCCCTCAGAGAGGCAAGGGGAGCAATGGCATATAGAAACCCCCACCTGCGTGCTTCTTCTTGGCGGCAGTATGGAGTATTTTGGCGGTCCTTTCTTGTCCTTCTGTCCCTTTTTAGATAGCTGCGTTGTTGGAGTCGGCTTGGCTTTTCTGGTGGGGGTTTCGGGGCCATCATCATCCCGCATACTGTCGCCTCGTTTCGTGCGGCGAAAGAGCCAAAAGGCGCTGGCGAGCTGCTTCGGCTTGGTGTTAAATCTGCGCTGTTCGTAAGTTGTCTCGTGCATTTTCACCTCCGGCCTACTCATGCGCCGCTTGAGCCGTCCTGGTCTTTGGACAGCGTGTTCTTCTCCTCGATTGATTGTGACCCCCTTCGGTTTGGGTTTGATTCTCGAAGGCCCTTTCCTGTTGGTATTTGCCTCTTGGGGTTGGGTCGCTGAGCTCCTTGCTCTCCGGCGCAGGGGTTTCCGCTCCTTCGGTCATGGCGATTGGTTTGTTTGGTTGCAGCCGTCTCCCTCTTTTCTGGCACAGGATGAGGCTGCTGCTTTTCAGAGGGGTCCTTGGTTTGTTGGTGCTTGGTTGGTCGGGCCGGGGTGCATCGTGTCTTGTTCGGTTTCGGCCCTCCGCAGTTTTTTGCGCGCCACGGCTTCTGTGTCCGGGACATGCCTTGGGTTGATCTGGTTCAGTTCTTCCCTGTTAGCGGGTGAAGGTCTCCCGGGTTGTCCACCTTGTTATTGCGGCTAGCCAGCCTGTGTTCCTTTCCCGTGGCATTCAAGGATTCGCTGTTTTTGCTGCCGTCATGGCGGCATGTCCTAGCTGGCATTCAGGCACGGGGCTTTTGGCAGTCGTACAGGGGCCTGGCTGCTCGGTGTCGCGTGTCGTTCCCGGGCCCATCCAGACCAGTGTCGCCTTGAGTTGGCGGTTGCAGCCAGTTGTCTTGACCGAGTTGGGGAGTGTGTGGCAACCGCCTCGCGGGTACATCCCTCTTTTCCTCCGAGTAGTTAGCTTTGGGGAGCCGAAGGGGCTCCCCCCTGAAAACCACCGTTGAATGTAATGAAACACCATTTTCAGGGCAAGACCCGGAGGCTCCCAGGCATCCCTCCCTCCGGTCGGCAGTTTTTCGCGTTTTTGACATCCAGCCTCAGAACTGGTGGTTAGCCGGCGTGGTAGGTCTGGGGCTTCCCCTTCCTCCTCCCGGGGTGGGGGAAGCTGCGACATCGTGATCGTGTGCTCGTTTCTTTTAGGGGAGTTCTATCCACCTGTTCGGCTTGTGGTAGCAATTTTCCTTAGAATAGGGGTTTGTTTTGGGACGCTTACCTCTCTGGGTGCCTGGCCCAGTCGATGGCAGACATAGAATGCTTCCAACCACACGAGGGTTTCTATATGCCATTGCCCCCCTTGCCTCTCTGAGGGGGCCAGGTTCTGGCTTGTGGTCCCCGGTAGGCCCATAGAACTCCATACACATGACTGATGCCAAAGTCTGACATTAGCATATCAGCCTGGATAAGCTCCGGGGAGCCAAAGGTGCTCCCCCCAGAAAATGACACATTTACTTCTGAAGGTGGGGGGGTTCTAATCATTTTAAGGTTGGCAGTAAATGGATGGTGAAGTACCCTAACATGGTTCCAATTATTGCAAATATCTCTAGAAAGAAAGCAAAGGCTTTCATGTTGAATAACGTCCAAATAGAAGTTTTAGGACTAAAATATTGTAGGACACATTAAATCTCCCACAGACAATAGATGCACCAGCCCCTGGTACTTGAAAGCTACAGCAGCAGTTTAAGGGCTGCAAAAGTTCTTATCTGCTGAAACTGCTTTGTTTGGTTAAATTTACTTCAAAATATTTCTAAACTGAAATAAAAAACTCTTAATGTCAACATTTATTTTGTAAATACTGTATATATATACACAGGCAAGTGCTTGTGTAACATTTAAGGCATATCTCATAAATTACAAATAATAAAAATAAACAAATTCTCAGTGGTTTTTGTAACTTGTATCACTACATAATACTTTTTTTTTTGCAGTTTCTCACTTGAGCACAGAAAGATGTAATGATAAAATAGTTGTACAACCATACTTAACATTTTGGTAATTTTTTACTGACAATTGTGAAGACATGATATTCTCAAAAAGAAAAGATACTCAGATGTTGTTTAGTCATTGTTTGGTACCATTTGAAAAATTAAGATGGTTTGCTATTACACACAGAAATCTTGAGGTTATCTTGAGATGATTTCGGGGCTTTAGTGTCCCCGCGGCCCGGTCCTCGACCAGGCCTCCACCCCCAGGAAGCAGCCCGTGACAGCTGACTAACTCCCAGGTACCTATTTACTGCTAGGTAACAGGGGCATTCAGGGTGAAAGAAACTTTGCCCATTTGTTTCTGCCTTGTGCGGGAATCGAACCCGCGCCACAGAATTACGAGTCCTGCGCGCTATCCACCAGGCTACGAGGCCCCTTGTTCACAATAGCGTGATGCATCAAATGAACAAATCCACAAGGGCTGTGACGAGGGTTCGAAACTAGGTCCGAGAGGATCCCCCAGACGCTGCCTTAATCGACTGAGCTACAACATAGTTAACCCTTAAGCTGTGGACACACAGATCACACTAACGATCTGGGATGCTCCAGGACACAGGTTCGAATCCTTGTCACGGCCCTTGTGGATTTGTTCATTTAACATTGTTACAACTTGCTATATTGGTTATTATAATTGGTTAGGTGGTGTTAAAACTTGCTTGAACGTTTTAGCAACGTCGTAGTTTCGGTGTGTGTTTGGCGGGCATTCACCCCTCCCCTCGTCCCTACCATCCCCAACTTCCCTGTCCCTTCGTCCTCGCCACCAATACCCCCTCCCCTGTTCCCATATGGACTCCGTGCTGGGGCTGCATACTCCAGGATTGGTCTGACATAGGTGGTATACAAAGTTCTGAATGATTGCTTGCACAAGTGTCTAAATGCCGTTCTTATGTTAGCCAACCTGGCATATGCTGCTGATGTTATCTTCTTGATATGGGCGTCAGTTTAACCCTTAAACTGCGCAATGCGCCTGCAGGCCCACGTCTGGGGTGCGCTATGCGCCTCCGGGTATTTGTATTTTTCACGATTCATTCAAAACTCCCGCAGCTACATGGGGTTCACATCAGCTTCTTCAGGGCTCTTGTAAACAGACACCATCTTTAAAAAAAATCGTGGTCCACATTCCCGGGTGTGAGAGCCTCAGTAGTGAGTGAACAACCAAGGCCAGCACACGCAGCATGAGCTTACAGCACTGCTGTTCAGCTTGTGACCACGGCATCGTCTAATAATGTCAAAATATATATATAACTGGTATTATTTAGTCAAGATAGTATTACAGAAGAGTCTGAGTGTGATAATGACTGTGTACAATGTTCAAATATCAGTGATTCAATGCTGTTCACGATGTTTACAGCGCTAGCCACAGCACCACAGCATTATTTCCTCCATCTAGGAATCTTCAAACGATTTCTTAGGTTCCTTTACAAAATAAACTTGTGGTCAATTATGTATTTACAGGATTTGGTGACCAGTATTGTCATAACAGCAGGATTGTGGTGATATAAGCACTGTGCGTAGTATTGTGTGAGGAGTAATTGTGGTGAAGGAGCGAGGGAGAGAATCGAGGTAGCCTCACTGTGTGGGGCAGCCACTCTTGCGTTGCTCATCATATTAGCTTAGTGGTTCGCTATGGTGAACACATTTGTACATGGGTATATACAATGTGTGTATATAGTGTAGTAACAGCAACAGGAGTATGTTGGGAGGAGCTATTTTGGTGAGGGAGGTGACATAATCGTAGCGTCGTCTGCTGGCTGCTGTGTGATTTCTCATGCAGTGTATGGTGGCCACTGTAAAGTTTGGACACAATACCGGCTTACTTGCATAGTTCTGGTGAATAAAACATGTAGATAGGTATATATAACATGTGTAAATAGTGTAATACAAACAATAACAGTATGGTGGGAGGAGCAATGTTGGCGAGTAAGATGTTGGAGGAGTGAGGGAGAGACTGGATGTTGGAGAAGTGAGGGTGTGGCAGCTGACACTCGCGGAGTTCTGAGTGTGTTGATGATGAATGTATATAGTGTGTGATAGTGTATAGTGTGTAAATAGACTGTATATATATATACATAAATTAGCATAATACAATGGACATGTGTGTCGGATATGTGTACACGTGCGTCATGCACGTAACACAGTGTCTTCGGACAGTACGGATGTTCTACTGCCATAACATAGTGTACGTGTTCATTATACATAGGATTGGCATGTAAAAGCATATAAAATGTATTTAGAACTGTGCGCAGAAAATGAACAAAAATATATTCGCGGCAACTCTCACATCCTGCCCTGAGCGCCCTACTGGCCCCGGGGGCGTATGCCACGGGCGACCAGGGAATGATGACGTCATGCACGAACGTACGAACCCCATAGCAGCTAAAGTACTTAAAATTTCGACCTTCTGTTACTATACCCATACTCAGGGAAGGGTTTTTGACACTTTAAAAATAGAAAAGAATTTTTTTCCAGAGATTTTATTTCCTGCGCACTGGGGAGGGGGAGGTCATATTTGGAGACCGCGCAGTTAAGGGGTTAAAGTTGATAAAAACATTCACGCTGATTACAAAAAGAACAAGCATCTTGACTAGAGTTTTTCATTCCTATTGTTAACAACTTATTTACTTAAATATTACTGATAAAAGTCAATGCTCTAGTAGGCTCCATTCACACACTCAAACATGAATAATATGCAGTCACAAATTCTAACTTAATTTATAAGTAACTACAACCAGACAGTAATGATCACATGATAATAGAAGACATTCACTTCTTTTAAAAGAAGAAATATTCTAAAAATATTGACTTCTCAAGTAGGAAAATACAATATGTTAAACATAAAATAATGCGTACAACTAAAACATTAACTAGTGAAATTTTTACGAAAGACTGGACTGGGATGGAAATGCCAATATTCTTTATATAAAAATAACATGGCAGATTTCCAGGTATTTGCTGAGGCACTGTAAAACAATTCTCTCATTCATGTAACTAATGTAAGATTATCTTCAGATAGCAATAAACATTCAAAAACACTGTGTAAATCCATTCATATTTTAAATTAGGTTGAAAGCATGACATTTATTGAAGCACATGCTTCAAACATTTATGGTCACAGGTAAAAAATCAAACTTTAGTCTTGCCCCAATTAATCGCTTTATGAAATTGTATGGGGTCCTAATGCTGCCATCTGCAATCTTCGGCTCGTTTCTTCTGCCGACTTTTGTCGGTTTTCTGTTATCTGTAGAGCTCTCATCAGCTGCGCATTTTCTAGGTACAGTTCTTTAACAAGAGAATCACTACGACTGGCCTTACTTAGCTGGAAAAAAAAAAAAAGAATAAATTAAACAATGAACGTAAGATACTGTATTAATAAACAAAATTTATAGGTGCATTTTTTCACTGGCAAATTGGCTTGTGTAGTCACTCAATATTTTGTTAGAAGTTCTTGTTAAAAGCATTTAAATGCCAAAATCACTTTAATAATATACTCAGTCAATTACAGTATGCAAAGTTATAATTGTGGTATATCTTTTTATTTACTTTGATCAAATTTGTATACACAACATTTCCCAATCATGCACAACTTATTTTCTCCATGTGTATCTAGTGAATAATTAAATATGCTACATTATACATCTCAATAACATTATGTAGCTTATGTACCAGGCTGAATGCAATGTTATGCAAAATTTTATACTGTACCATTTTCATAATAACCACTGTTTATTTAGGTATGTGAGTAAGCTTTGGCTTAGCAGCTCTGAAGCAGGACTAAGTTAAGTGAGATTTGATCTTGAAATTCTATTAAGAATATGTGCTTTCAAGAAAGTACTATAATGTATATATGATGATATACATCTAAGTATGAATATGAGATTGTAATATACAATACTGTATTAATTTAATTAGCACTCTGGTTTCATTTATTTGTAATGTTAATGCTGATGTTTTATTATCAACCAGGTTCACAGCAACTGAAAATAAGAACATTTTAACACCTTAAACTGACTACAGAAAAACATGTTTTTTTTTAGTGAAACTTGCCATGTTTCTCACCTGGTCCTTGTATTTGGCAATATGTTGACCAAGCATTTGCTGAGTAGCTGCCAACATACTCTCTAAGTTTTGCACTTCAGCTGCATGTTGTTCCCTAGTTACTGAAGAAAATGTACAAACATTTAAGAATACAATGAAGAACAAGAGAGTCCACTTGATAAAAAAAAAATTACTACACTTTGACATAACCTAATTATATTATACATTTTATTCTCCTAATTAGTAATGTTGAGCATTGACTCTTTCACAAAAAAAGATTTATTAAATAGTTTCTCCGATTATTTATTTTTATTTATGAATAAGAAATAAAATGACATCTGAAAACTTTATTTATTTACTACCATTATCCTGTTATCAACTTTTGTAGTGTGGGAAGGCATGAGTCAGGAGAAAAATCATGAGTTGAATGTAATGAAACCTCTTCTCTGGTGGGACCCTGGGTACCTTGCTGAGCAAAGCACTAGTGCGCACAAGCCTTGGAAAGATGCACCAGGTATTGGAGACACACTTGTTTGTCAGGAGCCAGGACAAGAATCTGGCTCTCTATGAGGAGAGGGGAGTTACGTATCAGATATCAACCCTCCACACACAAAAAAAAAATAAATAAAAAAAATAATAAATGGGCAACTGCTTAACAAAAATAGGTAGCTTGATAATTGGATGGGGAGGGGGTGGGTGGTGGGGGTTGATGAGCCCATTAATTGGTAATAGGTGTTGTGTATGTGTGGTAGATAAATTGGTGATAGATTTTATTTGTGAGAGGATCCCCTTCAGTAGCTCACAATGACACCTCAGTATAAGAGGTCTGTGTAAACAGGCACCCCAGCTAGTCCCTGAACTGTGAACAGATGGAACAAGCCAATAAGCATATGCAGATCCAGGGAAACAAATGAGGTCAAACATGTAATTCAAAATCAAAAGGAGAATGTGAGACTTAGTGGGCATTTGAAATGTGAGACAAGCAATGTTAACATTGAGGAAAAACAAATCCAAAATGAATCAAGGATTTGGCGAGTCCTATTTCAGAAGTAGGAAGAGCTGAAACACTACCCAAAGTGAGAGTCACGGCAAAAATGCTCTTGCCCAACACGTTGCAAATAAGAGTGCAGACTAGTGGAGTAGACAGTTGATGAGCCCAAGACATAAGATCCTCAGAAAACTGATGGGCAGAACACCAGTCACCAGGGGCCAGATTCACAACGCAGTTACGCAAGTACTTATGAACTTGTACGTCTTTTCTCAATCTTTGGCAGCTTTGTTTACAATTAATAAACAGTTACTGAGCCCCGAAGCACCAGGAGTCTGTTTATATCAATAACAACAATTGATTGGGAAGTTTTTATGCTTGTAAACTGTTTAATAAATGTAACCAAAGCCGCCAAAGATTGAGGAAAGATGTACACGTTCGTAAGTACTTGCGTAACTGCTTCGTGAATTTGGCTCCTGAACTTGGGAAATGCAGCTGTACAAGATCAATGGTGAACAGCTGGTTTAGCAGTCAGTGTCTTTGATAAATACAGACAGAAACCAGGACAGAAGCACTGATAATAACCCTTGTGTTGCTCATGGCTAATTAGCCTTTGTCACCCACAGGCGCATACCAAAAAAAAAAAAAAAATTATTTTTTCTTCTAAACCTGTTAATTTGTGTTCTCTGATCATGGAAAAAAAAAAAAAAATCGTGACATATATTGCCCGCTATAGGGAGGGAGGAAAGTCTGGCAAAAAAACAGGCACTGACTCAGCGTGCGTCCCAGGCGGTCTGTTGCTCCCAGCTGTGAGCCCTGGAAACACAAACCGAAACCGTCTCTATTTTCCGCTTGTTACAACTTGTAATAAAGTTGCTACATCTTGGCTTAACGTTTTTATGAGGTATTAGAACGTTGTTACAATTTGCTATATTGGTTGTTATAACTGGTTAGGAGGTGTTAAAACTTGTTCGAACGTTGTACCAATGTCGTAGTTTCAGTGTGTGTTTGGCGGGAGGCAGGAGTGGCCACAAAGAGATAATTACCTAATTATTTCAATGTCTCTGATTGATTTTTTGTAGTTTTTTGGCTGTAATATTATTCAATAGTGTGTAGTGTGATATATTTATGTAATGAAATGTGTGAATCATCGCTGTACTCAAAATTATGGTGCGCATATTGTTGATTCAATTATGTTCATCAAACAGTGAACAAATACTTTGTCAGTTATTACGCTATATACACAAGTTATATACAAGTATCTGTATGTCTTGTTCACCATAACAAACCACTAAGTTGGTATTATGAGTCAAAAAGCAATGAGGAGTGACTGCCACACACCAGCCATCCACTCGCTGCCACTCACTCCCTCAACACCTCACTCGCCCACATTCTACTCCCACCATACTGTTTTTGCTTTTATTCACTATATACAGACGTTATATATAAGTATCTACATTCGTGTTCACCATAATGAACCACTAAGTTGGTATGCTGAGTGGCAGTGGCAACCAGTGGCAGCCCGCCACTGGCTGCCACTGGGGAAGGCGTCGCGCCGAAGCCGACGTGAAGAGGTCCACCTCAAGGCGCCCGAACGTCTGGCAGAGTCAACGGAAGGAGTCGGCATTGACTGTCCATTCCGTGGACAGGGGAATGGAACGAAACTAAACAGGCCATCGGCCAAGACGTTGGACACTCCCCACACGTGAACCGCCAGGACAGACAAACCCTGAGAACTCATCAGACGAGTCACTCAAAGCGACCAGCGCCAAAGAGCCAAGGAATGCATCGAATCCCCTCGGTTCAGGCAATGAACCACTGGGGAGCAGTCCGAATGGGGCTGGATCGTTGATCTGCGGGCAACCCAAACCCTCTGAAGCGCAAACTACACACAGCCGCAAACTCCCGCACCGTGCTGTGGGCCCAATGGAAGGACGGATCCCTGGTACTGGTCACAAAGTTACTGGTACTGTGAGCACTGGTCACAAAACCACAGCCGAGAGACAATGCGTCCGTGACCATATCGAGCAAGGGCTCGGGCAGGCGCCAAGGCACTGAACCCCGAAAAACCCGAAGAGGAAGCAGGCGACGCAGCAGCCGATGCAAGGCCCCCCAGGGGGTCGAACCCAGTGATCGCGAGAGAGGGGGAAGGGATGTCCCCAAAGGAACCAGAACAGCAGACGCAGCCAAACCCGACGCGGCGGGTAGACCATCATCGCAAAGTTCAGGCTCCCGCACAAACTCTCGAGCAACCCCCGGGTGACCCAGGAGCCCCCCAGAAACAGGCATAATCCAGGTCACACAGAAGGTTTGCCGCAAGGGCCGCCCGCACCGCAGCAGGTTGGATGCGATAAGCCGAAAACCTCCGGAAAGACGGAGCCGAAGTGCCCGGGGGGAACATGGAACCGAACCAGGGGGAGGGGCAGACACCAAATCCAACTCGTATGCAGAGGGGGGGGGGGGGGGAAGAGAACCTCACTCCTTGTATCAATAAGCCCTGCTCAGAGGGTAAAAAAACCAGGAGAGGTCCAGTGGGGCCCGTCAGCCTCTCCCCCACCCCAGGATCCTCCTCTGCAGGACCCAGGGCTGAGTCATCTCCCAAAGCACCAGCCCCTAAGGAAAAGGCCGGCGCAGCCAAGTAAGCCGGACAGAAGAAGGCCCACTGGCCAGAGGCCCAAGCCTCTGGCCTAGATCCTGAGGCTTCGGCAGGCAGACTGGACTTGAATGCCTCCGTCGCTATACCGAAAGGGGCATCCCCCGAGACTGCCCAAGTCTCAAGACCATCTAAACCCTGCCCTGACTCCGAAACCCTCAGACGTATCAGGGCCGGAAGCAGGAGGGGGAGATGGGGGGGGGGCAGAATGAACCACAACAGGGGAAGGACAAGGGGACGTGGACTGAACCAAGGTCGAAGAGACCCCCACCCCCAAGTTCAGGTCCCTATAGGCAAAACGGGGCACCCTTGGGACATCCGGGTGAGCAACTAACCTAGCACATTGCAACAACCTAAAGTGCACAAGCAATGCCTGCGCCACCTGTACCCGTAGAACATCATCATCAGATTGGGTAAACTGAGTCCCTAGCAAGCAACAGTACTCGCAGGACTCCGGGTCGAAAGTCGCCGACCCAACAGGCAGCATGACGGAGGCAAAACCAGCGAGGGTCATCCTGAGATAAAGGGACCGAGCAACGCTCGAACTCGCACGAAGCGAGGGGGAGAATTCAGGGACACATCCATCGGACCCACGCGCCCCCTTGGGATTTACCAGGGTCCTAAGATGGAACGCACGTTCTGGAAATCCCAGGCAGGGTACTGCTAACCGGTACCCACAGCTACCAAGCAACTTTCTAAAGCTGAACTCCAGGGACGTGTACACTCATAGGGGGACCTAGCAGGGGGTACCACCAGAAAAGAACCATGCTCAGGTCAGGCACAAAGGGATAAGCAAGGCAGACCCCCCACAAGGCAAAAAGAAAAAGAAAAACAAAACCCCACAAGAGGACAACGTACCCCAAGGAACAAAGCCGGCCGCCGTGAATGGTGTAAACAAGCTGTGCAGTACCCTGCGCCCTGTACCAGTGCAAACTGCCTCTTACCCTAAGGTAAACAAGGAAGACAAAACCCCCAAGCACCCAAAGGGCAGCCGAAAAACCGAGCAGTAATACGGCCTAGCAGAGGCAGTCCCCAAGGAACTTGTCAATGGTGGCCCCAAGCTCCAAGAGCAGTACTTACAGGGCATCTAGGGACGATAACCTAGGCACATGCAGCCCGAGTACTGTAGAATAACTCCTGGCTCTCGCACCCCCCTGGAAGACAGCTACCACACTCAAAGCACAGTACTGGAATCACTGGAGCCATGCACACGACCTCTGCCTCTAGCATCAATCAGCCCGAGAACTGAAGGGTGGATAGCCGGCGTGGGGGGTCTGGGGCTCCCCCTTCCCCCTCCTAGGGAAGGGGGGGACAGCTGTGTGGCGACGTGTGACATCATGCTCATTTGCTCGTTTCTTTTAGGGGAGTTCTATCCACTTGTTCGGCTTTTGGTAGCAATACTTTCACCAGAATAGAGGTTTGTTTTGGAATGCTTACTTTCTGGGCGCATGACCCGGTCGATGGCAGACAGAATGCTTTCAACCACACGGGGGTTTCTATAGGCCATTGGTCCCCATGCCTCTTTAAGGGGAGCCAGGTTCTGGCTTGTGGTTCCTGGCAGGCCCACAGAACTCCATTCACATGACTGATGCCAAAGTCTGACATTAGCATATCAGCCTAGTAAGCTCCGGGGAGCCGAAGGCCCCCCCCCCCCAGAAAAAGGAGATGAACAAGGAGGCAAACACTAAGGAACGTGATTATTCTGACTGCTAGATATAATCCAACATACTTTGCCTGCTGGCATGATGGGAAGCATACATGTTCACTTCTTCCTCTGGAAATGGTCTCTATATTTCCTGGTTCCAAGGTATTGTGTCTCAAGCCAAAGGACAGAACTGCAAAGGACCAGAGCACACAACCTTGGAACCACGTCCACATTGGGTGGTGGACAGATCCTCCTTTAGCTGGATATGCTACATGTTTGATCTTCCACGAGTGAATCTATTTGATTCATCATGGAATCATCAGCATCCTCTATGTGGCTCAGTTTTCGAATTACAAGACCTTAGCAGTGAACTAGTTATGTCTAGACTGGTGTCAATGAGAGATTCTTCATTCTGGTCCAGATGCTCTTTCCAGGGGTTTTCCAGGTTGGTAGCATTTGGAAGTTTCATTGTAACCAAAGACTTAGGCACTGAGAAGTTACTGAGGAATTATTTTACTTGCTCTACTATCCTCAGTGGTCAAAATAAAGGTTCCAGAGGGTGCGACAGAGAAAGGGTTAGCAAGAGTTTTCAACACTTCACTCAGTGCCTTTCTTGCTCAATTCTTCTACAATGAATATTTTCATTGCTGACATGCTCACAGGAACATAACATGCTTATTTACAATAGACATTCAACCCATATGATTCCACAACTTCTCACATTCTTGTCACATTGCCCAAACAACCCCTCCCACTATCCATACATCTCATGTTATCTAGCTCCTTTCCCATCTTACCTATTGTATTTAATCAGAAAGTACCTACTGTTCATGCTTCCATCCTGCAACCTACACACTTTAACACTATCTTCACTTAAATTTTTAGTTGTAACTATTAAATTAAATTTATTATATTACTATTCCTATGCATGGGTTTCAGTTAACAATACTAACTATACATATGAGAATAGGTGTACCTGTTAGTATTTGAGAAGCATGTGTATGATGTTGACGAAGTGCAGCTTCAAGGATTCGTAATCGCTCTTGACATTGGCGTAATTGGGCTCGTAATGACCCATTTATAGTTTCTTCTCCTATACTTCCAGAACCCTTCAGGAATACACAATTATTAGTGCTGAGAACATTTTATAGTTTATACCATATAATATCCTATTTAAATGCGTGAGGGGAAATAGGGAAACTCACTTTGACATGTGAACATTTTTCTGGCATTACTGTACTGTACTTGTACCTGGAGCCACCCAGTCTATAAGCTGCAGATAAACTACTGCCTATGACATTTGACTAACCTGATAACTTGGCCTGTTTTCGTGTGTTTCTGGGCTGGGTGGCTCCTCAACTTCTGTGGCATGGCCATTCATTAAGGGAACTCTCACCTGAGAAAATATCCACACTAGTATCACAAAATTATGTAATTATAGAAAATTACACTAATTTATAACAAAAATTTAATCCTAGATACTATAGAATATAATATTCTCAAGAATATTCAACAACAAAATTACCATAAAAATAATTAAAGAAAAATGGCTTGATATATTAGCTTAAAGTTGTCTTAACTGATGGAAATAAGACAATTGGATCAGAGGACCTTGGAGAAGAGCAAAAAAACCAGCGTTGAATGTAATGAAAAGCCATTTTCTGGGCAAGTCCCGGAGGCTCCCCGGAGCTATCCAGGCTGGATGGATATGTATATCTGTCTGGCATCAGTCAATGCATGGAGTTCTGCCTACCGGGGACCAAGAGCCAGAACCTGGCCCCCCTCTAAGAGAGGCACGAAGAGCAATGGCCTATAGAGACCACCCTGTCATTGGGAGCATTCTATGTCTGCCATCGACCGGGATAGGCACCCAGAAAGGAAGGCACCCCAAAACAAACCCCTATTCTGGTAGCATTACTGTGACCAAAAGCCGAACATGTGGACAGAACTCCCCAAACGAAAATTGATGCCAGACATTTCCATCCAGCCTGGATAACTTCGGGGAGCTGACGGGGCTACCCGCAGAAAGAAAGTTAATTAACATAAGTAATGAACCAAGACAGTGAATGTTGTGAGATTATTTATAAAGATTTCAAAACAGTTCACGGTAAAATATTAGAAAAGCCCCAATGATGTAAACATCCATGATGATTTTGTGTGTTCAGCAGTGCTGCTGCAATGGCAGACTTAGAGGGCTATAAAGACGAAACTTGACGATTTCTGGGGCAAGAAACATTTTTATTACTAAAAATAAATACCCATAGGCCATTTACACTTTACTACATTAGCAAGACAAATTATAGGAATAAGAGTTAGAGGAACTGCAGAAGGCCTATAGTACCATTCAAGACAGCTCTAATGTTCATCTAACCAAACTCATTCATATACTGTATATGTCTAATCTGCACTTGGAACAGTCAAGTGATCCCACATCTATCATGTTACCCTGTAATTTCTTCTATAAGTCAACAAACCTGGTTCCAAACCAGTATATACCTAGATGTTGCATAATATCTAAGCTTATCTAATTTAAATTCATTGTTTTGTTTTCACATTTAACATTAATATCCCTTTTGTTATACTCTTCCATCTACTTGTACACTTCAATCATGTCCCTCACCTTTTTGCCTTTCTAGAGAATGCAAATTAAACATTTCCTTTGCTGAACGCATTCAAGTACATGGCGACCAAAAATGAACTGCATAATCTGAAACTCCATCAGTGTCTATCAACTCTACTTCTTCTAACTCCTAAGAATCAGCTTGGGTGACAGCAGTTTAAATCTCACCCCTAGTGAGATTTAAATTCATTAATGGTGGAGGCTGGTGCACAGTCATGAAAGAACTACAGTATTTGTTGGTACAGAATATATCAGTGGCGTTAGTAAAAATATATTACTATTCCTCAATTGCAAATAAAAACAGCAGCTTCACTGCAATAGCACAAAGTTATCAGCAAAATAAAATAACTAGTTGTAAGCCATTATGTTTCAGGACTACAGGAGATGATTTTCTCTCCTTGACTCAATGTTATGAACTTGCTCAAACTTTTAGTCTTTTTTTATCTTTCTCATTACAGAGATAGGGAACATGTTCGTGAGGTTACATAACTGATTCTTGATCTTTTTTGTCACATCTTGAAGCAATATAGTTTTAGCACATGTTAACAATGTCAGTCATTTCATAAATACTGTATAGATATTTTTAAATCATTCTTGTCTCTGTAACTCTAGATTGTTTTCAATAGAATCTATAAATTCAACATTTGGTTAGTGCAGCAAATATAATGCAAGTTAGCTGTTGCCTGTAGGATAAAAAAAACTTACCCTTGTTTGATTTGACTGGAATCTGAGGAGAGATTGATACACAAACTTACCATTTATATATACTTTTACAATGATTAACTTCCAGTATTCTCACAAAAATCAATTTAACATGAGACACACTTCAATGCATCAGTAACTCCTATACATTATACACAGAATAATTCATGAGCCTCTCTACACACTGATTAAAACTACTCACATAATAAGTTCATGCGGAGTGATTTTATTCTAAAGCTTGAGTCCATACAGCTATCCTATACATTTATAAACCACACTACTGTATAACCTTTATGATAGGAACAAAAGATGAGATCTGATATATACAGTACATTTAAGTAACTTATGTAGCACATTTAGAATACATGGATAACAGTAGTTCAAACTTACCTGCATGTGCAATCTCTGTTGATTTGCTAGTTCCTGTATGCGTTGCTCGGACTCTCTACGCACTTTATCCAATTCTTCTAGGACTGAAATACAGTTTAAAGATATAAAATTCTGCTCGCTCTGTGTGGTATTTTACTTCAAAGTTACAGTAAAGCATTCAACAAACAATAACAAAACAAAATAACAAAACAAACTAAATCTTTATCCAAACCATGAAGATATATTTCTTGAGTCATCATGTCACAGCCTGGTGCTGAATGAAAGAAAGTCTTTCTTCCACTTAAACCTTTATTCACATTTCTAATCCAGTTTTCCATTGTCATTTAACAAATACATTCCAAAGGTCAGTACTTGCTTCTGAAAGACTTACTCCAAGCTCAATTTGGTGGCACCCCAGAAATGTCCTCCCAGTTCCTGTGACTGGCACCCTATAATATACTGGATACCATACTACCTATCTTAGTATCAATCATTACATAGGTACTGTATTAGTGGGGAAGGATTTCCTAAGTTCAAATATATACAGGAATATTATATATTCACCCATATATATATTATATGGGTGAGATACTGTTAAGGTATTGACATAGTGGTAAGGTATTGTTAAGGTATTGTTCATAGTGGACACACATTATTGTGTAAGGGGAGTGCTTGAATGCTTATTGGCATGTAAGATGCAGTGTAAGGCGAGAGATTGATTTCTTCTTTTGTTGGGGATACTTATGTAGATGTTTCTGGTGTTTCAGCCACAAGCTGAGTTTCATGTACTTTTAGGGCTAAGGATACAGTATTGTTGTGACAGGATTTCAGCCCCATTTAGTGAGGGAGTAATAAGTGGTAAACCAAGAGTTGAGCAGCCACTTCATATGGACAGTTGGAGAAGTCAGGACATGATATCGGAATGCTACTGGGTTGTAGCAGGTTAGTGTGTTGTATGATAATGTTCTATTTTATATGTTATGTATTATGTATGTTTTCTTTGTATATTAAATGTATATGCTAGCTGGCTTTTGCTCTTGTCCTGGTCAGGTTTCTCTGAAAGCGGGGAAGAGAGGGAGGGTCACGGCTGCAGACAGGGTGGCAGAAGATACTAATTCACGAAAGGGAGATTTAGGAGATCATTCCAAACAAGGAGAGAGTGGGGAGTCACGGCGGCTTGAGTAGGGTGTGTACACAAGACAACAAGACCAGTGTTGGAGCTGAACCCGTAAATATGTGATGCTAAACCCCTCTCCAAGATCAAGAGGCGTACAGGGTGATCTCCTAGGTAAATTACAAGTACTCCAGTGTCCATTGCTGGTTGATTGATGGTAGCGGGAGTGTGGCTGCCGAGGTCGGTTGTTTGTTCCGTCAGGGAGTGGTTGGGAACGTTGTCCGGATGTACGCAAGTAACAATCTGGTGCAACAACCAGAGCTCTCTTTTGGAGGTTTAAGTCTCATAATCCCCAACCCCTCAGGGCAGAACAACATACAGTACATATTCTCTCCCGTATCAACTTACCCTGGCTTTACGTGCTGGAGTGGCCACTCCAGACCGACAACCAGAGCACAACTCCATAGTCTCCTGAGACTGATACATGCCTACTATACTATTGACCTATATATTTGTCAAAATTATACCAAATCTATATATGTGTGATAACAATTAACCTTTTAACAAGCACAGTTTGAAAGCAACACACTGATGAGTAGAGCAACTACCAATATTTTGAAGTTTCTAATTGACTCAATTGCAAAAATTATTGTTTTACCAGTTGTGACTTGTAGTTGGGCCTGATGAAGTTGGGATGAAAGATTATTCACTTGGTCCTGGAGGTTGGCACACTCGTGAGCTGCCAACTGTCGTTCCTCTGACACACGTGCCTCCATTTTGCTTTCCTGTACAGACCACCAAAATTAGTTGAGGATTTTGAAACACAAAAGGAGCTGCTGAAGAAGTTTACATAATGTTAAAAAGTTATGGACCTTTCGCCGGACCGCGAAAGGTCCGGCGTCCTTTACGAGATCCAGAACCCCGCACAGAGCGAACACCGCACCGACCAGACGAGGGCGGGTCCGAACCTGACACCAGTGGCCTACCACAACGAGAGGAACCCCGAGACCTAGCACGACCCTTCCGGGAAGACCCACCACGGGACCCCTGGAAAACCAACAAGTCTGACATCGGACGACAAGCCGACGACACAGCCTGGATAAACTGCGCCATGGCTGACTCCTCAAACAGAAGAGGACAAAAAAGGCGACGACAGCCTAAGAGCTAGAGCCCAAGCAGATTCCATGAAAGAACCCAGCACTGCCTGCCGACACACGAGACGGGAAGCATAAAACAGGGCAGCCGCATCCTGCAAAATCGGCGTGAAAAGCTTTGACAAGGAAGCCGATGAACGCGCTGCCGAGAACAAGGCGCCAGACCCCGGGATGGATCCAAGCGTCCTCACATCCTCCACTAGCCAATCTCCGCCATGAGTGCCGCCAAAAGGGAGGGAACCTGCACATGGGGCTGAACAACACCCACATCGCGGGGAAGGGCAGGGGTAAACAAACACTCGTTCAGGTATTCAAGATCGCCCCCCAGGAAAACCTGAATCACCATGGAAGGTTCCCGCCACCCCAGCAAGCGGGGAACGACAGAAGGAATGCCAGGAATCCAGAACAAACAAAGGGCAGTCCACTAGCCAGGAAGACTCCGGAACCTCGTAACGGACCCAGAAAGGGAACGAAGTCCCAAACCTGAATTCGGACGGATCCATTTCCAAGGCATAATCTGGGTCACGCAGGAGGTACGCTGCAAGGGCTGCCCGCACCACATCAGGTTGGATGCGATAAGCCGAAAACCTCCAGAAAGACGAAACCAACGCACCCGGGGGAACGTGGAACCGAACCCAGGGAGGGGCAGACACCAAATCAAACTCGTACGCAGAGGGGATGAAAAGAAAACCCCACTCCTTGTAACAACAAGCCTCGCCCAGAGGGAAGAAAAACCCAGGCGGGGTCCAGCGGGGCCCAAGGCCCCCAAGTCAGCCCCTCCCCAGCCTCGAGGTCCTTCACAGCAGGACCCGGGGCCGAGTCCTCTCCTCACAAGACAAGGACGGAGCAGCCGTAGAAGCCAGAAGAAAGGGGGCCCACTGGTCAAACCCAGAAGCTTCGGCCGGGAGACAAGACTCGAATGCCTCCGCCGCTCCCCCCGGAGGGGGCATCCCCCTTATTTCTTAGCACTCTCTCAAAGATTATTATAATGTGCGATGTTAGTGCTATCGGTCTGTAATTTTTTGCCTCTGCCTTATTTCCTCTTTTATGGAGTGGTGCTATCTCTGCTGTAGGACTCAGGACTCACACCTGAGGCCTGTCATTTATGTACTGCCTGTGCCGACCACTGGGCTACCTCAAAATACAGTAATAATATTTAATAGCTTTCAATCCACCTAATTACACTTAGTAAAATAAATACAATGCTAAGTTATGGTGTTAGTTCATGTACAGTAGACTCCCAATTTTATGTGACGATGTCTTCATTCCCTATGGTAAACTGAATTAAGTAATATATTGTTAAGGATCTTAGATCTTATGAGAAAAAGTTTATATATACCATGACTAAAAATCTTATTGTATAAAACATTACAATAATGTATACAGTCAAACGTTGACGTTCATTAATACAGCAAATGGGAAAAGCAAAAAGGCTGGAACTATAGTAAAGGTCTCTTGAGTATGCATGATATTTCCTATAATAATGCTCTAATCATGGTTTTAAGGAATTTGGAATTATTTTTGGTGCAAACTTGCATAAATCTGAGGTTACTGTATTAAAAAAAAATTAGCCCGCATAGAAGCTGACACCAATAAATCATATTTTACAGAACCAGGAGTCTATTGTATTTCATACGTGACAAATGGTTAAAATTATAAGAAAAATTGTCAGTAAATAAATAAACTTTTAGAACCTCTCTAAACCCTTCACTTCTTAAATATATGTGAGATATTCAAGACTCACACTTAGTGGCCAATACTGAAATATTATCAAGCAACCCGTCGTCTTAAAAATAACGTCACTTTTGGCTCGTATGCGCGCTATGGCCAAATTTGGACATAATTTGAAATGAAATCGACTCACAAAAGTGACGTACTGTTTCGTTTTCTGTTTGAGTCGTCCGGCTTACTCGGCAAGCTCAGAAGAGGAAACTTTCCATTAACGTTTTTCATACCGTTTTAAAACTTTATGAGAATTTCCTGCCCACCTAACCTATCAGAGGACCCTTAACTTACTGTTGTTGAAAAAAAAATCCCAAATTTATTTTCATTTTTTTTCATTTTCAAATTACGTCCATATTCGGCCATACGGGCAAAGGGCCAAAAGCGACGTTCTTTTTAAGAGGACAGGTTGTATCAAGACATAACGGTAAGTTTGCTTCAGATTATAAAAAGAAAAACTAGTGACATACCACGTGACGCCTCTCTTCCCTGAGGTCATCAATTTGTTTTCGCAAGAGAGCCACCTCTTCCTCCAGCTCGGTAACCTTGGAGAGTAAGTAATGAATTAGTCTTATTATGTCTTCTGGGAAAAATTTTGCAAATGTTGAAAAGAAAATAATGTCCTATAGCAATTAAAATATTTGAATTAATTTTTTATTGAATTTAATTCTATCATTATAAAGTTTTAATTAGTTGAAAACTTAATTTATGACTGTATTCTAAACTCAACCTTGTCTCCAAACAGGATGAATAATTCTTACTAGACAGGAAACGAAGTTAAATTTACTGAAGTCATACCTGCTTTTCCCAAACTGCACTCTCATCAATGGTTGACAGGCGATCAGATTCCTCTGAATTCTCTCGTCCTCCTCCGCCTCCACCAGACAAGACCAGCTCCTCGTATTCCCGAATTTTTTTCTCCAGGGCAGAGAATTTGTCATCATAAAGACGCCGTTCTTCTTCATAGTAATCCTGTTCCTCCTGTAGTTTCAGTGTCCAATAGTCTTCACTCTTATCAAATTCTACACGTAGTATCTGAAACAAGACTTTTTACGTTTTAGCATTGTGCATATTATAATGCACCTACATATCCTTTTTTTTACTTCCTGTTTATGTTTTCTCATCAGGTGCTCACAATGGGAAGCTGAATACACAGCCTATACCTATTCAGAACCTATGGATTATGGTATACCTATACCATAATCCATAAACACCTGCTTGAATATTTATACAGTAATAATCTGTAAACCATTCCCACCACATAAGATTTAATTTGCAAGATATAAACCAATGGCATCTCAGGGAAATCTAAATTACATTTAGAAATGAGAATATGAAAGAAAACATTTTAAACCTCTGATTCAGTAAATGATTTGAAGCAAATGTAGGAAGGAAGAAAATTGATTTGTTTATTGAACACGAGTTTGAACTGGAATGTTCAAATGAATGTTGAAATGGAATGAAGGTGGTGGTCTTTTTCGTTTTGGTAGGGACGCGAGTCTTATTTTCCTCGGCGTCACCCCTTTTATATGAAAGGAACCGTCGGAAATGCATCCGAGGTGCCTAATGTCAAAACCTATAATTGTTGGAACACTTTCTCACTTCAGGTAAAGTGGTCCACACAAAGAGCTCACCCCACAATGAAACTTAATGATACACATTAGTTTGGAGAAAATACGGCTTTGAGTGACCATGTAAGGTTGATCATTTGGTTGCTCCCAAAGGTAAGATACAGTGTATACAATAGACAGATCAAATACAGTCAGGCAGTATGACAATCTGTCACTTGACACCACAGAGAACCTTTGAATGGTCTCATAGAATTATTAACAATGCTAAGGAGTCATTGGAGAAAGATTAATAGTGTTTCAATTCTTATGTTCAAAGCTCAAAGCCTCTGGCATCATGGATGACTGACAGCATGAGTGACTTTGACAGCACTGGGTAACTTTGACGGCATTGGGTGACTTTGACATGAAGGAACTGAGACATAACCAAACAATGGAGATACTTAACCAAGTAACTGAGATACTTAACCAAGTAATTGAGAGACCTAACTAAGGAACTGAGATACCAAACTAAGCAGTTAAGGTACACCAAGTAATCAGAGAGCTAATACATAATCAGAGACTTAACTAAGTAATCACATATTGACTAAAGTTCCTGACCAATTTCTACTAGCATTCATTAGCCCCACCTCCAAGTCCTGTTCCAGTTTGTTATTCTTTTCCAATAAGCTGGCTCTCTGCTTCTCCAGGCTGTCTCGTTCTTGACTCATTTCTTCTTCCAGGGCAAGAACCTATAAAACATGACACGACACTTAGATAATTATTTTATCTAAATTTATGCTAATTATTTTGAGGATCTGTTATATTTATACTATTCTTAACCTAAATTTTTATGATTAATATCCTAGAAAATATATGACAATTTATCAAACAAATTTATAAAAAATGCTGGCAAGTATTATTAAGCATTCGTGCCTAAGGATTTTTAGTACAGTAACAAAAACACAAATTATCACATCATGAACATATAAATTCTTATACAACACATAAAGGAAACTATCTTGATTCTGCATAATCCCAATACTGTACTTTTATTCAAATGTTATTTCTACCAATAGCAAGCTGTACTTGCAGTGGATTACTCTTCACGACAAATATCAGATTAAGCATGCAACACGCCAACTTTCTGCCTGAAACGCTATGCGTGTTAGTGGCTTTGCATGAATGTAAAAATACCAATCTTATGTAAACTCACCAACTCATTGTACCTTCATGCAAATAAATTATTATTATTATTAACCAAAAGGTTGGTTAGCAATTCTTGACGAAAGCAACTGATAATGACTAGTGTGTCGTTATATGCTATGTTTATATGATCATAACTAAGCTCTCTGCTCTGGGTTCCTTTCTTAATAATAATTAAGCTCTTTGCAGTACTTACCTAGTTGTGCTTATGGGGGTTGAGCTCTGGCTCTTTGGTCCGCCTCTCAACTGTCAATCAACTGATGTACAGGTTCCCGAGCCTATTGGCCTCTATCATATCTATACTTGAAACTGTGTATGGAGTCTGTCTCCACCACATCACTTCCTAATGCATTCCATTTGTCTACTACTCTGACATTGAAAAATTCTTTCTAATGTCTCTATGGCTCATTTAGGCACTCAATTTCCACCTGTGTCCCTTGTGTTAAATAGTCTGTCTTCATCTACCCTATCAATTCCTCTGAGAATCTTGTATGTGGTGATCATGCCCTTCTAACTCTTCTGTCTCCCAGTGACATGAGGTTTAATTCCCGTAGTCTCTTCTTGTAGCTCATACCCGTCAGTTTGGGTACTAGCCTGGTGGCAAACCTTCAAACTTTTCCAGTTTAGTCTTATGCTTGACTATACTGTATATGGACTCCATGCTGGAGCTGCATACTCCAGCATACTCCTGTGACTCCAGCATACTTCATGCTGGAGCCGCAGTGGGTCCCTTACTTGAATACAATAAACTGTATTGACAAAAAACCAACGTTGAATGTAATGAAACGCCATTTTCTGGGTGAGACCCGAAGGCTCCCCGGAGCTATGCCAGGCTGGTGTGTATATATTAGACCGTGGCAACAGTCAATCGAAGGAGTTCTAAGCCTACCAGGGACCAGAGCCAGAACCTGGCCCCCTAGGTTCAAAGTCTAGACCAAGGGGGGGGGTCCCAGTCATGTTTGTTTCCTTGTTTTTGATTGGGAGTTCTGTTTGCTTGTTCAGCTTTTGGGTTGCAAATTTTTGACCAGCAGTAGTTTGTTTTGAAATTCCTATCTTTCTGGGTGCCTGACCTGGTGGATGGCAGACAAAGACTACTTCTAATTACACGGGGGTGTCTTTAGACCATTGTTCCTCGTGCCTCTCTTGAGGGGGGGGGGGGGCCAGGTTCTGGCTCTGGTCTCCGGTAGGCTTAGAACTCCTTCAATTGACTGTTGCCACGGTCTAATATGTACACGTCAGCCCGGTATGGCTCCGGGGAACCGATGGGGTTCTCCACAGAAAATTGTATTGTTACAAGATAATAGAATTAAAGATTATCATTTAATAAGAATACATTGCAACAAATGTGATAATGTAGTATGCATTTGTACTGTAATAACACTTGCCTGTTCTTCAAGAACTTTGAAATCATCCTTTGAGAGCTCTGAGACAAACCCATCCATCTTGTCTTTGTCCAGATAATTTGTCTTGCAGGCGGCATCGCTCAACTGGCTGCACCGTGATTGGTTCGTGTCTCCATCCTGTTCAGTTTCATTACAGCTTTCCTCTTTTTCTTTGGTATTATCTTCCTTTGGTGCAAGAGCACGTCGCTTTTTTTGTATCTTTTCTATTAGAGATCGATAGCGCTTTCTCATGTTTTCGAACTCTATTTCTCTTTGCTAGTGGGATAAGGATATTCATGTTCACTATAAGATATAATAAGCTGTAATAACAATAACAAAATGAACAGTATTACAGTATACTGCTGACTAGAGACTAGCTCACCAATAACTTAAAGAACACAATTTATGAACATAGCATGATGTTTGAAAAGGATATAATTTTTTGGTATAAACAACTATGCAAAACTGTACTTCATAGAACCTAGCAGCCTTTACTTTCACATTAACTAATCATTATGAATGATAATATACACACACATTTCAATGTTAGACCATAATTATTATTAATATTATTATTATTAATATTATTATTATTATTATTATTATTATTAGATTAAGCCATGACCTTCACAATATAAACATGATTGTTAGTCGTTACGTAAACATACACAAACACAACTTAAAACGTAGCAACTTACTCAAAGCAACATACTAACAGTTTGCTACATTGTTTGGGGTAATATAGCTTCAAATGATGATTAGACAACACTACTCTATATACAACACTACAGTTTGCAACACCAAAATAGTAATCTTGGCCTAGTTTATGCTGTTTCATTTTGTAATAATGCACCAATCACCTTACTCATTAAAGCCAGACTTTAGAAATGCTGCATATACAGTGTATATACAAACATAATACAATGTTGTACAGGAACAATGTCTCATATGCTTATTAGAGAAACACCTCTGAGTATTTACCTCATGGTAAAATTTAGGAGTGAAGAAACTCCAAATGCTAAATATTTCCACCACTTAATACATGTATAATTATAAGAAACATTTAGACACTCACCATGTAGAAACAAACAACATTTCCCCTACCCCACAGTGATGCACAGTGTGTGTGTATCGACCCCCACTGTACTTACCTTTCTCAGTACATACATGTACTCCATCTCCCCATTTCTGCTTATGACCAGTTCCTGCTTATATACATACACATATGACTGTCCCCACAGTATCATATCTCATTTACAAATTTAGGAGTGAGTTCCCGAGTCATGCAAGGTTGGATCTACTTTGTACGCAGTCAATAAATACGAGCACTTGTGTGAGTGTTCAAGCAGCAGCTTCATGTATAAACTAAATATCTCTATCTCTGGGATAGTGCATATATTGCACAGTAAATGATCTTTTTCTGGTAAAAACTCTCAACAGAAAATAATAACACTGTAATTTATTACAGGACTGTTCAAGGAGGGGAAAGTTTAATAGAGATGCACAATAAAGAGCTTAAAATATAAATTTTAATTATGAACATAAGCAAGACTGGAGAAGAGAATTATCAAATTTATTCTAATCGTATAGTGAGCAGCAATTTGCCACATAACAAGTAGAAGCAATGAGAGAAATTAAAGATAATTGGATAAAAACCTACAAAGAAAGTACTTTATCTGAGTAATGTATCACTGATATATGACTAATTAAGAAATATATTTTTAGTGTATACTTTCAGATATGATACATGTACTTAAGTGTGTAAATGTGCATTTTATATGCCATTGTTATACTTTAGGTCCTCTTAAATTGTTAAACAAATATAAGGTTTGAGAAAATATGAAATGTTTCTATGTGAACAGAAGACTCAGTTGGCTGTTAAGATAAGCTCAAGTATACATGTAGGATGGTAAGACACACAGCGAGGCGGGGCAACAGTCTATGACACTAAAGCTGTAGGGAAACTTCAAGTCACTTCCCGCAGGCTCCTATGTGCTAAGGAGCACTCGACAACACTTAATACAAATTTGAATAACCTCTAGAAGGTTGACTCATATAAACGCTCAATACCTCCAAGCTTCCTGTCCTCATCGAGGCCACTAGTGTCAGTGGCCCTCAAGTAAATTCAGGTAAATTCCCCCTGTCTTCACAAGTGACCACTACTAGAGTGCTCTCACTAACTACCAAGCCACCTGCTGAACCACCCGCCCCAACCTCCCTCCACCAGCTATATAAAGCACACTGAGAGTAATTTTTGAATGTGAATATAATAAAGTATTCGATTAATGAGGGGGTTCTCAAGTGGTAACTCAACTTTATGGTGCACCATAGAATTGGTGTCCAAACATTTTTTCATTAAATAAGTCCAAATGAATGAGCATTGGCATGCACTTGTTGAACTGATGAGATGCAGCCAGGAAGACTGTGAGGTGGCTCAGGTCAGGAAATCCAGTTTTGGGAGGAGTGCTGCTCCTTGGCGGAGGTCTAAGTTGGTGGCCAGGCAGGCCAACTGATAGTCAGTGAAAGTACTTCCATTGACAATCACTTATGATGCCAATGAGGACTTGCAAAGGTTTAAAGTTTATATGAATGCAATATTCTCATGTTCTCCTTAGCATCAATATGATTCTGTAGGAATCATTTGAAACGTTGCCTGCAATATCAGTGCTAGAATGTCCTCCTTCCTGACTACATAACCTTGTCATACAGACACAGTGGATCTGATCTTGAAAGTAACCAAGCAAGCTAGCTCACAAAAAGATCATTTACCACAAATCTCAGTATTAGTTATATTTAGAATGTATTAGGAGCCTGATGTTACTGACACAGTATCAACAAACTTTCTACCTTCTCAAGGTTTGTCCTCAAACACAATTGGCCCCTTTCTTCAACCATCTTCAGCACCTCTACCCTTACTCTAGCCAACTCCCCTTCCAGTCCCCGGTACTGCTCTTCTAGCACTCGTACTCTGCCCTGAAGGAAGGTACATATGCCATCAGAGCACAATATTGATGCTTGAAAATTATTTAACAATTCCTTTAGATGTTGAAGCTAAAGACTCACCTCTCCTGCAGTATGCAATGACCTAAGGAACACTGGTTTGGCAGCAGTAGAAAGTTCTGATGTAGATCCTGGATATGTTGTGGTAATTGAGTCAGCACCTCCAGATTCTGCAGGACTATCTAGGTCATGCCTAAAAATAAAATGAGAAGTATATAGGAAACTATCCTAATTAACCAAGTGAAATATATACATAAAGTGCAAAAGTATGTACATAATGCATTCTTATCAATAAGCAATTATTGTCTTTAAATTAAATCTAAATAAAACTCACTTTAAAATTTGCCTTCATCGTTACCTCAATTCTCACTTACACAGGATGGAGGAGCATCAGCCACAAGGGAAGTTTTATTTATTTTATTTATTTAGTTATATATACAAGAGTTGTTACATTCTTATATAGCCACTAGCACTCATAGCATTTTGGGCAAGTCCTTAATCCTAACTTTCCCCAGAATGTGACCTGCCAAATAGTTTAACAACCAGGTACCCATTCACTGCTGGGTGAACAGAGGCTACAGTTAGGGATTGGCACCCGATCAATCCTCCCCGGCCAGGATACGAACCCAGGCCAAAGCGCTCGCAAAGCGCCGGGCGAGTGTCTTACCACTGCACCACGGGGACTGCATAGTGACTGGAAATGGAAAACAATATAACGAAACAAAGTTGTAGATATAAAAACAGCATGGAATGCCTGAAATGCTCTTTTCTGAGCAGCTTCTTTGGTTTCTTAAGTAGGTAGAGCCTATTTCATCTACCCAGGAGACCACCCACCACCTAGCTCTATGTGATTAAACACCTACTATACCAAGAAACACACAAAATAACCTGACTGTAAATGCAGGCAGAAAGGAAGTAGAAAGCCTATTTGAATCCACCACCAATTGGACTGACTCATTATAACATAAGAAATGCCCCCTTACATTCAAGACCCATTCAAAGCAATAATTTGAAACTTAAGATACACTAATTATCATTATACAAACTACCAGTAAAGATTTTTAAACTTACCCTGACTTCTACTAGGTGCCTTGGATGGGTGTCCTAGGCCCACCCATATACAGTATATTTCCCCATGTTGATTTTTGTCAGAGGTGTTTTCTATAGTTGGGATAATTGTTGCCCTGGTCAGGTGCTTGTTTTTGCTCATGGCTCTGTCTTCCTGTTGGACCTGGGGCCTTTTTCTGCCATTGGGCAGCAGGTGATTACTGGTTTAAGTCTTGCTGGTGGATTCCCTGACCTGTTATTTTTGCATGCTAATTCATGTTTCTTTCAGCTGTTTGGAAGATAAGTTGAATTTTGCTGGTTTGTACCTATGACCTGTTTTCCCCACCATGTGAGTAAGTTTCCTTCATCTGCAGTCTGGGATTTTTCTTCAGGTCATAATTGGTGTCGGGTGCCTGGTTTTATGTGAGCAGGAGATACTCTACCCTATGGGTACAGTTTCTTTGTTCTCCTGCTCAGGTAAGTTGCTCTCTTTTCTTTATTTTTATGAAGCATTGCTTCACCATGGGAAGTTGGCTATCCAAAGAGCCTAACACAGAAATCCGTTAAATGTGTCCCAGTCAGCTTTTGGGCAGGTGTTACTTTCTTCTTTCCTTCACTGCCAATCTCCACATGTTTGGACCCCCCTCTCCATCCTTGTGTCCTGGTCTTCTGCCTACTTTTCCCCCAAGGGTTAGCATTTTCTATCTGTATCTGTTCTTTTAGCAAAGCTGTCCTCCTCTCAGAGGCACAGTTGTAAGTAAGCTTCTGGTCAAACATTCTCAGTATCTGTTGACTGCTGATAATGCTGCCAAGCTCTCTGCAGTGCATGTACCAAAATATCACCTAACTGTTGACAATGCTGTCAAGCAGACATAGCAGATCTTACCTTAGGAAGCTACTGACTACAAGAGCTCAGAAAAATTTATAAATAATGTAAAAAGCAGGCATGTTTACACCAAGTGAGGGTGATGAATTGAGGCAATCGTGTTCCTGAGGAGACCACATTCTGTGTGATCAAGGTCTGTTCTAGTAGTAAATTTTATCCCCCACACCAAGGGTTACATTCTTTCATGATCCAGTCTATCAAGGCTCTACTGTATAACCAATATAGAAATAAAATGCAAGGCATTGCTAAGTGAGAATATACCTCAAACTACAGTAACGTAATAAGCATTAAATTGCTTACCTATTGGTGAGTATTGTTTCAACACTGATGCGCTGCATTCGCTCCTGCTCCTCTCTGCGTAGGGCCATCTCTAGTTCCTCTAATGCCACAGTTAACTGACCCTGTGTGTCACCACACCTCACACACTGCACATAGATTATTTGTGAGTGCTACACATGTATAGATGAAAAAATATCCTACTTTATAAACAATGTACACAGCAAAATTATAAATTAAATTATCTTATACAAAGGGTGCATTGTTTAATAAGTAATTTTTTTTTTAATATTTCCTAAAACAACCCTTAAACTTCATTTGACAATACTGTATTTATATAATACTACAAATAGTTCAGGAATTCTCTACTGCATCTTGTTTTACCTGAAAGCCTAATAATAATAATAATAATAATATAAACATACACTAATTTACTTATTTATCAGAAAGTCAATATCCAAGATAGTTTATTTTTAAGCTTTACAACTTTGTATTGGCAGCAATACTTTAACAGGCAATAATTATTCTTATTAAATGAAGCATGAGTTTTGGAATATTATCAGCTAACTAATGACTCATAAGAAACGTGACCACTGTTATTGATACTGGCAAAAGAAGGAAATTTTCTTCACCAACCTTATCCCTTAAGCTGGCGGGTGCTGAGTGCGAGGATTTCACTGGTGTAGAAGCAAGGTGAAAGTTTACACGACAAGTTTCTGGTGGGGAGCTGTTGAGCTGTGTTGTTGTCTTCTCCAGCTGTTCTCGTACCCCAGAACACTGATGCAGTGCCACTTCACATTCAAACTAGAGACAAGGAAAATTGAGTCATGGAAATCAGTTAGTCCTGAAACTATGAGTTACAGAGTAAATCAGTTAGTCCTGTAACTATGAGTTACAGAGTAAATCAGTTAGTCCTGTAACTATGAGTTACAGAGTAAATCAGTTAGTCCTGTAACTATGAGTTACAGAGTAAATCAGTTAGTCCTGTAACTATGAGTTACAGAGTAAATCAGTTAGTCCTGTAACTATGAGTTACAGAGTAAATCAGTTAGTCCTGTAACTATGAGTTACAGAGTAAATCAGTTAGTCCTGTAACTATGAGTTACAGAGTAAATCAGTTAGTCCTGTAACTATGAGTTACAGAGTAAATCAGTTAGTCCTGTAACTATGAGTTACAGAGTAAATCAGTTAGTCCTGTAACTATGAGTTGCAGAGTAAATCAGTTAGTCCTGTAACTATGAGTTACATAGGAAATCAGTTAGTCTTGTAATCTAGAAACTCGGGATTTTTTATAAATATGGCAAACGATCGACAGAAGTCTCTAGTGTCAAATGAAGTCCCCTAGAATGAGTGGGGCTTTTGAATAAAATGGGGCACCTTAAACCATCGGCAGGCAATTTGAGCATATGGGCCAATTGCTTTTAAGTGATTAGAGCAGTGTAAGGGTTAATTTATGAGTAATCAAATTACCTCCTTCTTTTCTAACTTGTGTGCAAATTCTTCTTGTTGCATTGCTAACTGTCTGGCCAGCCTGTTCTTCTCCTCTCGTAACTGCATTAATTCAGCCTCCAATTCCTGAAAAATAATTTAAGTGAATATTCAAAATCAAAGATTTTTTTTTTAAATTCTAAATCATTTCATCATACACTGAAATTGCTTTAGTAATTCCAATAAAATGTCTTAAAAAATTACAAGAAAGGCTTCTGCAGACATTAGTCCATACTTGGTTTATTTTCTGAAGTCTTTCCTGCTCCTTCTGAAGCTGAGATAACTCCCATTCCACAAGCTGTTGACATTTGAAGTCTTGGTCAGCACTCTACTCAATAACATAAGAGGAACAGAAAACTTAGAACAAAAGCAAGAACAAAATACCCAAAATAGGATGTTAGCGTTACAAAACCACAGCCAGAGGAGTACAACACAGTAATTGTACAAATAATACATATGAAACAAAACTAACAAGCAGTACAAGAAGAAAAACTAAATATCACACAGAAAATTGATGCTACTTCTACATGCAATTCACTAATAATAAGAATAACACTTTCAAAACTTAAAAAAAGATACAAATAGATTAACTAAACAATCTAGAGCACAAAACAAAAATGCTAAATCAGTTTAAAAGTGACATAAGAATTCTCACCTCCCGTGCCGTCATTTTACAAGATCGATTTAGCGAAGTGTTGCTTCGCTCACATTTGATTTTATGGGTTTCATCTAGTCCTTGTGAGCCCGAGTCTTCATGTAAGTCACTTTTATACTCTTCCTTGATACTTGCTCGCACTTGCTTAAATACCTGAAGACAAACTGTGTTTTATAATACAATTCTTAACGATGCAAAGGTGTATCATATGGAATCTCTTTGAATATAAGTACTCTCAACATTATATGTAGCAACAAATCAAAGAGGAACATCTGTCAAACAGTGCTTAATTTTTATTTAGGTGAGGCAAAGAGAAATAAGTGGATGTGTACTACTCTGTGCTATTTGGGCTACCTGATATTAGACTGATTCACAATGTCTTATATAGGAAACCTAAAGAAACTTTGTCTCAAGTTAAAGATAAAGGAAGATTTGGTGAAGCAGCAAGTGTAGCTTTTCAAGGAAGAGAATGTTAAACACCAAAATCATCTGCATGAAAAAAACCAGTGTTGAATGTAATGAAATGCCATTTTCTGGGCGAGACCCGGAGGCTCCCCGGAGCTTACTAGGCTGATGGGCTAATGTCAGACTTTGGCATCAGTCATGTGTATGGAGTTCTGTGGGCCTACCGGGGACCACGAGCCAGAACCTGGCCCCCTCAGGAGATGCAAGGGGAGTAATGGCCTACAGAAACTCCCGTGTGGTTGGAAGAATTCTATATCTGCCATCGACCAGGTCAGGCACCCAGAAAGGTAAGCATCCCAAAACAAACCTCTATTCTGGTGAAATTATTGCTACCACAAGCCGAACAAGTGGATAGAACTCCCCTAAGAGAAACAAGCAAACGATCATGACGTCACACGTCACCACGCCGCTGTCTGCGCAGCTCCTCCCTTCCCAGAAGGGGGAAGGGGTAGCCCCAGACCCTTCACGAAGGCTATCCACCCATCATTTCTTAGGGTGATTGTCAAAACACGTGAAAAACCGCCAACTGGAGGGAGGGAGGGATGCTGGGGAGCCTCCAGGTCTCACCCAGAAAATGGCATTTCATTACATTTAACTCTGGTTTTCTGGGAGAGTCTCTTTGGCTCCCCGGAGTTCACTACCCACAGAGGAAAAGAAGACAAACTTACCCGGGAGGCGGTCACTGCTCACTCCTCAACTCAAAGTCGAGACAACTGGCTGCAACCACTGACTCAAAGCAACACAGGCCCGACTAGGCCCAGGGACTTTCACAAGGTAACGAACAGGAACAGCCCCAAGCGCCTCCACATCCTCCATGAGCCAGTCAGAAGACAGCTCCAGGAGGAAAAAGAAGCGCAAGGCCGCAACCAAAAGGCCCTGAGCACACAAGTCATCCGCCATCTGCACCGCCGAAAGGGAGGGAACCTGCAGGGGAGGGGGACCAGTCGAAGTGGTGGGGGTTGAAGCGATCCCCACCCCCAAGTCCGGGTTCTTATAAGCAAAACAAGGCAGCGCCAGGGCATCCGGGTGGGCAACCAACCGAGTGCGTTGCAACAACCAAAACCTAGAATGCAATGCCTGTGCAGCCTGTACTCGAAGATGATCATCCACAGATTGGATAAACTGAGTCACCAGCAAGTAACAATACTCACAGGACTCAGGGTCGAAAGTGTCACCGACCCAACAGGCTGCGTGACGGAAGCAAAAACAGTGAGGGTCGCCCTGAGACAAGGGGACCGAACAACCCTCAAACTCACATGAAGCGAGGGGAGGGCCCCGGGGGTCACATCCATCGGACCCACGCATCCCCTAGGGAATTCCCAGGGTCCTGAGCATTTACTTGAAGAGGACTCGTGCTCAGGTAAACCCAGGCAGGGTACTGCTAACCAGTACCCAAAACTACCAAACAAACTGTCTAAAGCTGAACCTCAAGGACGTGTACACTCACGGGGACCAAGCAGGGGGCACCACCAAGTATCAGGGTGAGGCCAAACACCAGTGGCAAATAGGGCAGAACCCCCTACCAAGGCAAAAAGAAAAAGAAAAAAAAAAAAACCCGCAAGAGGACAACGTACCCCAAGGAACAGAGCCGGCCGCTGTGATAGGTGACAACTAGCTACGCAGCACCCTGCGCCCATACCAGTGCGAAAACTGCCTCTTACCCTAAGGTAAACTAGGGAGACAAAACACCCAAGTACCCAAAGGGCGGCCGAGAAACCGGGCAGTAAAACGGACACACAGAGGCAGACCCCGAGGAACTTGTGGAAGGTAACCCCAAGCTCCAAGGGCAGTACTTACAAGGCACCAAAGGAAGGGAACCCTAGGAGCATGCAGCCTGAGTAATGAAGAATAACTCCTGGCTCTCGCACCCCTGGAGAACAGCAGCCACACACAAGGCACAGTGCTGCAAAAATACTGGAGCCAGAGCACACAACCGAGTCGATAGCATCAGCCTCAAGAACTGGGGTGTGGATCGTCGGCACGGTAGGTCTGTGGCTACCCCTTCTTCCTCCCGGGGAGAGGGGGAGCTGTGCAGACAGCGGCGCGACGACGGGTGATGTCATACTAGTTTGCTCATTTTTGTTTGGCGAGTTCTATCCACTCGTTCGGCTTTTGGTTGCAATTTTCACCAGAATAGGGGTTTGTTTTGGGACGCCTACCTTTCTGGGTGCCTAACCCAGTCGATGGCAGACATAGAATGCTTCCAATTACACGGGGGTTTCTATAGTCCATTGCTCCCCTTGCCTCTCTAGAAGGGGCCAGGTTCTCACTCGTGGTCCCCGGCAGGCCCATAAAAACTCCATACACATGACTGATGCCAAAGTCTGACATTAGCATATCAGCCTGGTAAGCTCTGGGAGCCGTAGGGGCTCCCCCCAGAAAAGACCAGATCAGCCCCAGCACCAGCGGCCAGGGACAAGAGTGTAGAAGGATGATGCGGAACGAAGAATACAGGAAGCAAACGGGAACGAAAAGTCACACCAACAACACATATGTCGGTCATATCCCAACACAAGACGAAACTGAAAAAAGGTGCAAAGGTATGCCACCAGACTAGTACCCAAACCGAGGGGTACAAGTTACGAGGAGAAACTATGGGAAGTAAACCTCACGTTACTGGGAGACAGAAGAGCCAGAGGGGACATGACCACCACATTCATGATTCAGAGGAATCGACAGGATAGAAAGACAGACTATGGAACCCATGGGGCACACACACCAGAGGACACAGGTGGAAGGATTGCCCAAAGCCATAGAGACATCAGAAAGAAGTATGTCGGTGTCAGAGGAGGAGACAAATGGAACGCGTGAGGAAGTGATGTGATGGAGGCTGACTCCACACACAGCATCAAGCGTAGACAGGATAGAGCCCAGGAGGCTCAGGAACCAGCACAGCAGCCGACTGACAGGGGAGAGGCGGAACCAAAAAGCCAGAGCCCAAGCCCAAGCCCCACAAACACAACTAGGTAAGGACAACTAGGTGAGTACAGAGAACCCAACATATATGGAAGGGCTAAGGCAGGCCTTGCAAGACGGGCAAGGAATAGTTGACCCAGATAAAACCACAAAAAACGGGGCCGTGACCCTTCTTGTAACAAACACTGATGAACAAGGAAGGCCCCAGGAAGAAGCACGCAAGGGCCAAACAAAAACGCCACAACCAAACCCCAACACGCAACCACAGTATGAAAACTGCAGCAAAATGTCACCACATAACAACCTGACACAGTAACATGTACCTCATAACATCCACTCCCACCACCATAACTCGTAACATGGTGGAGGTGGCGCCCCTTGATCGACTCAAGCATAGGTTGGACATGCATATGAGTGGGACCGGATGGGCACAAATAGGAGCTGCCACGTATGGGCTATATATTGAGCTGATATTGCCATATAAGCTTGGATAGCTCCTGGGGAGCTGATGGGGCTCCCCCCAGAAATAGCCACCATTCATGGGTCATTAGGCTTTCTGAAGTTTCTCTTATTCTCATGTAAAGGTGTCCTATATTTTTAATAAAATAAAATGAGTGAAAAAATATAGAAATGGATAAATACATAATTCACCGACTTGTAATTATTTTTTTTAACATTAACCAGCAAAACATTGTCAATAAAAGGTATCAATGCTATACTAAGTAAGAGAAAATGAAGAAGTAATCTAACTCTAAAAAGGCACGTGCATTAATGTCACCTGTTTCAGCTCCTTGTTGACTAACTGGGATGCATTCTTGATACCCAAGCTACTTTCACCAGCATCCTGAAATGAAATATAAATATAAACGTCAAATATTTAGGCAGTATAAATAATGAGCTGTCCAAACCCCAGTATCTTAATCCAGGCTTAGCTAAATAACACGAGAGTGTGAATAGAATGATATTGGTAAGCTTTATATCGGAAAGAATGGATGCGTGGCAAGAAGGAATCAAAGCTAGATTCTGCTTTTGTGTGTAAAAAGAAATGTGAGTTAGTAATACGTGGACAAAACAATCTCTACATTAAATGCACAGAGGAAAAGAAAGAAGGGAAAATACAGAGTAACTTTAAAGATGATAACCATGTAAGCATGTGAATGAGTAGGCAGACATATACGGAAGGATGTGTGTGTGTATAACCAATACTGAATAATCAAGAAAATAATTTGGATTACTGCTATTACTGTAGACACTCGCTAATCCGGAATCCGACCATCCGGAAAATGCCCTTAACCGGCTAAAATCGTGACCGGATAAAGTTATCTCACCATACGGCCAAAATGCCCATGGGTGCCGAACCAGCGGGTGTTTGGCCGGATAAAAAATCTGAGCCGGTTAACTTGCTGCCAATGTTTCACTATCAGGACAGTCAGCCGGACAAGCGGGTGAATTGTCCGGATCAGAAAGCCAGGCGGCGGGCCGTACCGTATTAATTCCGTACGGCTGTGGCTCTAGGCGCATGGTGAAGGAGAGGGGGGGGGGGTGGAGAGTGGTGGTGGTGGGAGAGAGGGGGAGCATTGGGAAGGACTGCCTGGGGGATGAGGGGAATGTGGAGGGGCTTATACACTACAGTACAGGAATTACCATTAATTTTAGAACAATTCATAACAGTCCAAAACAAAAGAAATAATTATGTAGTAACAAATATACAAGTTAACTAAAAATAATTTGCACAGGTTGAAGTTTAAAAAATATTGTGAGTTTTTCCGCCTGGTGGCCTACGTAACATGCCTGCCTGTCCCAAGTGGACCCGTCCAGGCCTGGTCAAGCCAAACACCCCATGTGCTCCGGTCCCTCCGGTCCCACAGTGCCGCGCCATTAGTGAAATATTTTTTGGAATAACTTTTTTTTCACAGTAACTTTGAACATTTTTGGCCAAGACTATGTCTGGTAGCAGCATCAATCGTTCTGGGGGTGTTAAGAGGAAGAAGGTTGTCCTAACAATTAAAGACAAGTTACGTGTTATACAACTTTGTGAACATGGCCGGTCGACTTCAAGTGTTGCCAAGGAATTTAATATAGGCACTAGTACTGTTTCTGATATAAGGAAACAAAAAGACCTGAATTACATTTCAACCAGCGAGAGTGAATGTGCCAGCACTAGCAGAGGGTGTGGGTGAAGAACTTTGAAAACTTCGACACATGTACATTTTGATGAGGCTGTGTACAAGTGGTTTGCTCAGCACCGCACAGCTGGCGTGACAATTCGTGGCCCAGAAATACAAAATACTGCAAGCAAGTTTGCAGAAAGCCTTGGAATAAAGGATTTCCAAGCTAATGAAGGGTGGGTTGCAAGGTTCAAAGGGAGGCACAATATTGTGAAGAGGAAAATTGTCGGTGAAAAATTGAGTGCAGATACAAGGAGTGTAGAACCATTTAAACATAAATTAAGAACATACATTTTGTTAAATAATTTATATTCTTATCAAATTTATAATGCTGATGAAACTAGGCTGCATTGTGGTAGTTTACCAGAAAAAACTCTAGCTATGATGAGTGAGGGTTGTGTGCCAGTGAGCTTAATGAACTGTACAGTAATTTTAAGTGTTAATTTTAGTGTTGTGTTAGTATAAGTTACTTAAATTGTCAAGAATTCTTAACTTCAAGATGTGTGGCATCAATCAAGAAAACGAACAACAACAACAAGGTAAGTTGAGGTTTCTAGTTGAATATTTTACAATTATATGTGGCAAGGCAATTCAAACTATGTTTTTTGTAGTATAAAAATAGTTGGAAATGGTTACTTTTGTACTCAGAGGTGAAAAAGTACTCTAATCCAGAAAACGTGATAATCCAACTGGGAGTCCTTCCCATATAGTCCGGATTAGCGAGTGGAGACAGCACATCCAGCTACATATTCAAGCAGATAACAATGTTTTTTAATCCCCAAAACAGTTACTGTACTAGTAGCTTTGCACATACACACAGCCAAATAATCATGTTTATTCAGGTACAGTATTTTAAATGTTGGCTATTTTTTTTTTTTTTTTTTTTTTTTAAGATACTAATACTAACACTGTCACCAGAACTTCTGCGAGGGACTCGGATGAGTTCGTCTAGTGATGTTGGCTGGGAAGCGTTCAGAGGCTGAGTGGACGGGGCTGGAGAGCTTTTCAAAAGACTGCTCATGCTCGAGTCAAAGAATGACTCATCGTATGCTGAAAAATAAGAAGAGTTGAAGCAACTGCAGGTCTGATAAAAAACCAGCAGTGAATGTAATGAAATGCCATTTTCTGGGTGAGCCCTGGAGGCTCCCTGGAGCTATCGACCTGATATGCAATATATTAGTCTGAGGCATCACTCAATTGGAGTTCAGCCTACCGGGGACCATGAGCCAGAACCTGGCCCCCTCAGAGAGGCAAAGAGAGAAATGGCCAATGGAAACCCCCTTGTACTTGGGGGGCATTTTGTGTCTGCCATCGATCGAGGTTAGCACCCAGAAAGGTAGGCATAACAAAACAGACCCCATATGGTAAGAAAATTGCAACCGAAGACCGAACAGAGGTAGAACTACCCCAACATAAAAAGAAGCAAACAAGCAAACATCACACCCTGCAACTGCACCACTTGTCCACACAGCCCTCCCTTCACTCGGGAGGGGGAGAGGGGGAACCCCACACCTTCTACTTATACCACCAGTTCGGAGGCTGAGCAACAAAACAATGCAAAAACCGCTGACCAGAGGGAGAGAGGGGGGTGCCAGGGAGCCACAGGGGCTCACCCAGAAAATGGTGTTTCATTACATTCAACGCTGGTTTTCTGTAGGGAGCCCCTTTGGCTTCCTGGAGCTACTTAACCAATGACAAGTAAAAAACCAGCGTTGAATGTAATGAAATGCCATTTTCTGGGCAAGTCCCGGAGGCTCCCCGGAGCTTACTAGGCTGATGTGCTAATGTCAGACTTTGGCATCAGTCATGTGTATGGGCCTACTGGGGACCACTAGCCAGAACCTGGCCCCTTCTAGAGGCAAGGAGAGCAATGGCCTATAGAAACCCCCGTGTGATTGGAAGCATTCTATGTCTGCCATTGACAGGGTTAGGCACCCTGAAAGGTAGATGTCCCAAAACAAACCCCTTCTGGTGAAAATTGCAACCAAAAGCGGAACGAGTGGATAGAACTCCAAAAACAAAAATGAGCAAACTAGTATGACATCACCCATCGTTGCGCCGCTGTCTGAGCAGCTCCCCTCTTCCCGGGAGGGGGAAGGGGTAGCCCCAGACCCACCGCACTGGCGATCCACACCCTAGTTCTGAGACTGGATGTCAAAACACGTGAAAAAAACGCTGAGGCCAGCGCCCCAGACGAAGGCCCGGTACTCGACACTTCCACATCCTCCCCAAGCCAGTCCGAGGACAACTCGACAAGGGAAAAAAGCGCAAGACCGAAGCCAAATGACCGTGAGTGCGCAAATCCTCAGATACCAAAGATGCTGAAAAGTGGGAACATGCATGTACAGCTACACAAGGCCAACATCCCAAGAAAGCACAGGGGCGAACAGGCATGCATTAAGGGGCTCAAAATCGCCCCCCCCAAGTAAACCTTCAGAACAGTAGCAGCCTCCCGCCTTTCAAGCATGCAGGTCCGACAAAACCCATGCCATGCTCCCTGCGAAAGCAAAGGGCAGTCTGTAAGCCAGGAAGACTCCAGAACCTCATAACGCACCCAATACGGGGGGAGGAAAAACTGCACTCAAAAAAGGACAGATCTATCACAGAGGCCATAGTTGACAAGTGCCCCAAAGCGCATCAGCCTACGAACTGATGTGAGTAGCTGGCGTGGGGATCCGGTGCTCCCCCCCTCCCTCCTGGGGAGGGGAGGGCTGCGTGGACAAGTGATGCGGCAGCGGTGAATGATGTTTGCTTATTTCCTTGTTTCCTTATGTTTTGGGGGAGTTCTGTGCCTCTGTTCGGTCTTCAGTTCCAATTTCTTACCAAGTGGGGGGGGGGGTGTTTTGCTATGCCTACCTTTCTGGGTGCCTAACCCCGGTCGATGAGAGCATTTCATGTCTGCCAAACACATGGGGGTTTTCATAGGCCATTGCTTCCTGTGTCTATCTGAGGGGACCAGGTTCTGGCTGGTGGTCCCTGGTAGGCAGAACTCCATTGACTGATGCATCAGACTAATATAGCATATATCAGTCCAATAGCTCCAGGGAGCCGGAGGGGCTTCCCACAGAAAATATTCTTATACAGTAATATGGAACATATATATACTACTGTATAACACAGTATTAAATGGAGAAGTACTGATTTACTTATATCCAAAGAACTTTAATTAAATCACTTACAATTAAATAAATAGTACACATGTATGCAAGAATTGGTTAACCTATTTGTGATTACTGTGTTTGAATTTGCATAAGAGCTATATTTGTGTCATATTATTTTAATTATATTTAATGATATATTTTTGAAGTTACCAGTGGAGCCCACTGAACATCATCTACTTTACTATTTGTGAATTACTTCCTACTGATCATGTGAGAGATTTGTTTTACATTCTACCATAACAATTATAATTGCTTGAAAAAGATTCAGAAACATCTAAGAATAATCATGATCATTTGGACTACTTTAAGCTTGTCCATCTGGCATGGTTTTGAGCCAGAATAGGCATTTTATGTCCTAAAATCCTGAAAAATTAGAGCAGCTAATGTCATATGGTTCATGCTCCACCCCTCTAGTCAAGAAGGTTACCAGGAGTCAGCGTCTTAACAGCTTCATCTGCAAAGGAAAATTTAAAGGCAGATATTGAGTTATGTCATTATCCTTTTCCACAACATTCTGTTTATATTTCTTAATCAGAATGATAGTTTCTCCAGATGTGTGTATTTTTTTGGGGTCTATAGGTTCAGGTGTTTTTTTGGGTCCAGATAGTTTCCATTTTCCAGATGGATTCCCAGTTCCATGTTGTGTTTCCTGTGCCTCAGCTTTCTGAGTGTGCTTCCCAGTTCCCCAAGGTGTATGTTCGTTCTCTCGGTGCTTGCCTGGGATTTGTTCCTTAGTTTCTTGTCTTGGGCCTCTGGGTGTGTGCCTTGGTTTTTCTGCAGCCATTCCCTGTATAGTGTTTATCAAGTCACCCCATGACGTTATGCTGGCTTCCCATGCATGTTGTTTGGGGTTTCTACTGTGATTCATGCTTCTGTACTTTGTTGTCCCAGTCTCTTGATTGGGCTCCCTGGATCCCCAGAGATTTCCCTGGCTCTCTGGGTTTGCTCTTCCCAGCTCCCAGGGTGCATACCCTGGGACTGTATGTAATACCTCTGGGGCTGTTCCTGGGGAATATTTTTTATGGTGCCCATTATTTTGTGCATATTCTGATACATCGCCCACTTCTCCAATACAGTATCCAGGTCCCTGAGTTTGGTTCACCATCCCTGAGTGTTAACGCCTCCCGGGTTCATGCCCTCTTTCTTCAGGTCCCTGGAAGCTTTTCTCAGATTTTCATAGTTACATACCCTCAGGGTTCTTTCCTGGCATCCAAGGTTTGTGACCCAGGTCCACTGAAGAATGACCCCTGTTCCAGAGGCTATGTTCTGGTCTATGACCCCTGTTCCACAGGCTATGTTCTGTTCTATGACCCCTGTTCTATGGTGTGTTGGTAATGGATTTAACTTTTTCTTTCCAGCAAGAGTATTCAAAAATTTATTTGTCATGGTAGGGCATAGATCGACGAGAACACGTCTTAAGTGTCTTAAGAACCTTCATGTTCTTAGGAACGTGTCTTAAGAACCTGGATGGGCTCTGGCTCTCGAAGTAACTGATGAACTACTCGGAAAGGATTGTTGCATAATACTGTACTTAATACCCAATTTTTTTCCCCTTCAAACATAGCTGCATGGCAACAGGGGAACACCTAGGGATTGTCTAATAACTTATGTGTAAACTAAATGAATACAGTATATACAATTCATCAGTTGCACTGGTCATTTGGTCTTAAAAGTTAGAAAATGATAATGTGTATTATACAAGAAATGTCTTACTGTCATTCTGCTGCAGACTTTGATATATTGGATCTAATAAGAAACATATTGCATGTACTAAAGCAATGAATAAAACTAGATGACTTACAACCAACATCAACATAGTGGACATTGAGGCCTTTACTGCAACGCCGTACTTTGCTGCCTCTTGGACTTTCTTCCTCACAGCTATCGTCTCCAGAGCCACTATTTGATCCCCGACGCTTCACTGGTGCCAGCAGACCCATAGGCTGGTCTACATAGTCCCCGAGGCAGGAGCCATCCAAGCTACTATCCTTATCACTGTTAAGTCAAACAAAAGCAGTGACAGATTTTACTTTTCTAATGACAAGGTAATTCATTAGTTTTAAATATGCTCTAATTGTTACCAATAGTACTGAAAACTACATACATAACAGACATATTCACTTAAGGTCTTCAGTGTAATGGCACTGTTGAAGTAATGATTCTTTTCTCTGACAAATTCTTTTTAATGAAAATGTCGTTATTTTTTCATTGGTTGCCTGAAACTTTCTCAAACCTCTATTGCCCTGGAGAAATAAATAAAATAATCTATTCACTTCCGTTACAATCCTTTCCATTCTAATTTCAATACTATCATTTCCAATTTCATGTTCAATGATCCTAAAACATAACAGTTACTGATGGACCTATTCTTTGGTAATGTGGTGATCTGTATTTTTTTAAATCTACATATTGCCTATTCCATGATTACTTATACATTTACATGTTCTGTTTCATTGATAAAGTTGTGTTCTTGCTTGTACCATTCTCTCTAGTCCTGCTCTACTACATCTATTTCTATCTTATATGTGCTTGCCCAAGTAGCCCTCAACCTATCTGAACTGAGTTATATGTATTTTACTTTATGGGTTTAGCTAATCTTTGAGGAGGTTGGTCATGTGTAGAATCTTGAATCACATGAAATGGATCAGATTTTATCTGCACTGAGAAATACTAGTTTAGACCCTATTATTTCTCAGTACAGGTCAAATATGATCCAATTCATGTGATTCGAGATTCTACACAAGACCAACCTCCTCAAAGATTAGCTAAACCCTGAAAGTAAAATACGTATAACTTTCTTAATTAATTTTCCAACTGAGCTTAGCAATATAAAAAAAATTTGAACCAGGTTATTCTAACAAGACAAAAATGTACCAAACTTGAATTTTTCAAACTTGAACTTGAATTTTTTAATTCGTACCAAACGAATTTTAACTAGTGTGATTTTTTTTAAGATATAACTTATCTTAGAATAAATTATCTTACAGTATTTTTCAGTAAAGATTTCTTCTCCATTCTCATTTCCACGTATAATTTTCATTGATAAGTTAGGTCTCCATCACCCAACAGGCATACCCTTGGGAATCCAACCTATCCTAGTCTACTGACAATATTTACAAAATACCTCAAGCTATACAGGAATTAAATACTAACTTCAATGAATATGATGAACCACGTTCTTTCATACCTGTTTCTGACATTGTTTTGACGCATAGGGAAGGAGTCAATCTGAGACAACAGTTCATCATTGTTGTCTCGAAGATGTTGGTTTTCTACAGTGACTCTTTCTAGACGATCCAGAAGTCTGCGATATTCTTCTTCTCTAGGACTCATGGACTCGTACTCTGCAACCTGTACGATTATTGAAAATTTGCTCCTTTATATTACTGAATGCGGATTATGCAATATAATGTACTAATAGTAACAAAATAAACTGGAATGATTTCACAATAACTCAGTTTCTAGCACCTTTGTATACTGTTTATTATAATGATCCTTCAAAACACTTTATTTCTTCATCATTTATAATAGCTAATGCAGTATGTTTCCAATTTTTATGGTAGCTGGTCATTCCTGTGATAGAAAATACTAATAATTATTTAACCTTAAGAATCTTAATACCGGCTAAACACCTATTGTACTGTATTTGAAATATCACTCTACTTCCTCTCTTCAGTTGGCTAAAATTATTTTTCTCACACCTACTGTAAGCCTATGGCAAAAATTCTATATGATCACCATCATTTCAGCTTATTCCCTCTGTGCAATTACAGTTATGTATTTCTATCCTATTATCAGTACCGGTACAGTAGTTCACCATGGTTTACATAATACATAAATACAGGTACTGTACCGCCATTACTTTTTTCTCACCTTAAGTGCATGCATGTAAGACATGTCACTTACCGATGTGTTAACAATGTGCACATGAAACTTATCCCCTGCCAATAATGTTCACTATAACACCCTTCAACAACAGCAGAGTCCATGAACGTACTAAATAGAAGAGGTAATTTGCACTTCGGTCATTTCATAATGTCTAGTGTTACATTAACATGAGACCACAATTTTATGTTTACCTAATTATCTTGTATAACTAAAAGCAGGATGTGATGTTTTTCCTTTAGTGATAAATTTGTCCAACATTCATGCTGGAAAAGCCATAACACAAGAACAATACAGTACTCACCTTTTAAGCACAAACAACTAACAAAAACTTGCCAGATAAGATGAGAACCTTCACAGATTGTTGAATAATTCATTCAAAATGATCTATCTAAAATTTTAGCCAAATATCCCATTTGCTAACTGCAAGGAAGTAAATATAGGTGAGTGCAACCTTTGCACTTGGTGGGGGTCTGTGTGCAGGATAAACACATCAATTATGACTACCTCTCCACACATGTCAGTTGCTTAGCTTGGAGACTGGAATTTTGGTCAGTCTTGAACACATTGCTGATGTAACAATATATATATTAAATTTTGTAACTAGCTCATCAAGATTGTAACTTGCTAAGCTATATGAATTGTGGGGTTCAGTCCCTGAGCCCATTATGTGCCTCTGTAACCCTTTCCACTACCGCCCACAAGATGGGTATGGGGAGCATAATAAATGAACTAAACTGAAACAAAACTTGTAGGTTGTCCCCAAGACCACTTATAAAGTAGGCATCAAGTGAATGTATATTATTGATATTACCTTGACATGTGATGAGTACAATCTTCTCAGGTCACCTTTCCTCCTAAGCACAAACTATTTGTGCTTAAGTGCACCATTTGTTGCAATTGTGTTTAAACCGCACTTAACTTTCCTTGCACTTACTTTATTCTTGAGAGTCTGCATATCTGCCACTTGTTTTTCCATCTGAGATAGTTGTTTCTCTGCCTCCTGCAACTTCTCACTAAGCTCTGTGTTTTCAGCCTCCAAACGTTTTATGTCCTTAAATGGCAAGAAAGTATTTACAGTAAGTATATTTATGGTAAAATGTTGGACAACACTTCAAATTTGATTTCATCAAAGTGAAATTTAGGTTTTAGGCAAGTAAACTTAATTAAGTGAATATTATTATAATATTAAAATGGCTGAAAGATATCATGAACCTAACTGTAGAAAAAGTCAATATTCAATTGTCTGTTGTTTTTTGTTAGGTCTTGATAAGTGATATTATAAGACCTTTAAATAATTCACTTAAAAGAATGCATGTGTGTGTAAGAATACTGTATTTCATAATGGGTTTAATTATTTTGAAATAGGAACAAATATTTTGTACTGCTATAGATACAAGTCACATCACATGCATGAAGGTTCACCAGTGACTTTTATAACCTTAACTTTATCCAAGGTTATCCAAAATCAGGTTAGGCTAACCAAAATCAGCCTAACCAAATCCAAATGAGCCTAATACAGCCTGACCTAAGCTAATACATCCTAACCTAATGAACATAAACAGTTCTGACAAACAGAGAACAAGCTTTGTAAAAACCATCTTGCATAAAATTTTACCATTAAAATAAACACTACAAACAATATCTTCAGCTTATAAAGGTACTTTTAAATACTAAGAGCTCACATTGCTGGTGTAAAGACATACTGTACATTCTTCCATAAGAGTTTGGGTGCACAGCCGTGCACAGCGGTGCACTTATTATTGGTACTGCATGCAAATCCTTATCCTGATCCCTTCCTAGTGCTAAATAGTCGTAATGACTTGGCACATTCTCCTAATAGTTTCTTCTGTACATATAAAAGTGAATTTATGCAATGCAGTGGTCTATATCATTGGCTCCCAACTGAGGGTCCCAGATTCAATTGCTGCAGCAAGACAGACAGTTGGGCACATTTTCTTTCATTTAATGCCTCTGTTCACCTAGCAGTGAATAGATACCCAGGAGTTTGGCAACTGTTGTGGAATGTATCCTGAAGATGGTCTTTGAAGTCTTTGAAGATCTTTGAAGTCTTTGAAGATGGTTTTGAAGTTGGCCTAAAGGGACTTTGATAACCCTAAGAACTGGCTTTCTGTCCCTGACAATGGCAAACCATAATCTGAAAAGGACTTAACTAAGATAAGATAAAGCTGAAGAATAACATTGTTTATCTTATTGCTAACACTTCTAGACATAAATCCCAGTATCCTATATGCCTTATTTTAAACATTTATATGTTGATTTTTTGCCTTAAGACTCTTACTAATCATGACTCCAAGATCTTTTAAGCATTCAGATTGGGCAATTCCAACATTGCCCAACTGATATCTGGTAACTAAATTATCATTAACTAAGCTACAGCCCTACATTTGTTAGCATTAAACTGCAGCTGCCAATCTCCTGCATGCAGACCTCTGGTTGCATCTATACCTATCTTGTTTTCCTTAACTAGGGCTAATCAATCACTTGAAGCCCTTCACCTTCACATTTATTTCATCAATGTCTTTAATATATGGAATAACTCATTAATATAAATTAAATGCAGAGTGATTTTTCAACATTAAGCAAATTTAGATTGCTCTTAACTATATGCAAACTTACAGCATAAAGAGAGGATAATTTGGACTTCAGTTTTGATTCTTCCTGCTGCAAGTGAGTGTTCTGAGCTTGCATTTCCCGTGCAACAGTGGATACCTGTTCCCGAGCAGAGTCCCGCTCGTGGGTCACAGCTTCCTGCAACTCCCTCACCTGATCTCGGTACTGTCTCTCCAACTCTCTGAAGCCACAAAATATTTTTGGAATAATTTCTGCCCGACTCTAAAACTTTGATATGGAAAATAGAATCAAAAGTTTGAGGATCTCATTCATAATGCAGCAGATGAAAACAATCTCTGACAAGGTACTGCAATGCTCACTAGGAGCATACCAGAGAACTGGGATACATCTCCAGGAAAACTAGGGAAAACACATCCTGAAATCTGGGCACACACCTAAGATGCACAAGGAGCTAATGACTACTGTGGCATCATGTTTGATTATATTGTAGAACTGAAAAGGGAGTCAGACCAAGAAACAGGTTGAAGTGTGAGAGAGAATACAGCTGAGGGGACTATGGGAGGGTTGCGGCCTACCTGCAGGATGTTTAATAGGAAGACTAAACTGAAAAGAAAGTCAGAGAATGGGATGAAGAAATTTGTAACATATCAATGCACACCAGCCATGAAACAGTTCATACCTCTCAGGAGGGAAGTGGAGAAGAGAACAGGAAGCCCATGGTTCAACAGGTCGTGCAAAGAGGAAAGAGATATGACAAAAACAGCATGGAAAATGAATAGACCTGGGTACAGAAGCAAATAGAGAGGCAATAAAGAGGGAGTCAGGAATGAGTATACAGAATTAAGCTACAAAGCAGCATTTTGAAAAATGAGAGCATGACTATTTCAAAAGACCACACTAAAGTGATGCAGAGTTATATACAGAGGGGAAATAACAGTATGAGACCACATGGTAAGACTGCAGAGATGGGGAGAAACTTTCATAGAGAATGACAAAGAAGTGTGTGAAGAATTAACAAGAGGTTCCAGGAGGTCTGCAAACTTGAACCAGATTGATGTTCAAGGAGAGGTGACAATAGACAGCTTGAAGCAACACTAGACAGAAAATAAGATACTGTAGAAGTGGTAAAAACACACTGTTACGAACTTGATATTGTATAGGAAAAACAGTAGGACCAGACCAGCTGTCTCTGTGGTTACTAAACAATATTGCAGGGATTCTGTGTTTCTCACTAACTAGAGTTTTCAATGTGATACTAGAGACAGAAAAGCTTCAGGGCCTATGTACTTCCAATATTTATGAATGAGGACAAACATGAAGCACTAAATTATAGACCAGTGTCACTAACATGCCACTCATGCAAAATTCTGGAAGTAGTCAGGAAAAGAATAATAGAACACTTGAGAATGTAAATTATACCTAACAAACTTTATAGAATTCAATGACAGTGTCACCAAAAATGGCAAGAGAACAAAAGATTTACAGACTATCTTCCTAGACTGCCAGAAAGCTTTTAACACAGTTCTTCACAAACAATGAATGCACAAAATAGAGACAAGCACGGATAATGGGAAAGACACTTAGCTGGGTAAGGGAGTACCTGATGGACAGGAAACAAAGAATCACAGTCAGAAAAGCATAATCGAAAGCTTTAAACTTACCTATGATGCTGAGTATAGTTAGAGACTGTGAAATATATGCTGCAAAGTACTAGCCTATAAAAATTGCAGCTCAGATTCTATGTCCTGCATTACAGTATTATGTTTTCCCTTCTATAACCTTAAATAGGATATAAAAAAAATCCCTCTGAGAGAACAAGCAAACTTAAAATTTTGAAGAATAACACTTCAAATTTAAAGGGGCAGTATTATTACCATACTTCATTAATTTTTGGCAACAGTTTTAGAATACAGGTTTTGAACTGAATTACTCAAGTGGTCACTTGAGATATTACCATATTAATGGAGGGCCTTTTAAAATTAAAAGCAATTCAAGACAATCAAGAAGATTGATCCACGTTTCAGCACACTTACTGTATCTGATATTGAGACGACGCTTCCATGTGGGCATTATGGTCATCAAGCTCCTGAGCCAACAAAGTCAGCCGCTGGTTGGCTTCATTCAGGTCAACACGGAGCTTCTTTCTCTCGCCACGTGCAGCGTCCAGAGAAAATCTGGTACAGTATTTGAATATTCATTATTTGAAACAAAACAAAAATTCAATCCAGCCTTGAAATGCCTTTCATAAAGCATTTTGTTTACTGGTACAGGTATTTAAGATATAAAAAACAACATTCAAATTCAAATATGTGTTTATACGCCACTCATACCGGTAACTAAAAAAAATCAAAAATAAAAAAATCACCAATGATATAAATAAAAAATGGATGATGATGCACCTAAAATGAAGCCAATTTCTGTGGGAGCCGGAACATGCATTGACTGATGCCAGAAAGTTATACATATCCATTCAGCCTGGATAGCTCCCGGGAGCCTCCGGGACTCACCCAGAAAATGGCATTTCATCACATTCAATGCTGGTTTTTTTAATAATGCCCATAAAGGAGGCTTTCAAGATTTTTCAAATTCTGAGGCAAATAATTGCAAGAAGTCTCTAGTATAAAATAACATCTAAGTAAAATATTTAGGAACCTTGACTATTAGAGGCATATAAAATCATTTACAAATGACAGGAGCAACATGGTCAATAGTTTATTGCAACATGAGCAGTTTTAGAGATAAACTGAATATTCTTAGTATATTTATGAAGTATGATCACAAGATATTTCTATACCCTTGATTACCTGAGAAAACTAATAGTGCTTAACTTTTTATATATTTAAATTCTACTTTAAACATTGGTTTTAATTCATGTCCATCACATCTTTCAGCAGAGCTAACAACTTCATCTACACCAGTCTCACGTGGATCATACACATGGCTCCTTACAAGAAGTTGTTCTACTCTTATAGCCCAGCCTGGGGTCTGGGAGTTCCATATTTGACTACCTGATGAACCAGACTATTGCTGCATGCAGTACATGGGCTCACAAAGACTTCACCACATATCAAGATCATTTTTGAAAACATCTGCCATTATTCCAAAAATTATAATTAAGGGAGATAAGTTGGTGACCTTAAATGTTAACGAAATTGACTCTAATCGTTACTTGGTTACTGGGTTTCCCTACATAGCTTACTCAGTTTCCTTCCACAATGTTATTTAAATTTGCAGATTAAGGACCTGTGTTAATTACAGAACAATTATATCTATGTTCAGTTTCAGAGTTTACACATCATTCTCAAGTGTGCAGCACAGAGAATAGCCTGAAGAGTGCTTTAAGGTGCATATGTTTAATTGAGTCTTTGCAAGCAGGAGAGGAACATACATCCTTTGTACTTTTAATATCTCACTTGTCTTGAAATGTGATGTGAGCAAAAAGCATCATTCAAGACAAGAAAAAATAAGTGCCTTGAAGAGTACTATCATTGCTGTGGTGCCCATTGCTTTAATAACTTTTATTGTCCACCCAATCATTTTCCTGGATGGTACTGCATTTGCTCTGTTGTGCTCTCTAAATGCTAGGTCGTATACCAACATTATTATTTCTGAGTACCTTACATGTTCTCTATCTATACGAATATCTAATTGCATCTTATAACCAATATACTGTACTGTACAGTATATTGATACTGATTTTCAGTCATCATTTTAAATTGACAATTGAATACTATACTGTACTGATATCTGATTATAATTTTTTATGTTTCTTCTATCTACTATAATTACAGTTACAGTAATTAATATGCAAAATAAGTTAATATCTAATATAAAGAAAATATGCAAATCTTTGAATCACATTAGCATGGCTAGACTCTGTACACTAACTGCAAGACAAACGTATGGCACCAACCGAAGGTATTTGATGTCATGGAGGTAAGTAAGAAGCGCCACATTGACCGCTGCAACACTGGTGCCTGACCCCTGGTCCTCGGTAATCTGGCACTCCTCCTCCAGAGCAGAAGAGAGGTCACACAGAGAAAGGCGCTCATGTGAGCGATGCGGGAAGCCCATCTCCTTTAAGAGGTTCACACCATTACTGATGTTCAGGGACTCCCACAGCTCAAGTATATTGTCCACAGTGGCATACCTGGTGGGAAAATAAGTTGCGAGTAAAATTAGGCATTCCTTTCAGAGTCGGCACCTCGGGTGCTTCCACAGTCAGGGCCTGGGTTCTACCCAGGAGTAACGCTCACATATCAGTCTATAGGCGACCTGAATCCCCAAGTGATAAGCAAAATTTTTAAATAGTCTTGCCATGTAGTTTTGGAATTGGGAGAGAGTAAAGGGTATATCTTAATCCACCATCGAGAGACCATTTTGCAGTAATATTAAACCACAACTAATCTGCTCAACAACTCCTGCCAGTGATTACTGCAATTACTATGAAAGTTTCTTATCACTCTCCAAACTGTTAATTAGTAACTAACTGCTACTCAGACCACCACAAATTAGCAAACTGGTCAGTATTGTACAGCAGGGTTGAAGGAGCCCGCAGTGCTCGTCTAAAGCCCAGGATACTCAGCATAGTTGAGGCAGTTGATAGTGGTAAGGTTTGCGATGTTGTGTACCTTGACTTTAGCAAAGCTTTTGATACAGTGCCACATAAAAGACTGATTAAAAAGATAAAGGCTCATGGTATTGGGGGTGCTATATTAAGATGGATTAGGGCATGGCTATACCAAAGCAAACAAAGTTAGTATAAATGGGGTTAAGTCAAAGTGGGAATATGTTGCAAGTGGAGTGCCTCAAGGCTCTGTCTTGGGACCTCTGTTGTTTATAATATATATAAATGATTTAGATTCAGGTTTGAGTAGCAACATTTGCAAATTTGCTGATGATACAAAAATCGGTAGGGAAATTAACATGGAAGAAGACTCACTATCACTACAAGTTGATCTAAATAGGGTTTTGAAATGGTCAAAAGATTGGCAGATGCAGTTTAATGCTGATAAATGTAAAGTTCTGAGGCTAGGTAATAATGATAGAGTTACAAGATACGAGCTAGATGGTGTTGAGATTGCGAAGTCGGATTGCGAAAGGGATCTGGGAGTTATGATTAGTAAGAATTTAAAACCAAACGATCAATGTATGAATGTTCGTAATAAGGCAAATAGGACACTGGGCTTTATTACTCGAAGCATTAGTAACAAGACACCTGGTGTTGTTCTTCAGCTATATCTTGCTCTGGTTAGGCCCCATTTAGATTATGCAGTTCAGTTTTGGTCGCCGTACTATAGAATGGATATAAATTCACTTGAACGTGTCCAGCGTAGGATGACCATGCTAATTCCCCAAATTAGAAATCTTTCATATGAAGAAAGATTAACAAAGCTTAAATTGCATTCACTGGAAAGACAGAGTTAGGGGTGACATGATAGAGGTTTACAAGTGGATGAATAGGCATAACAAGGGGGATATTAATAGGGTATTAAAAGTATCAACACAAGACAGAACACAAAACAATGGGTATAAATTGGGTAAGTTTAGATTTAGGAAAGACTTGGGTAAATACCGGTTCAGTAACAGGGTTGTTGATTTGTGGAACCAATTACCGCGTAACGTGGTGAAGGTGGGGTCCCTCGGTTGTTTCAAGCGCGGGTTGGACGTTTATGAGTGGGATTGGGTGGTTATAAACAGGAGCTGCTTCGTATGGGCCAATAGGCCTTCTGCAGTTACCTTGTTCTCATGTCCTTGTGTTCTTATGCTCAGATATCCAGACCAAGTGGATAGACAGGTGCAATCAAAGAACTTACTCAGAAATAGAGTACTGTAAAGTGTTTAATACTATATATCTCCTTATTTCCAAATTGGGTCCACTTAGTTGTTCAACTAGCCAACTCCGCATGGTAGAAAGCACTAGCGTACTAAAGTTTTAGTATGTTTAGAACCAATTACTATACTGTATGTACAGCCAGCATAAAACACACAGCAGCCAGTGTGACATTTAACTGCCAGAATAAGGCTCGGATATTATCACTAATTATGACAAATAAATGCAGGTAATGAATTTCCCCAACACTGGAGCACTTCAACTGTAAACTGTAAACAATTACTATTCAACACTATACTGTATTTTAGACCAAATGTTTTGAGTACTTGGAGATTTGTAACTATTTCATTCACCTCATAGATATTAGAGGATATTCTTATACTCAACACAAAGTTTACTTGTGCAGGCTAGTAGACCAACCTTATATTAACTTTCTTCTTTGATTCCATATACAACCAACCTTCCTTTGAGATGGGGATATTAGATGAATTTACAGATAGTTATTCAATCACTCATACAAAGTTAAGTAGCAGTACACTGCTGTATACTGTACCTAAACCTGTTAATAATAAACTTATACTGTACATCAAACTCTATTGTACATTACATCTCCCAATGAATGGAAAGCTGTGTTTTATAAATTAAAAAGCATAAATCAGTCAGTCTTTGTTGAGAAGTGTGTGTTACTGGTGGCATCTTACCTGTCCTTACCCAAGATTATCTCATGGATCACCAAAATTCAAACGTTAATAAAATTGAGAAGTAAAATTATAATTAAATGAAAACTATACAGCAGTTTTCAACACTGAAACTATTCCAGAGTATCAGAAAAGATGAAACAGTATTTCATTTTAATAATTAATACGAATTTAAACAAAATTTAATTTTTGATTTCACAAGTTCTTGAAGTATAGTGCAGTATTCTTGAAGTATTCAGTGTAGTATATGCACTGAATCGCCGCTCCCTAACTAGTGTCCTTTTCTGCATCACTTTAATACCAATCTTCCTAGATTATAAAAAAAACTCTTGACAAGTCTATATAGTATATGTATGTCATGCCTTTCCTCTATATGTGAAAGTCTTTCCCAGCCTTTCCTCTCAGCTCTTAACAATGTGGCTCCTATCAATTTCAAAGTTATTTAGGAATCTAATTCCCTTCTTTCTTTCCCCAACGTTCATGTTCACAGCTTGATTTGATGTTCATGTAGATTAGATAGAGCCCAATAGGATCCATAATTTGTACACCAATTGATTGACAGCTGAGATGCGGGACCAAAGAGCTAAAGTTCAACCCCCGCAAGCACAACTAGGTGAGTACAACTAGTTGAGTAACTAAGGTGAGTACAACTAGTTGAGTACAACTAGGCCAATACAGCTGTGTCTGGGTTCGTTCTCGTTCTCTCGTGTTCTCTCTCTCCGCCCCCCCTTCTCCCCCCACCCCAATCTCTCATCCCCCATTCTTGCCGCCCCCCCCACTCCCCCTTCCAAATCCCACTGCCCCACCACCACCATATAGCGCAGTGGTCTACATGTCGTCGGATAACAACTAAGATGTCCAAGGTTCAGTTCCTGAGCAGTGCAGACACAGTTGGACATGATTCTTTCACCCGATGCCTCTTTTCACCCCAGCAGTGAAGAGGTACCTGAGAGGTAGGCGAGCGTTGAGAGACATACTGGGAAAGGTCAGCAGATGGCCAAGAAGTCGTGAATAGACCTAAGTATACAAGCTGCCTGTCCCTCACACAAGGATAACAATTACCATCACCTTCCATACACCGATCCACCCCTGCTATACTGTACAAGTACATCATCATGTAGTAACAGTTCTGCGGTTGGAAGAAAACGCTCACAGAGTTTTGTAGTGTATCTGGCGAGGAGGAGGCGAGCAAGAGGTCGCCGAGTCAGAATCAGAATAATACAGGAGAAGATGCCCATTGGGGCGAGCTTGGAAGTGGGGACAGAAGAAGATAAGGGAGGGTGAGAGGAAGAAGATTTGTAAGAGAAAAAGTGCCAGGGCTAAACCCAGCTGCGTGTCGTTAGGTTGCGGCATTCGAGGCAGGGACTCAGTCGGGTGTTTTCAGTGACAACATCGGGACATCACAAACTCACAACATCACAGTGATTGGCTCAAGAGCGTCAGGGCTGAACTTTTTACGGATGGTTTGTGCTGGTTGTTGAGAGCTGAATATGTAATGATAGTGGATGCTGGGTGTTGAGAGCTAAAGTTTAACGAAATACAGAGTTAGGAGGAGGATCATGGATGGTAGAGAAGAGGTCATGATTGTTTCGTGGTAGTCTGAGAGTGTGTAGGAGAAAATCAATGTGTTGTTCATGATAAGTGAGTAGTCTATCAATTTGTTTGTCTGATAAAGTTTTCCAGTAGGTATTTAGGGCAGGAATGTTCGTACTTTCATGGAGACTTTGACTGGTATTTAACTCTTGCCATCGGGTGTTGAGTACCCATCTTAGTGCTCTATTCTGTATTCTTTGAAGTTTTATTTTGTTAGTACGTGCAGATAGAGAAAGAGCTAGTGGAGCGTATGTTAGGAGATGTATCTGGCCGAGTCTGATTGATTGATGAAGATTAAGCCACCCAAGAGGTGGCACGGGCATGAATAGCCCGTAAGTGGTGGCCCTTTCGAGCCATTACCAGTATCAAAAGATGATACTGGAGATCTGTGGAGGCGCAACTGCACCCTGCGTGACGGGAGATGTTTCCCGGACCAAATGGTGACCAAATGGTGCTGGCCGAGTCAGAATCAGAATCAGAATAATACAGGAGAAGATGCCCATAGGGGCGAGCTTGGAAGTGGGGACAGAAGAAGATAAGGGGGGTTGAGAGGAAGAAGATTTGTAAGAGAAAAAGTGCCAGGGCTAAACCCAGCTGCGTGTCGTTAGGTTGCGGCTTTCGAGGCAGGGACTCAGTCGGGTGTTTTCAGTGACAACATCGGGACATCACAAACTCACAACATCACAGTGATTGGCTCAAGAGCGTCAGGGCTGAACTTTTTTACGGATTGTTTGTGCTGGTTGTTGAGAGCTGAATATGTAATGATAGTGGATGCTGGGTTTTGAGAGCTAAAGTTTAGAGTCCGCGCGCGCTCTTTTAAGTACCCTGCTCGATGCGCGCGCGCGCTACTTAGTCGGTTAGACACAAAATCATGGTAATACGTTTTCGTTTCCCACAGAACTTCACCACTTTTGGGAAAAGCAGTGACTATTTCACCCTCCACCGCTCACTAGGCAATAATAGGCTCAAATTTAACTTTCAAAACTGGTGTAATTATTCCCAAAGAACAAACGAAAATGTATTTTAGCATAATAATTGTAATTTGTAATTAGAACTTGAGCTTGTATCCTCAGTACCACCCCCCATTACCCCTCATTACCTGGCTCATCTTCAGTACCTGCCTCACCCTCAGTACCTGCCTCACCCTCAGTACCTGCCCCACCCTCAGTACCTGCCTCACCCTCAGTACCTGGCTCACCCTCAGTACCTGCCTCACCCTCAGTACCTGCCTCGCCCTCAGTACCTGCCTCACCCTCAGTACCTGCCTCACCCTCAGTACCTGCCTCACCCTCAGTACCTGCCTCACCCTCAGTACCTGCCTCACCCTCAGTACCTGCCTCACCCTCAGTACCTGCCTCACCCTCAGTACCTGGCTCACCCTCAGTACCTGGCTCACCCTCAGTACCTGCCTCACCCTCAGTACCTGCCTCACCCTCAGTACCTGCCTCACCCTCAGTACCTGCCTCACCCTCAGTACCTGCCTCACCCTCAGTACCTCCCTCACCCTCAGTACCTGCCTCACCCTCAGTACCTGCCTCACCCTCAGTACCTGCCTCACCCTCAGTACCTGCCTCACCCTCAGTACCTGCCTCACCCTCAGTACCTGGCTCACCCTCAGTACCTGCCTCACCCTCAGTACCTGCCTCACCCTCAGTACCTGCCTCACCCTCAGTACCTGGCTCACCCTCAGTACCTGGCTCACCCTCAGTACCTGCCTCACCCTCAGTACCTGCCTCACCCTCAGTACCTGGCTCACCCTCAGTACCTGGCTCACCCTCAGTACCTGCCTCACCCTCAGTACCTGCCTCACCCTCAGTACCTGGCTCACCCTCAGTACCTGGCTCACCCTCAGTACCTGCCTCACCCTCAGTACCTGCCTCACCCTCAGTACCTGCCTCACCCTCAGTACCTGCCTCACCCTCAGTACCTGCCTCACCCTCAGTACCTCCCTCACCCTCAGTACCTGCCTCACCCTCAGTACCTGCCTCACCCTCAGTACCTGGCTCACCCTCAGTACCTGCCTCACCCTCAGTACCTGGCTCACCCTCAGTACCTGGCTCACCCTCAGTACCTGGCTCACCCTCAGTACCTGCCTCACCCTCAGTACCTGCCTCACCCTCAGTACCTGCCTCACCCTCAGTACCTGCCTCACCCTCAGTACCTGCCTCACCCTCAGTACCTGGCTCACCCTCAGTACCTGCCTCACCCTCAGTACCTGCCTCACCCTCAGTACCTGCCTCACCCTCAGTACCTGGCTCACCCTCAGTACCTGCCTCACCCTCAGTACCTGCCCCACCCTCAGTACCTGCCTCACCCTCAGTACCTGCCCCACCCTCAGTACCTGCCCCACCCTCAGTACCTGCCTCACCCTCAGTACCTGCCTCACCCTCAGTACCTGCCTCACCCTCAGTACCTGCCCCACCCTCAGTACCTGCCTCACCCTCAGTACCTGCCCCACCCTCAGTACCTGCCTCACCCTCAGTACCTGCCCCACCCTCAGTACCTGCCCCACCCTCAGTACCTGCCTCACCCTCAGTACCTGTGACACATCGCTTATAACATTTACAGCGTTTGCTTACAAAACTAATTTCGAATTAAGGAATGTTTGGATAAATTGGTTAAATTTAAGATTTTGTTTATTGAGTATTAAAGAGTAAGAAATGTTGTGGGAGAGGGTTGGAGAGGGAGAAGGGGAAACTTAAGATAAACATCAATAAACATAATATATATCTGGCCTTCCAGCCACTGGCTGTACCCGGCCACGCGTTGCTGTGGCTCAGTCTGGTTAAATAGAAAAGAAAGAAAAGAGAAAGCGCACATTCTAATATGTTTAATTTCACAATGCTTGTGGGTATACAATATTTTGTGTTGTTCCATTGTCTGTGGAGATATAGAGATTGTCTGGTTTGCCGACTCTAGAACTCCCGACCCTCCCCCAGTCCCCACGTCCTCCCCACCATTCCCCTCTCCCATCCTCCGTCCCCTCGCCCTCCCAACCATTCCCCATCCCCTTGTCCTCCTCACCATTCCCCCCTCCCCCATCCCCTCGTCCTCCACACCATCCCCCCCCCACTCCCATTTCCCCTCGTCCTCCACCATTCCCAACTCCCCTGGTCTTCATCCCGCATCCCATCATCACTCTACTCCCGCATCCCCCCTCCCCCGTCCCCTCGTCCTCCCCACCATCCTCCACTCCCCCGTCCCCTCGTCCTTCCCACCATTCCCTCACATGAAAAAAATCAGTTTAAAAAAAAAAAACATGTTTTTACCTGTCACAGGTGTGACATCTATATAGTAGGTATATAAAAACATGCGCGTATTCAAATGAAATGTGTAAAAATTTCAAAGTAATCGGCGAAGAACTTTCTGAGATTTAAGATTTTGAACACACGAACATTTACATTTTTATTTATATAGATAAATAGTTGGTTTAAAATATAAAAAGTCTATTTTGAGCGAGAGAGAGAGAGAGAGAGAGAGAGAGAGAGAGAGAGAGAGAGAGAGAGAGAGAGAGAGAGAGAGAGAGAGAGAGAGAGAGAGAGAGAGGGAAGAGAGAGAGAGGAGAGAGAGAGAGAGAGAGAGAGGGAAGAGAGAGAGAGAGAGGGAAGAGAGAGAGAGAGAGCGAAGAGAGAGAGAGAGAGAGAGAGAGAGAGAGAGAGAGAGAGGGAAGAGAGAGAGAGAGAGAGGGGAAGAGAGAGAGAGAGGGGAGAAGAGAGAGAGAGGGGGAAGAGAGAGAGAGAGAGGGAGAGAGAGAGAGAGAGAGAGAGAGAGAGAGAGAGAGAGGGGAGAGAGGGGGGGAGAGAGAGGGAAGAGAGAGAGAGAGGGGAAGAGAGGGAGAGAGAGAGAGAGGAGAGAGAGGGGGAAGAGAGAGAGAGAGAGAGAGAGAGAGAGAGAGAGAGAGAGAGAGAGAGAGAGAGAGAGAGAGAGAGAGAGAGAGAGAGAGAGAGAGAGAGAGAGAGAGAGAGAGAGAGAGAGAGAGAGACCCCCATATCTTATCAGATCTTTTCAAGTACTACTTACTTATTCAGCAATTGTTACTGGTCGACCTCATAACAAAAAATAACAAATAAATCCTGCAACAAATTTGTTTGTTATCATCTACGACGGTAAAAAATGAGCAAGAAAATTTATTAAGATATAATACTTGATACGACAACATGCAAGGAGCTGCCGTATCTAGAGACGGAAAAAGTTCAGCGCTTGAGAGGCCGGAGCAGAGCTACGCCTGGTGACCAGGGTGTAACCGACCACACAATACACAACTGTGACGCCGCACACACATCATTGTAATTAAGGCGCTTCAAGCAATAATGTCAATTACAGTAGGCCTACTAATGTGAAGAATAACTGCTGATTTTCATATTTCATCGCCAGTATTCAAATTTTTCTCAGTGATGAATAAAATATGTAGGTATAAAGAAGTTTAATGGACTAGATGAACGGGGTAGGTTCCGGGTGGGATTGTGGAACAGGGCGGGGCGGGGGGCGGGTGCTGTGGGGGAGGGGGGACAGGAGCTGTGGAAGGGGGGGGGGGCATTAGGATGATGGGGGAGCAAGGGGTGGGAGGGGGAGCAGGTAGCCTCGGAGTTTACCTGGACAGTCAGGAGCAGTTGCCACTTGCCAGGTGGCACAACCCTAACTGCCTCCCCATGGACGATGGCTGCCCACAAGCACTCCTGCCTGCTAACAAGGTACTGAACAGCTATCACACTCCTCCCTCACCTCTAACATGGCCGGCTCCTCATCATTACACCTCCTACAACCCGCCTCATCTACTTCCTACACTGCTGGCTTCGCAGCCTCACCCAAACACCGCGTCACCCACTCCCCCAACTCTCGCCTCAACTCACAATACCTCACACAAGTGCCTCTAAACCTCACACACCACAATTGCTTGCAAATAAACTTTGTGCTCAATGATGGCCGACTGTGATTTCAAAGTACCAAAACGCACGAGGAAGCATCTCTACTGTTGTGTCGTGATCTGAATCATAATTTCCAACTGCCTGTCCGTGTGTACTGCAGGTGTGGCGACATGAACTTTAGCCCACCCAGAGTGATTATACGACTCCTGGATGAACTCGGTAAGTATTTCCTTAGTGCAGGTGGGTGAATTCAATATTATCTGTGAGACAGGCAGCCTATTAAATTGTTTATGTGATAACAGACACAAGTGGGACAGGGCTACATTCACGCACCAGAGTGTTATCATGTGTTATCAAAAGGGTTGATTTGTTGGTGGCAAGTGTGGCTTTTGGTGGTGGTTTGTGGTAGTGTGCGGAGCCAAGTGGAGGTGCCTTGACTACTACCACCGCCACTAGTCACTAGTGTAGTCACAAGGTGCCTCACCGCGTCCGTCGGCCCTTGAGAGCGAGTGACCTTGTTAATATGCCACCGACGCCTTCGTAGCTGAGCAGCCTAAAGGTTAAACAACAAAACATACAATTCTCGTCAGCAATATCCATTGCACGCCTGTAAATCATGGCATTTGCCCATTAAGCACAGCCAATGTCAAAAGTACCCACCAATAAAACCGAGCGCCCCCATGCGTTAGGTTACACAATAAGCTGGTACCAACACGACCCCGGGGCCACCAACCCAGCAGCACCCTGGCATTAAACATGCCCATATATACTAACCATAATAACCCCAAATTCGAAGCAAGTTAAACAACGAATTGCAAGGCGACTCCCTGACCCTGGGTGTTGGGGTCACCACAGACAAGTCCGCCTCGTCTCTGCTCATGGACTGTTAGTGTCCTACCATTCCTGGCCACATAACGGCGCGCGCGTGATCACCGCGAAGTAAAGGCGGATGGGCAGCGCTGTAGTCGGGTCGGGAGAGGAGCGAAGGAGTGCCCCAGCAAAGAAGTACACCACCACCACGAGCAGTGAGTGACTGTGGAAACAGGTGGATTGTGATTATCAATTTGAGCTTAGATTGTGCACAACTTTATTTAGTATATAGAACTAAGGCTTCTCATTGAAATTCATTCCACCCATCAGTACGTGCTATCAGAGCTTAGTATCGAGGTTAGTACCATGTACCTCACCTGGGAGTCCCCCAACTATCAACATGGTACTTTGCCACGTTCGTACAGCAATGACATCACAAATTGCAGCTTGCACGGTCGGCATTCGATCTCCGATGGTGGAAGTGGTTGAGCACAGCTTCTCCATTCATTCCAGCTTCGATCCTGTCCTCATATTTTTTCCAAGTGCTATATAGACATACTGGCTTAGCACTTTCTTCTCACACATGTAGTTTCTCGATTTTCATTTAGTGGTTTAGTTTGACCAGTGTGTATAAGCATGACCATGCTTATATGGTATACACTATATTCAGACTGTATAGTTCCCAGAAGCCTGATCTCAATTTTGTATGTACTGCTGATGTGATTTTATTGACATGTGCCCTTGGTGATCAGTTTAGTGTTGTCTTCGTTGTGTATTGCTTGTCTCAGGTCGTGTTCTACTGCTCTCCTCTTACTCTGACTTTGTATTCAATTGGGTTGAAATTTAGCTGACATGTATCCAAAATTGTCTATTCGTCTTTACCGAGTCAGGCCTAGCTCTTGGGTCCTGCCTCCTAGCTATTCCCAAGCTTCTAGTACTTTTGTCAAATCTTTTTTTCAAACTGCGAGTGGAATTTGCCTCCACAGCTCCTTCCTCACTCCCGTGACGCGTCAATAGTTCTAGTTCCACCTGTGCCGCTGACTATCGTCCTCTGTACTATACCTTGACAAAAAGGTTACCGGTCTGTTTCCTCTATGCTTTATCGTGTATGTTTGGATCGTCTTCCCTAGTGCCTTGGCAAATCTCAGTACGTTATCCTATTTGTTCGGTTTTACATTGTTTGGCTTGGTATGATATCCACCACGATTCAGTTTCTGAGTTTGACAGCTATTACACTCTTCAGTGTGTACTGTTCTACTCTATCTCTTCCCATTACTTTTGGAATATAACTGCAGGACCCAGTTATCTGTCAATGTTATATATAACCTGGTTTAGAGCGGCCGTTAACGGTCAGCGGTGCAAGAGGTACACTGAGACACTGTACCAGGCGTAACCCGGACACCTTTCATCGTGTTGAGGAACTTGATAAATACCTCCAAAGGCTACCTCATTTTCCGGGTTGTGACTCAAGTATGTTTATTGAGACAAGAAAGAAATACATCTCAAAGGGATAGAGTAGCTTAGGCTATTTCTACCCCCCCTAATGTGACTCATACCTCAGACTAGGAGGTATAGTCTGAGACCGGGCCGCAGGCACGCTGATCCTTGGAACCTAACCCGTTATCCCCAGCGTTCTCAACGTCACTAAACCATTGTACTAAATTGTCCCAACCTAACCTACCCGAGGACCCACCAACAGAAAACGGGACATCACGTCAATTTCGCGAGCCGCGGCCATTTTTAGTTCACCAATTTTTGGCCTTCGATCCATTATACGTCAACATGCGATGTACTAGACAGGAAAACCTAAGTCATCACAAGGTAAGGTAATGTTATCAAATGTTGTAGATATTGCTCATATACGGGACATGCTCCCCGAACATTCTCAACGTATTCGTAAGCAGTAAACAAAAAAATCCGAGCCTAAATTTCCCAGCCTGTCTGCTTCACCCGCAGAGCCTCACACACCCACCATATCTCACACTCACATGTATAAATAACTAAATAACCCAACTCACATGAACAGAAAAGTGACGAGGTTCATATACACAAGAAACCTAACGTGTACAATACACTCTGGATTCGATTTTCAGCTGGACTGCAGCGAGTGTCGCGAAACAGACGTGTTGACACCGGGTACAATGTGTGTTCCCTGGGACAGTGTGGGCGGGAGCTGCCTGCCTGGCGGCGCTGGTGGCCACCAGTGTTCCCTGGGACAGTGTACACGCACCGCCGCCCGGGGTCTAGCAACCAGCGTCCTACAACTGGTTCAACATCATGACACAACGACACAAAATGCCTATTAACTGTTGCATCTCTCGCGCCCCACAAGGCCGCCCCCTTTCTTGTTATTCTCTGGATTTTTGTTTATACGTTTTTAAAGTACATTTTCTTTATCCAGTTTTGTTTCCTAGTCCAAGTAACATAATATTAATAGTTTATTTATAAAAATATATATATAAATTGGTTGTATTACACTGTATAGGTATACAGAAGATACAGGTGAATATAGCTAGCTTTTGCGCTGTACACTATACCTTTCATACACACCAAGATAGCAGCATAATAAAGTGTAAATAAGAGTGTTAATTTAATGCCATAAAGAAAGTGCCACCAAAATGCGGCATATGTTATGGGTGCGCGTCCTACTAAGGACTAGTAGCTTACTGATAACAAGTGTATTTATTTACACTACGAGCTCAAGGCAATGGAAGCCGTTTACAATCAAAACTTGGGAAGCCGCCGAATGTGGGATAGTCCACAAACATGGTAAACAAACAGGGAGGATTCCAATTTTTGTACAACACAGCTGAGAGTATCCGCCAACAGTGTCACCTGGCTATAATGCCCCACCAATACAGCGATAGTGAGCCAGCCACAGGCTTAGACCCCGCGCAAAATTTTCCTGAAAAAAAAAGCCCGTGACGACCACAACAAGCAGATAACACACTACACACCAGAGTTTTATCTTGTGTGTCGTCTACTGATTGAATTTGACGTGACTCACCGGCTGACTGACGATAAACACGGGTGATACTGCAATTGTTGACTCTATACGTTATTTGCTGAGTCTGCACATTGTACCTCGGCAAACCATAGTGAAATACTGGCACCATGTTGGTTCAGTTATCTGTGTGGTGTCATACTACTGTGAACCGTTGTTGTTGTTGTTGTTATAGATTCAGCTACTCGAAACAAGTTCCAAGTAGCACGGGCTATGGTGAGCCCGTAACACTGTGAACCTTTAATGCCACTGTCCCAGCTACATGTCGGCGGCGACACCTGCAGGTACACCATCACCACTACCATGTCTGGCGTCACAACACCGTTAACCACCTATAATCCTCTCCTCTTTATTAATTTAACATTATCAATAATATTTTACTATTACTATACAATTTTGCTATATTATAATAATTATTATAATCATCATCATCTGTGGTGTTATTTTCAATGCTTGCTGCTATTACCGATGTTCAATATATATCCGGCCTTTTGAAAAACAAAACTGTGCTTCTTTAACATGTAAATTACGCTTTGATTTTCCACTATACATCACTTCAAATTGTAAGACGAACGAATAAGACATTTTTGGCACTTTACACCAAAAATGTGTCGAGTTGGAGGTCACCAACGCCTGACAGCTGAGTGGACAGCGCTTCGGATTCGTAGTCCTGAGGTTCAGGGTTCGCTCCCCGGTGGAGGCGGAGACAAATGGTCAAAATGTTTCTTTCACCCTGATGCCCCCTGTTACCTAGAAGTAAATAGCTGAGTTAGCTGCTACGGCCCGCTTCCTGGGGAGGGGGGGTAACAAAAAAAAAAAGAGGCCTGGTCGAGGACCGGGCCGCAGGGACGCTAAGCCCCGAAATCTTCTCAAGATAAGATAACCACAAGATAATTAGACCTCTTTACGCCAATATTGTAACGATTCATTTAACTTGTTACTAATAATTTGATATTGTTATTCAGATGGTGTATTAATACGACAGAGCCAGTGCTGATAGTGATAAAGCTTATCATTATCAGCTATATTTAGTCTGGGTAATGTGGTAAACGGGCGGCGTGCTTAGGCTGCAGGCAGGAGGCGGCCAGGCATTAGCAATACTGGCGGTGCTCATCCACAATGAGCGGTGGGTCGGGGCGAGCGGTGGGTCGGGTCGAGCAGTGGGTCGGTGCGAGCGGTGGGTCGGATCGAGGGGTGAGTCGGGTCGAGCGGTGGGTCGGGTCGAGCGGTGGGTCGGTGCGAGCGGTGGGTCGGTGCGAGCGGTGGGTCGGATCGAGGGGTGGGTCGGGTCGAGCGGTGAGTCGGGTCGAGCGGTGGGTCGGTGCGAGCGGTGGGTCGGTGCGAGCGGTGGGTCGGATCGAGGGGTGAGTCGGGTCGAGCGGTGGGTCGGGGCGAGCGGTGGGTCGGTGCGAGCGGTGGGTCGGATCGAGGGGCGGGTCGGGTCGAGCGGTGGGTCGGGTCGAGCGGTGGGTCGGGTCGAGCGGTGGGTCGGGTCGAGCGGTGGGTCGGGTCGAGCGGTGGGTCGGGTCGAGCGGTGGGTCGGGGCGAGCGGTGGGTCGGGGCGAGCGGTGGGTCGGGGCGAGCGCCCAGGCCTGGCATAACAGAACACAATAAAAGCCAGGGACATTGAGCAAGTAATTAGGGCAAATGCTGAGTAAGGGAGCCAACACGCCAGTACTAACGTACACAATGCGTCTGTCCCTTACAAAGATATCTTGTTGATGCTCATTTGTTTAATGTTCTATCGAACATTTATTGAATGTGCGTTTCATGAGGCTTTGAAGAAAACATGATTTTGTGCATGTAAATACAATACATATTTTTGGGTTTTGGTGATTTCCTCAATCAACAAAACATCAAAAATCATTTCCTCACGAGTTCCTCCTAGTGAGGGGTTCCTCCTCATGAGCGGAGGAAACACTCACCATTAGAGGAAAAACTGGCGCCCTGACGCAAGCACACACACACACACACACACACATGACACAACAGGTATAACCCTGACACAAGCACACACACATGACACAACAGGTATAACCCTGACACAAGCACACACACACACATGACACAACAGGTATAACCCTGACACAAACACACACACATGACACAACAGGTATAACCCTGACACAAGCGCACACACACACATGACACAACAGGTATAACCCTGACGCAAGCACACACACACACATGACACAACAGGTATAACCCTGACGCAAGCACACACACACACGACACAACAGGTATAACCCTGACACAAGCACACACACACGACACAACAGGTATAACCCTGACACAAGCACACACACACACACGACACAACAGGTATAACCTGGGGAAACACACAAAATACATCACAACAACGCAGCACAAACGTTGACATCCAACCCACAAATCTGAAAATAAAGAACTTGAAGACGTTTCGGTTCGTCCCGGACCATCATTAAATGTAATGGGAAACAAGGCAATTGGTTGAGAAAGTAAATACATAATCTGCTAAATCTCATCAGTCGTCTGTTCCTGTGCCCACCTGTTAAAAAAATTATTTACTATATAATATATATATATATAGTTAAGATCACGAGGTGGGTAAATACTGATTAGAAAACAGTGTTGGTGATATATGGAGCAGATTACAGGATAACATAATACCCGTTACATCCCTGGATTTCAAGCCACGGGTACACATTCATGAGTTAGATTGTGTATATATAGGAGCGGCCTAGCAGGAGGCCAATAGGCTTTCTGCAGTTTCCTTTTTTTTTAGTTCAAATATTGTACTAAAATTACGAGAATGTAACATGTATCAATGCTATTTATACAAAATTTAACGTCCAAAAATTTGTATTGGCAATTAAACACAAACTGTGTCAATGCTAATTATGTTAACATTATATATATGTAAGTGATCATGTGTAGGGGTGAGACAGATGTTAATCTTCTTGTTTGAGGAGGTGTTCAGAGACAGTTAAGCAAGTCCCAGCTGTGTCTGGGTACAAGTGACAGGATGAACAACCCAGCGGGTTTTCTTCCTATTGGGGAGTGTTGTACATGCTGCTATGGCAGTGTGTCCACTCGCAGGATGAGTGGCGCTGCCCAATAAACTCGCCCCTCGGGGCAAAATTAAAAAAATTTAAATTTAAAAAATTAAACCAAGATAGTACTGTATAGGTAATGAGAGTGGTGATATGCTTTACAAGATTGTAAATACTATGCTATGTATTCTCTCTAACCCAATGTACCTTCTTGTATATAAATAAATAAATAAATAAATCTATGCAGATGTTGCTGCGGGAGCCGCCGCCCCACACCAGGGCCACCTTCGGGTTGATGGGGGCGGTGGGCGTTGTGGTCAACATCGTCCTCTTCTTCGCCGACATCGTCTCAGACGCCCTCCTCGCCTACGTCCTTTGGAAACAGGTAACTACGACGGCCGAACTTTAGCAGGTAACTTCCCTGATATACGTTACTGATAACTATGACGACACTATTGGTGACTAAGCAGGCGATGAGTCACAATAACGTGGCTGAAGTATGTTGACCAGACCACACACTAGAAGGTGAAGGGACGACGACGTTTCGGTCCGTCCTGGACCATTCTCAAGTCGATTGTGAATCCATTGTGAATCGACATTCTACAATCGACTTGAGAATGGTCCAGGACGGACCGAAACGTCGTCGTCCCTTCACCTTCTAGTGTGTGGTCTGGTCAACATACTTTTGGTGACTATGTCAATACTCTCCATTTTTAACTTTGATGCCATCTTATATCTTCTAGGTGACCACAGTGATAGTGTCTTTGTAAACAACAGTACAGTGACACTTGTGAGAGAATCACAGCCAGAGTTGATAAGTAACAATTATGTCAGTTTATAGGTTAAATCACGATGACGCTTCACAGGTAATGATACACACCTTACAGGTAACCACATCACACTTTCCAGGTAACCAGATGACACTTTACAGGTAACCCCATCACACTTTACAGGTAACCAGATAACACTTTACAGTAAATGTGATGACACATAATTACAAAAAACAAACTGAAATCACGGTTAACATAAATTTTGTAATGCCCATAAAATAAATAAATTTAATGTTGTTAAAGCAACGACGAGGTAGCTGTGTGGGGCCGTAACGACTGTGTTAGTATAGTGTAGATAATGAAGGTGTGTGTGTAGTGTATGGTGCTACAGTGTGTGTGTGTGTGTGTGTGTGTGGAGGAGCACTATAGGTGTACTGTGTGTTGGTGCAGGCCCAGCTGGAGGACAGGTTCCGGACGGAGCCAACCACCTGGTTCATCACCACCCTCTGTATCATCATCCTGCCCATGATTGTCATCAATATATTCAGGTATGAACTATCCTCTTTTTCTTCCCTAACAACCCACCTAATGCACTACGCCCATAATGTTATATATATATATATATATATATATATATATATATATATATATATATATATATATATCTCTATATATATCTATCTTTGGACAACACCCACCAGTGGGACTCGAACCCAGAAAGCACAACTACCTTCCAGTAGCTGCCATAACTAGTACGCTTTAACCCACTACACCATCAGACCCTACAAAAGAAGTAGAGACTTCGAGATATATATACATCTCAAATATCTCCACTTCCCGAGGGCACTAGACAAGTGTGAGGTTAGTCTGCGTTTTTCATCAAGCCACTGTCAATGTGAGAGAACTCGTGTCCATGCTATAAGCCTATACTTGCATAAACCACAAGTGAAGATTAACAATCTTTGGACAACACCCACCAGTGGGACTCGAACCCAGAAGTCTCTACTTCTTTTGCAGGGTCTGATGGTGTAGTGGGTTAAAGCGTACTAGTTATGGCAGCTACTGGAAGGTAGTTGTAGTCAGTTACATCACAGAACTGAATGTCAAACTATTATTATATTGCAACCTAAACAAAAATTAGTTTGAACCTTGTCTACCTTGCTTCTTGCAGCAATAGCAGTCGATCTCCAGTGGTACAAGAAGTTGAGTACCATTTCATCATATAGCAGCTCATATCCATTCTTATATCCCTTCTAGGTGCTACAGTCATACTGATTTGGTATCCTTATAATTACTTTACTTTACCTGAGCCCTTCTGCATAATCAATTTACTGTACCTTGAATAATAAAACCTACTGTTCAGAATTTTCCCAGGAACCAATCTTCACTTCTGTAGCATTAATTAGCTAATAAACAAAAGTTAAAACTATAATTTTCAAGAATTTTCTCAACATAAATGTACTTGGCAGTTTGTGGTGGTACTGGCAAAATAAGCACTGCCTGGGGGACTATTGTGTACTCCACAAGATGGGTACAACACAAGTCGTCGTCAGGGTCATATTACACATCCTCCTCCTTGGACCACTCATTCGGTGAGAACATATTTAAGAATGTACTATTCGTGGAAATGTATAATATAATCTGTATAATATAATAATATAATTATACACATATTATATATATATATATATATATATATATATATATATATATATATATATATATATATATATATATATATATATATATATATATATATATATAATATAATAATATAATTATACATATATATATATAATATAATATATATGTATAATATAATCTGTATAATATAAACAAAATGTATAATATAATCTGATGCCCAATATTTGGTTGAGTGCAATATATATACTGTACTGAATATAATTAAATTTAGAGATTTTTCTCGGTAATAACTTGTACAAAATATTTCTATATACTGTATGCAATTACTGTAGAGGTGATGTAACGGCAGGTACGTGGACATCCTAAGATATGGCATAAAGATGAAAAGAGAGGTAAAACATGTTGAGATGGGTCACAACGGTGCTGCTATACTAAGAAGAACACCCAAAGGGGAAGTTCATGCTGTTCTACAGATGGTAAGTGCTTGCATCCACTACCTAAGCAAACAGATATACTAATGAAGTACTGTACTCTTAAACTTTAAACAGTTTAAACTCTTAAACAGTATTCTTAAACTTTAGTCTCTTACTAAAGAGAGACTTAGTTACTTACATTTATTATCAACATGAAAGGTTTAAGTATAGTAGTAACATTATTTATGATGGAGTCTGTAAATGTTGTGAACATATTTTAAAGGTCCTGTAGCATAGTGGTCTACATTCTTGGATCATAACCAAAGGACCCGGATTCAATTTCTGGCCAGGACAAAAATGGTTGGATATTTCCTTTCACTTGATGCCTCTGTTCACCTATTAGTAAAAATGGACACCCAGAAATTTGGCAATTGTTGCGGGATGCCTTCTGGGAAAGGTAGGTAGTTGGTCGGGGGGGGGGGGGACCTCGATAAATCTAGGTACGGTACAGGCTTCCCATCACTGATAATGGGAATTACAGTATTTGAATGTATCATTCTGAGTTCTTTTAGTGATCAATCCTCATTTAGGCTGATGGTAATCATGGTTTGAAAAAAAATTACATCCTTCATACTCCAAAATTCACAGTACCATTCATTCTTATTCTGGCTGCAGGTAATCTCACGAGATACTGCCATGCTGGACATGATGCACAGTTTCCTGCAAGATGCTCCACAGCTCATATTCCAGGTGTTCCTCTTATACCGTAGTCCTGGAATCCTCACCGGCAAAGAAGATAACAGTACTTTAAGTCAGTCCACAGTAATCCTTGGTCCTTTTCTTAAAATCAATCTATGACAAAATGTGCTGCATGTCTGTTTATAACAGTTGTACATAAGAATCTAAATTTAAGTTAAAACTGAAAGCAAGTCAACAAATTCCAAATTGATAAGTTTAATTTTATCCTTCAGCAACAGCAGTTCAGTTATGGAAAATCGTGTTGGGAGTGTTTGCCATGTCATGGTCACTGGTGTCTTACCAAGATGAACTACGTCGTTCGGTACCAGATAAGGAGCAGCTGTCTTGTTGTGCTACAACTACCTGCCTCTTATGGCGTGCCTCTATGCTTATTTCCAGAATAATCACAATTGGATCATTTTCTGCAATACTTGTTGTAAGTTTATTCGTGAATATTTTAAAATGTTATACAGTTGAGAATAAAAATATTTTTAACAGTTGGGGCCAAGTGAATTTGGATCCATGAAGTTTCAAAATACAGTACTGTATTAATGAATGTTCTTTGCCAGCATATTAGCCTAACATAAGCCATCATTTTTTTATTTTTTTTTAATTCACAAATACTGTATATACCATATTTCACGATCAAAATTTTTTACTTAACACACATGCTAAAATTCAAGTGTTGAATGTAATGAAACTCCCTTTTCTGGGGGAGACCTCAGCAACTCCCAGAGCTATATTCTGGTCCAGCCAAGCCTTAGGGAGCTGCACGAGGCCTGAGAACCACCCTTGTCCAGGACCAGACTTTGGCTCTGTTTACAAGGCGAGGGGAACTGGAGGGTCAGATTAACAAAAACTGAGAGAAAGCCCAACCAGAGAACATAGAAGTACTATAACAAACATTTGCTCTCCATATGTATTGGGGCTTATCACGTTCATTAAAAGTGCATTTGGGATGTATAAGTGATTGTTAAGTGTCTATGGCTGCCTACGCTTTTTTCCACCAGAACTGTATAGTTGGAATTTAGGTTTTGTTCAGCCGAGGTGATTTCCTATTGCAGTACAGTACTACACCTGGTATGACTGCCTGTCTGCTTGTCTGTCCAGATGTCTGGTTTCCTCATTGGTGTCTTGTTTATGTTCTTGAGATGGATTTTAACTCTCTCATCAGTTTCCTTCACATGACTGAAATTTACAGATAGTAGCAAACACCTTTTTACTTGTTGATGCAGGGCTGCCTTCTTTCCTCCTCGAAGCTGTGTTTGCCTATCACTGGCTATGGGGAAGGGGAAGTGAGCTCTAGCTCTTTATGCCCTGCCTACTAGCCGTGTTGCACCCATTTTGTTATAGACTAACTATTCTAACATTCAAAATCTTTGTTAAACCTGTCCGTAAAGTTGTGGATGGAAGTGGCTTCCACAACTTATTCTCTCAAATGCACTCCACTTGTTGACTACTTGTACAGAAAACAAGTATTTCCTTACATTATTTTGGCTCATTTATGTTTCCAGCTTCCATGTGTATCCTCTTATCTTACTTTCTCTCATATTAAAGAGGCTATCCTTGTCTGCCTTGTCCGTTCCCCTCAGTATCTTGTATGTTGTGATCATATCTTGGGTCTTATTTTTACCTTTTTTCAATTATTGCATATGATTTTTATCTTGCTCTCTTATATTCCAGAAACCACTACAGGATCCTACATCTGTTTTCTGGCTTTGGTCGACAGATTCCCATGGAAAATTGATCATATCATATCCCATTGTGACTGCATGTGTCTTGGCAGGCCACTGGCTCATAATGACTGCATGGATACATGCACAGGTATGTAGAGAACAGCTTTTTCATTATATAAACATTCATCCTTTACCATCCTTGATGGAATTCAATCTTGTTTAAACATTGCTTGTAAGTTAAAATAGCATTGCAATATTAGTCAAAATAAATACATTATTTAATGTTGACTGGCTAATATTATGGGCATTTAAATCTTAAACCAATATCCGTTCTGTCTAATCGTGTGCTGCAAAATCTCAAGCCTTCAGTTGGCTTTTATATCCTCTTCCAAGAAAAATCAAGTCAACCTTTTTTGGATGACCTCAGTAACTCCTCAGTGCATTGGCTCTGATATCACAAAGACAGACACAAAACTACCAGGCCTGTGGACTTTCACAGGCGTACCAAACACCAGGACCAGAGTCTGGTGTCGAAAGAGGCAGAGGAAGTATGGGGCTTCAAGATTAAACCAAAACTGAGTAAAACTACCCAGAAAGTACAGGCAAAGCAAAACAAAATTTGCATCTAGAATAAAATGAGAAAAGATGGATATATGGTAAGCAATAGCTTTACCTGTTTCAACAAACCATGCACTAGTACCCAATGCAGACGATGAGTCATAATAACATGGCTGAAGATATGATGACCAGACTACACATCAGAAGACGGAGAAATGACAATGTTTCCATCCATCTTAAACCATTATCAAGCTCACACACGACTTGATAATGGTCCAGGACGGAATGAAAGTCGTTGTTTCTCCATCTTTTGATGTATAGTTTGGACATCACTAGTACACAAGTTCAGCTCAGGTCACCCAGGGGTCCAGTCTGCATGTACCCTTCACTTAACAGAGCATGCCAGGCATTAAGCCTACAACACCCCTGGGGCTCAAACTCAAGAAGAGGGAAAGGAGAGCATTAGGAATATTAGCCACTGACTGCTACCCCCATCCCCCTCAAAACATAAAACCCAGCAGTTGCTAGAATAAAGGTAGAGTCTGACGTCACTAGGAAAAAATGTATGGTGGTAACTGGAATTTACAGTGCCTAGCATTTATTTGTATTAGTCTAAATGTTTAGTTTTAATAGTTAAAATGTCAAGTTTGATTTATTTTTGTAATGTTAATTTTTATGTTTCATTTGCTAGCAAGTATCAAGTATCTTTAGTTGTTATAAAATAAAATTTGTCTGTGTGTAAAATAGATTTCCTGCACATTTTCGTGAGTGTAGTGTCGCCGCCCTCCACCTACAGAGGGGAGCTCGAGCTAGTAGGAGGCAAAGATGTGAGTGAGGTGTCTGCCTCAGTGTTCCCATTATTATTTGGGAATATATATATATTTACTGTGTTATTAACACAGTAAATATATTGCATTGCACTGACTAGACAATCAACACATGGTGATAATTGCACTCTGAGGGTTAAAGCTACATTTATATTTAAAAGAAAAACATTTACAAATTTGTTTAATTCAAATAAAGCTTCTCAAATCAATAAAGACTAATATTATTATTTTTCTGTTAGAAAACAACATTTTGTGCCCAGGAAAACAACAGTACCAATCCAGTACTGGAGTTCTTGTACAACTGTGTCATGGGTCTTGTACACGTCTTCTGCTACATCAATGTCAAGGACACACCTTCCCGTAAACGAATGGTATTCTTCTATGCCTTCTGCCTCATTGAGAACTCAGCAATGATTGCTGTCTGGTATATTAAGGTAGGTATAAATTGTCAAAATGTACTAGCATCCACAGTTGTCCCAACCACTTGGGCTGGACAGTGGAGCGAGTCTTGCTTCATGCAGGCTGGAGTTCAATCCCTGACCATCCAAGTGGTTGGGCACCATTCCTTCCTCCCATCCTATCCCAAATCCTTATCCTGATCCCTTCCAAGTGCTACATAGTCGTAACAGCTTGGCACTTTCTCTTGATAGTGCCCTTGCCTTCCCACAGTTGTTCTTATTTCTGAATTTAGATATAGTATTTCTCTATCAGACTAAAGCTATAGAATACGTTTAGCGAGATATTTTGAACTAATCAATCATCTCTGGCACAATAACAATATCACTATTGCCCCTAGAGAGAGATAGAAGAAATGTTAAAATATTGTACTATAAACTAAGCTACTGTATATAATAAGGCTCAACATGTGTAATGCACATCCTATTTCTGTGTGCCTATTAATATATGTACATATTGTACAATGATATAACTGACAAGTAGATGAGAACATTTTACAAGCAGACTAATGTGGAAATAGTTAGGCAAGTTTAATGAACAACAAGCAATTTTTAGGAAATGACTGATTAAATACTGGAAGCAATACTAAAGTGACAGATCACAGTTTAAAAAATGTATAAGAGTGCAACTGCTGTATACTTTAACACCTGACACAATTATGTTAATACTTGGATTTACCCTCCCACAGATGGTGGACTACCCAGAAACACTTCGTGTGGTAGTTGTATTTGCTGTGGAGGTCCTGTGGGTGATAGGAGTGTGCTGTGTCATTGGGTATTACTCATTTCTTCACCCTGACCATAACAATATTGTTCATCTAAGTAACCAAGCTTCGTGGCGTCGGTGAAGTTTCCTCTACAACAATTCGTAACGGCTAATGCACAAACTGCTCTTAGCCAATTCAGTACATATTTTCAACAAATATTATTGACGAAAGTTGTTTCAAGGCTGAGTAAGATTTTAAACATTAATCATCTACATTTCATATTCACTTTCTAAATTTCACACAAGAATTCACTCATTATGGGCATGGCATGTTTTAGTACTGTATATATATATATAAAACACTTCCTATTTGTCAATTACTTCATCATTTCCCTTTTACTTTCCTCCTGACTATTATTAATAGCTATAAATGAATGATAACCTTAATATAAAGAAAGGAAAAATTCAATATAGCTTCATTTAATGAAACAATTAACTTTATAAAATACTTATAAATACTTGATGTATTGTATTCTTTTCTCTAATGCCTTTCTTCCCAAGCAGCTCCTATCCATGCGGGTGGCCATGCCCGAACAGTCTCCTGGTAACCATCTCTAAGTTTACTCTTTACCTTTTATGCCATCATCAAACCTAACCCTTCACTTTTTACATTTTCATGATATTCTAAGATAAAACTACTGTACTATAAACTGTAAGACAATACAATTTTATATACCATACTGTATTATAAGTTTGTGATTTAAATTTCATTTTATCAAATGTTTTCAACACATTAGACTTCTCAGCAAAGGCATAGTTAGTTACCCTTGTAGTGCAGAGGCCACAACTAAATTTGTACAAGTCTAGCTATCTTGGACTCTGAAGTCACTATTACAGTCTGTCTGAGACTCAACAGGAGTATGCAACAGAGCAGTAATAATGCAATCATGAGTGCCAAAAAAAACTGCCATCTGTCCCTGCTAACTGCATCGAGAATTCTCTGATATATTTGTTGTCTTAGTCAGGCATAAAGCCATTCACAGATGTTGTGTGGGTCACTAAACTAAGAGTAACATGTTTATACATTATGAATCCCTTAAAATAAACTTATTAGTGACCAGTGGGTCATAATATAATACAGGTTTTTGCAATAATGTTCAGCGAGGGGCAAGTTCATTATTTTTTTATCATTTTACCATTTTAGTCAATCTTAGAGAATGATCAATGTTTGATTACCCCTCTGTCTATTAATTACTAAATATTAATAGTAATGTGGTGATCATTCAAGCACTAAGCTATAATGGTTATAAATAACATTCTGTGGATTAGAAAAACTAATAGTTGAGCATCTTTGAAGAGGGATACCATAGACCCTTAAAAACCAAAGGGGAAATGCATTCCTAGAAAACGTGTAACAAATCTGCATAAACTGAACTTAACACATGTGGATAAATAAGGATATTGTAGCTTTCAGAGGCTAAAGAATCTTCACGTTTAAATAAAAAAATATGTGAGTACAGGTATTAAGAAGGTAACACCCCTCTGATGTTAATCATCTCTGCATGCTGTTATTTATTGGATGATTATTCGAGTTGGAATTACTTGGTACTTGTTCACATATCCTGTGAAGTCATACACATGCTAAATCGTCGACAATCTCCTCCAAACAGTATTCATTGTGCTGTTTCATTACTTCTGCCCATGCACACTTTAGGTTCTACAGCATCATGAAAACCATGCTACATAAACTGTCAGCTAGATAAAGAGGCAGACATACAAGCAGGTAAGCATACTTTCAGCTTGGCAGGAAAGACATGAGAAGAGCTAGACACTCAGTCATCATCTGGGGGTTAAGTGCAAGGTTGAGATGATGCTTTGAAATCTTTAGTATTAATGATGTGCTTTGCTATAGAGGAATCTCGAACATGGAGCTTCAGAAGACCACATCTGGAGAGAGAGAATGGAGGCATAGAGAACCCAATTCAGGAAGTCAAGGTCCTCAACTGACAAATCCACATGGAAGAAATTGAGAAGTGACAACATTAGATGAACAATTCTACAAACTCTTCCCCACTGCAGACAGAGGATTGTCTATCATCCAAGAAGAAGCTAGGGCTTTGTACTGAAGTTAAAAGGCAGAAGATAAATAAAACATGAGTTGAGCAAAACTGAATTTTGGCTCACTTTCTTCAGGAAGAAAAGCTTCAAGTCCTGTTGAGTATGAACAGCAGGTAGAATCTTTTGCGCACTGTAACATCATCATCCACCAGTTGTGCAACAAACTAGACTAAGGGTAGAAATGAGGTATGTAGTATGATAAACTGACCAGATGGATAAATAATTCTCGAACCAAGAAATGTGAATGTTCAGCATGGAAACCAACCACCAAATAATGCCAAAAGGAATCAGGCCATATTCTCTAGCACCTCAAGCTGCAACACAAGGTAAAATCTCTCATTTGATCACTATATTGGGTCACTGCCCACATACAACACTTGGAAGGAAGAGAATACTCCCTACCCCTTAGATATGATGGTAAGGAAATAGAACAGCACCACAAGGTGGTCCAGGAAGCAAGACATTCGTATTACACTTGTCAGCGATACAGGTCTATAATTGAGGGGGGTCTTCCCTGCTGTCACATTGGTTGATTGGAACTATCTTAGCCTTTTTCCACACATCTGCTATGACTCCTGTACACAGGAGTACAGGACAGTGTCCTGTACACTGTCCTGTCCTCCACCACCCCCCTCCAATCCCCTTCTACCCCACCACCCCCTCCAATCCCCTTCTACCCCACCCCCCTCCCTTCTATTCCTTACCCTCCTTTCTCCCCCACCCCCAAGCCCTCCATTCTTCCTCATCCCCCTAAGCCCCCCCTTCTCCCCCTAAGCTTCCCTTCTCCCCAAAAGCCCCCCCTTCTCCCCCTAAGCCCCCTTTTCTTCCCCCCTCTTCTGCCCCCCAAGTCCCCCCTCCTCTCCTGCCCCCCCAGGCCCTCCCTTCTCCCCCACCCACCCAAGCCCTCCCTCCTCTCTTAACCCCCCCTAGCTCCCCCCCCCTCACCCAAGCCTCCCCCTCTCCCCTACCCTCCCCCCCAAGCCTCCCCCTCTCCCCCACCCACCCAAGCCTCTCCCTCTCCCCCACCCCTCCCATGCCCTCATTCTTCCCCACATCCCCAAGCCCTCATTTCTCCCCCCATACCCCCAAGCCCTCCCTCCTCCACCACCCTCCCCATACCAAATCCTTCCAGCCCCCACACACCCCAGATCCCCCAGGTCCCCCTTCTCAGGCTCTCCCAGCCTGGACCCTCCCTGTTTCCATACTTCAGGAGAATCAACAGAAACTGAGGAAGGTCAGAAGAGAGTCAGTCTCAAGGTGATGTACTCGAATATAGATGGGATTACAAGCAAAGCAAGTGAACTAAGGGAAAGAGCACAATAGGTGAACCCTGGTGTAATTGGACTCGCAGAAACAAAACTCTCAGGAATCATAACGAATGTAGTGTTTCCCCAGGACTACACAGTAATAAGGAAATGGAGGGAAGGACAGGGAGGAGGTGGAGTGGCCCTAATAATGAGAAAGGAATGGAGTTTCGAGGAGATGGTAATCCCGGGCTGCAAGGGGTTCAGAGACTACATAACAGGCACCATGACGATGGGAGGACCAAGAGTAGCAGTAGCAGCGATATATAACCCTCCACCAAACGACAGAAGACCCCAAGCAAGAGTATGATAACAACATGGCAGTTAACACTATAATTGAGAGGGCAGCCGCTGCTGCCTGTAGAAACAGATCCCACCTGCTCATCATGAGGGGACTTCAATCACGGAAAGATAGACTGGGAGAACAAGGAACCGCACAGAGGTGAGGATACATGGAGAGCTAAGCTATTGAAGTTGGCGACAGAAAACTTTTTCAGCGAGCATGTCAGGAAACCCACAAGAATAAGAGGCAATGATGAACCAGTGAGATTCGACCTAGTCTTCACTCTGAACTACTCCGACATAAGGGGAAATCTGTTACGAGGCCCCAGTAGGAATGAGCGATCACAGTGTATTGACATTTGAGTATCTGGTCGAAGAAGGGTTAATGAACTCGAGGAAGGGAACTGAAAACAAAAGGCTGGCATTCCAAAAGGAAAACTATGAGGAAATAAGAAAATTCCTGACATATAACATGGGAAAGAGAGCTTGGGGGAAAGATGGCCCAAGACATGATGGACTATATCATGCAGAAGTGTAAGGAGGCAGCAGACAAGTTTGTCACAGTCCAAAAGGAAAAAAAAAACGAAATGCAGATGAGAAACCCATGGTTTAATCAGAGATGTAGGCTAGCTAAGCAACGAAGTACAAGGGCGTAGAGAAACTATAGAAATAACAGGACACTTGAGAGCAGAGAAAGATACCAGAGTGACAGGAATGAATACGTCAGTGTGAGAAGAGAGGCTGAAGGGCAACACGAAAATGACACACCGAGCAAGGCAAAGATGCAACCTAAATTACTCCATAGCCACATCAGGAGAAAAACAACTAAAGAACAGGTAAGGAAAGGGGCAGACAGATTCACTACAAATGACAATGAAGTATGTGAGGAACTGAATAAGAAATTCCAGGAAGTCTTCACATTAGAGCAAGGAGAAGTTCCAGAGATAAGAGAGGGAATAGGTAAACCAGGCACCACTAGAAGAGTTTGGGATTACCAGCGGGGATGTAAGGAAGCTCTTGCTACAGTTGGATGTGACAAAGGCTATAGACTCAGACGGAATCTCCCTTTGGATCCTAAGGGAAGGAGCAGGAGCACTGTGCTTACCACTCTCCATACTGTATAACAAATCACTGGTATCTGGGGAACTGCCAAAAATTTGGAAGACGACTACTGTAGTCCCGATATACAAGAAGGGGAATAAACAGGAGACACTGACCTACAGGCCAGTGTCCCTAACTTGCATACCATGCAAGTTGATGGAGAAGATTGTGCGAAAAAAGCTAGTGGAACATATGGAGCGAAGGAACTTTGTAACACATCAACATGGGTTCAGGGATGGCAAATCCTGGCTCACAGGATTAATTGAATTCTATGAGCAGGCAAGAAAGAGAAGGGTGGGCAGACTGCATATTTTTGGATTGTCAGAAAGCCTTTGACACAGTACCACACAAGAGGAAATTGCCCTCATTTGTTTCTTACAACCTCAGATCCAGTAACTCTAACATTCTATACACCAAACAATCCCTACCACATCAACTTCTGCCAGAAAAACAAACTGCCGGTCACCAATATCATGGAGTGAGGATCAACTCTGTTCTCAATGTATTTAATCTATATGCTCCAGCAGGAAAGTTAAATTATATTTATCTTCCGGCCTGCGCTCAAGCAGAGCCTACCATCATTCTTGGTGACTACAATGCTAGACACAAGAACATTAGTGGCTCTCGCTTCAGTAACGGTAACGGGAATCAACTGCTGTCGCTACTAAATAGTCACCAAGATGTGCAGATTGTGGGTGACCTTGAACCCACGCATATTTGTGGAGGCATTCTAGACCTCTGTGTTGGTTTCAACGTCTCTCACGTCTGGTGCACATTATCTATTGTAACAGATTTGTTGTCAGATCATCACCCTAGATTGACTGCTCTATGTATCTGAAATACCATCCTGCCCGGTGGAACTTTTAAACCCAAGCGGCTCAGTGTTCCTCCTGCTCGACGTGAAGACTTTGTTGCTCATGTGTCAGAGTGGTACAGCACTTATGATCCCTCCACAGTCCAGACATTTAACGACGGTCTAGTACAGAGCATTCAGATGTTTGCTGACCCTTTAGGTCGGCCCCCTGCACCATCCAATAGTCGGAACGATATGAAAAGTAATAAACGCCATGCCTATTACAATGACCCCAAACTGCGTACTTTGAAACGGGCTGCCAGACGAGTTGGGCTTGCATATAGGGAAACCTGTACGCCAGCAATGCTCAAATTCTTTCAGAAAGCCCTGGCCAAGGCGAGGGAGCGCATGACAGAGCTTAGGCAAGATAAGCTTTGCCCATCCACTTGGAGTGGACGGTAGAGCGACGGTCTCGCTTCATGGAGGTCGGCGTTCAATCCCCGACCGTCCACAAGTAGTTAGGGCACCATTCCTTCGCCCCCCCCCTTCCCAAATCAATATCCTGACCCCCTTCCCAGTGCTATATAGTCGTAATAGCTGGGCGCTTTCCCCTGATAATTCATTACTGACGGTCTTAGCCTCCACCACCTTCTCACCTAATTTGTTTCAACCGTCTACCACTCTGTTCGCAAAAGTGAATTTTCTTATATTTCTTCGGCATCTGTGTTTAGCTAGTTTAAATCTATGACCTCTTGTTCTTAAAGTTCCATGTCTCAGGAAATCGTCCCTATCGATTTTATATCGTTCGTGTGTGCGTGTGTGTGTGTGTGTGTGTGTGTGTGTGTGTGTGTGTGTCAGTAACTTCAAATTCACATAAATGATACAAAATTAACAAGAATATCCTTTACAATTTAAGCCACTTTAAATAAGCAAAACTATGCATAGCCACTACAAAGAGATATTGGCCCTTAGGTAAAGTTAGGTAAATAATGCCTAAGTAATTGTGCCACAACACCTGCATCACAAATCCTTACACTAAACAATACGTGGCAGTTGCCTCTTATCCTGAGTGTGCATGAAGAGTAGTAAGTTACTCATCTTAAACTCCAGCTGGGGCCAGATTCACGAAAGCACTTACGCAAGCACTTACGAACGTGTACATCTTTCCTCAAACTTTGACGGCTTTGCTTACATTTATTAAACAGTTTACAAGCATGAAAACTTCCCATTCAACTGTTGTTATTATTATAAACAGCTTCCTGGTGCTCCGGAGCTCATTAACTGTTTAATAATTGGAAACAAAGCCGCCAAAGATTGAAAAAAGATGTACTGGTTCGTAAGTGCTTGCGTAAGTGCTTTCGTGAATCTGGCCCCTGGTACTCAAATATTAAGCAAATTACATGGTTAATTCTACATTCCAATCAGTTACCAGAGGACAGCCTTTGTACCCATGAGCTGAACAGTTAACCACTATAGTCAACTGTAAAAGTACTGTATATACAACTAACAAGTATGGGCACATCTCATTATATTGACATCAAGAAATAAACAATAATTTAGTTTGATATATGTCAAGTGTGTACTTCTTTGTATGGATATTATCTTACAGTTATTACCCAACATAATGAGAGACAAGGCAGCTAAAGCCGCACGCAGTAAACCTGAAACCGGACTAGACCTAAGTATTCCAACCTTTGTCCTCAAAACTACACCACTCAAAGAAACTAGGGCTCACACAAGAGCAAAAACTGGTGCCCATATAGCAGAAAGCTATATAGCGGAAAGCATAACTGTAGTATAAAGAACTACAATATCTTTTCAACTGAGAACTATATGTATGGAGAGCATAAGTCATCCACCAGGCAGTGTGACACTGTACTTGTCAGAATAAGGCTGGGACACCAGTATTATGGCTGGTTGCTGCCGTAATGACTCTCGGCAGTGAGCACTACTCCAAACTGCTGGCGATGAGTCACAATAGCGTGGCAAAAGTAATTTGACCAGACCACACACTAGAAGGTGAAGGGACGACGACGTTTCGGTCCGTCCTGGACCATTCTCAAGCAGCATACTTGGCCCTCTCCTCTTTCTCATCTACATTAATGACCTTCCAAATGCCTCCCAACACCTCAAACCAATTCTATTTGCTGACGACACAACCTTCATTTACTCCAGTCCTGATCCCCTTGCTCTAAATGCCACAGTAAATACTGAGCTAAATAAAGTCCATCTGTGGCTAACTGCCAACAAACTCACCCTTAACATTGACAAAACTTTCTATATTCTGTTTGGCAATAAATCCTCTAATCAAATAAATCTCAAAATAAACAATACCCAAATTTGTAACAAATTAGATGGCAAATTCCTTGGCATTCTCATTGACCACAAGCTGAATTTCCAGGGACACATTCTAAACATATCAAAAAAGTTTAAAAAACTGTGGGCATTCTTTCTAAGATCAGATATTATGTACCACGCCCTGCCCTGGTGACTCTCTATTACTCCCTTATCTATCCATATCTCAACTATGGTATTTGTGCTTGGGGCTCTACTACCCAAAATCATAGATGATCGACTTGAGAATGGTCCAGGACGGACCGAAACGTCGTCGTCCTTTCACTTTCTAGTGTGTGGTCTGGTCAAATTACTCCTCCAAACTCTAAGACCATGAGCTGGGACACACTTTTGAACACTATACTGGATTACTGGTGAGTGATCTTTTTTTTTTTAGATATATACAAGAGTTGTTACATTCTTGTACAGCCGTACTCATACGTCAGGCTGCGAGCAGCCTGGTTGATCAGTCCAGCAACCAGGAGGCCTGGTCGACGACCGGGCCGCGGGGACGCTAAGCCCCGGAAGCACCTCAAGGTAACCTCAAGGTAACCACTAGTACGCGTAGCATTTCGGGCAGGTCCCTGGAATACGATCCCCGCCGCGAAGAATCGTTAAATCGTATCGTATTAATCGTATCTGTTATCAATGATTTTAGACCAAATGGTATGAGATGCACTGAGCTTTGTAACTATTGCATTCACTCGCGGATATAGGAAGATATTCTCTAATTTAATGAAAGGTTTGCTAGTACCGGCTAGTAGGCTAGATTCACATCCCATGTTTTTCTTCAATTCTATCTAATATCCTCAACTTTTGAGATGGGGATATTGCTTTGTTGAATGTTCTTTCACAAGCTCCTGTTATTAAATGCCAAACACTTTTGAAACATTCCGCAAATGAAAAACAAACATGCATTAAACCCAGAATGTCACTATTCCACAACTTATTTAAAAAAAAAAAAAAAAAGTACGTCTGATACCATACTACTTGTGAAGGAGGAAATGTATATGTTTATCTCTCTGAATGTTTGGTAATATGTTTATTGTTTGTGATGTGTGTATGTATGTATTTAAACGATGTACTGAACGGGGTGAGAATAGCTTGAGCTACCTCATCCCTTTGTGTGTATTTTACATCAATAAACTTATTTCAATTTCAATTTCAATTATTTAAAATTTCTGCCCGAAACGCTGCGCGTATTAGTGGCTTTACAAGAATGTAATTGCTATGCTATGTATCCTCACAATCCCAATGTACCGTCTTGTATATATATAAATAAAATAAAATAAAAAACAAAATACTTTAGCCTACCAATACCAACATTTTCTCATACTCCGTCCCCGCAAGCATTCCAATACTCACGTATCAGTCTAAATATCCAATCCCCCATCTCCTTCGAAGAATTATAAATTAAAAGGCAATTACCTGTATTTTTCAAATTAATATTTAGGGATTTTTGTGATATTACTGATCACTGAAGATAAAAATGCAAAACTCAACAGAGTTGAGGCAGGAGTGAACGCGCGCCTCCCCCACCCTCCCCTCCGTGAACAGCTGACGACAACAACAACAATGGCCAGCTCCAATGGATACTACTCTAAATTCTATTCGACTTTCTCCCGTTTCCGGAAAAGGAGCGTATGGAGTGACTCTGGTAGAGTGCTCTTGGGGATAAACGTGATTCAGCTGTTCGAAAACCCTGACGCCATCGACCGAGACTTGAGGACAGTGAAGCAGGCGGACGAAATCCAGAACACCGGCAAACACCGCCTGAAGCTCATGTTCTCTTACGACGAGTACGGGAACCTGAGCCCTGAGCTCTCTATGGTAAACACGGAGCTTGGACCAGATATACCCAGCCTTAAGGCCACGATGGTCGGCTCTCTTCTCAAACATATATACCACAACAGTCTCCCTGGTAGCATCTAAATTGACCAAGTCTGGTATCTCATTTAAAGACTTTTATGCAGTCCGTCTAATTACCACAAGCTACACAAGCTTCACAAAGCTTCAGAAAGCTTATGTTAGTAATGAATAAATATGCTATATTTACTCATTATAATGTTGGTGCTGAATGTACAACATGAGAAAACAATAAAAATATACTTTTTCAGATTAAAATTAAGAAATTAGACGAAAATAAAGAGCTGGTGACGCCAAATAAAGTCGACGATCCAAGCGTCGGTTAGGTTAGGTTAGGTCAGCCAAACCTAACCTATCATATTTATTCATTACTAACGTATTGCCAGGAAGCTTTCTGAAGCTTTGTGAAGCTTGTGTAGCTTGTGGTAATTAGACGGACCCCTTTTATGTATTTATTGTGGGGGGGGGGGGCCTGCTTCTCTTTCAGTTTTGCTCGTTTTGAATGTGTTAGTCTTTGAACAAGAGCACTCCAATTGTAGTGACAAGTACAATCTCCACATTCCCTATATTAGACATCCATGATTTGAACAACAAAATTTTAAATTTGTTAACATTAAATCACTTTACAGTTACTGTATTATGTTATTTATTTCTGGCTAAGGATTAAATGTGTGTTCTTTAAACCTTATAAGAACAACATGTACAATTTTTCCCACCTTTGACTTTATCTTCGAGTCAATTGTAAAGCTAATGTTTAGTTGGCAAGACCCATATATGGTATTTCTTAGCCAAATAAACAATTTGGCTTTTTCTTAATACTATACATTACAGTACAGTATTAGAAATCTATCTAGTCATTATCAGGAACAATCATGGATACGTATATAATGTTCTTGACATCCAAATTTATTCCTAAATACAATGTCTACTCTTAGCTTGTAATATCTTACAAATGCTATTTAATTTATAGAAACTCTTTAATTACCCCTAGTATTTTTTATTTTCTCCTTACCCCACCCCTACCTAGTACCTAAGCACTAGTACACACGACATGTCCTTCCTTTTTATAGCTAGCCATTTCTAATTTTGTACACCTTATAGTGTAGCTTTAATATTAATACCCTTATTACAACTTTCCTCCCTACAGGTTGTGCAAGGTTGCATGTTGGGAGTTTTCACAGGATCAATAATTGGAGGTACTATCCACTCAAAAGAAAGTTTTGTTACATTTATTGAAAGAAACCAAGGAACTGCATTTAGAAGCAACTTTGAGGCACAAAAAGAATTACAGAATAAGGTAAGAGACAATGAAATTGTTGGTAATTAAGTGAGAATCATTACTGGCTGAGGACGACATCTTGCTGAAGTTTAAATCTTGTTGATACCTTTCACACGAGTTGCGTATATATACAGTATAGCAAATTTCATTCACAATAGCCCCTGAAGTGTAAATGTTAAATAATAATACTTGCAATCCATTCATCTGGGCTATATGGGTCTTGAACCGTGGACTGTAAGGTCATAGCACTATCGACTGGGCATTCCAGGTGAATGGAATGTTTATTTCCATGGAAGTATGGATGACAATTTATATTACTTGCAAAAGTTATTTTTATTTGTTTTGTTTCTGTGCCCCTGTAAGCTGATGTATCCATTACAGTAATGTGAAAATTATAATTTCTCACCACACATATATTGCCACTTTTAAATTTCTGAGAGGGCACCCTTGGTAGCTCCATGACTTAAGCACTGGTTCAGCCACGCCTTAGGGAGATGCATCAGACCTCTGAGACACACCTTGCCTACTGGAAGCAAAGACCAGAATATGGTTTGCTCTACAAGGTGAGGGAAGCATGATGATCAGAGGACAACACAAAATTAAAAAGAAATAAAAAAACACCAGAAGACATGTTCAACAAAACATGCAATAGATGCAAGAAAATTAGGTACCCACACTACATAAGGCAAACAATCATAGCTGCTGGAAAATACTGTGATGCGCTGGATGTGACCACCAAGTAGCAGCCCAAGCCAGCCTAAACTCCAGTCAACCATTCCCCTCATTAACCAGCCACCCAAAGAGAACTTCCAGGCAATTATTTACAAAGTCTGCCAGTGGGCCAAAGAAAACAATGTTTGGTGAAGAAGTACCAAACATTGTTTGGTGATTCACCACACAAATCACAAGAATTCCAGCTGTTGTGCTATGGAAAAAAAAATTAAAACTGGAACCATATACAAAATGCAATAAAGTCATACTCAAGTGAAAGAAAAATTAAAACAGCAAAGTGATTATGCCAGATCTCTTATTTAAAAACAACAAAGTAACTATCTTAACTGCAACAAAAATTATAGGTTGGGTAACAAGAACCTTCACAGTAAGAAATTAGCCTGTGATGACATTTTTAAAATATTATTCTCTGTGGTGGAAAAATGTTGCATATTAACTGTTCCATTTAAGACTGGAGAAGTTACTGGCCTGTAGAATGTACCATCAACATTCACTGTCTGAATTCATTGAATAAACACCTAATTACTGTGAATGCGAGAAAAAAAATCCTTCAAACTGTATTCCCTGGAATGCAGGCAAGAGATTTATAGATACTATAATTTACACCTGGAAAATATAAGATGGATCCATTCCAAATCTCCACACTGAAACAATTTCTTACAAGATCAGGAGGCATGACAGAATGTACAAAATAGACCTATTGAGAAGTTGGTGTAAAATGAGTACAGATCTGCACACTTAAAAAGCCTTGGGCCTATTATATATTTCTCTTAACACCCTCTTTCTAAATATAAGCAGCATTACTAACAGACCTCTAATCATGTTCAAGAGAACTTAATCAGACCATCAAAGCCAGAAAAAAATGAACATACTATATATATACACATGGGCACCATACAACCGCCGCATTTGTGTATATATCTTAAGCAGCACATCGACAAACAGGAAAAGGTGCAAAGACATGCCACTAAGTGGCTCCCAGAACTGAGGGAAAAGAACAGCGAGGAGAGGTTAGAGGCATTAAATATGCCAAAACTAGAAGACAGAAGAAAATGAGGTGATATGATCACTATGTACAAAATAGTAACAGGAATTTATAAAATTAATAGGGAAGATTTCCTGAGACCTGGAACTTCAAGAACAAGAGGTCATAGATTTAAACTAACTAAACACAGATGCCAATGAAATATAAGAAAATTCACTTTCGCAAATAGAGTAGTAGACGGTTGGAACAAGTTAGGTCAGAAGGTGGTGGAGGCCAAGACCATCAGTAGTTTCAAAGCGTTATATGACAGAGTGCTGGGAAGACGGGACACTATGAGCGTAGCTCTCGTCCTGTAACTACACTTAGGTAATTACAAACACACACACACACACACACACACACACCTGTACTGTAAATAAAAAAAATCTGACACTTTGAAACTATTGTAGGATCAGAAAATTATAAATAACCTCTAGGTTATCTTATGGAAAAATGAACTACAGTTTGTAGAAGAAAAAAATCCTTCAAATATTATATTACTGAATAGATAATATTGATAGATTGTACAAACTATGGACTACAGTTCCCAGAAAGTCTTTTGTAATAATGGAATTCTAAAGGGCATTAAAAATCTGAAGTAACATAACTATATGCCAAATCTATCTTAGGTCAAGTATAGTACATCCTGTATATGTAATATACTAGGCCTAGGAAAAGTTTGGTTTTGGTCGCCTTCTTTCTTGGACCCTCTACAAAATCAATGGTATAAATGTTGTTGTTGTTGTCTTTTGTTTTAAGTAATCCACATTTTATACTGACCATCAACAGTAGCTCGATATAGGTGCTCTAATTTTTGCAGGATAGGTTAGGAAGAAAAAAATAGGGCAACATTGCAGATACTTAAAAGTGGATATTTTTGAGAGAAAACCCTCAAAACACTCCTGCCACAAGTACAGCACACAGTGTAAGTCAAGCTCAGAATGAGTGGTATTAGTGATAAATAACACCCAAATACCTGTTTCACAAACCATGCAGCACCTCTCATCTAGGTAAACCCACACTAGCAAAATTAAAATTTAGGTATTTAAAACAATGTGCATGTGCAAATTTACTCTTTCTAGCTCATGCAGTGAAGGAAGCCCGCACTGTATTTCAGATTGACCATCTTCAAAATATTGTACTGTATATGAAAATAACAATGTGTTCTGTGAATCATTTTCCTCATTTTTAATTATACATTTTGTTAATATTGCTTGTAATATATGTGTATATGCCTAACAGGTAACTCTAGGATTTGGTCGAGGAGCATGGATGTGGGGGTGGCGAATAGGTCTGTTCACGGGATCCTTCGTGTTTTTTACTTCGACCATATCTGTTTACAGAGGGAAGTCTTCAATTCTGGAGTGAGTAAAAATATATTTTGTGTGATTATAAATGTGTTATATACAGGTACTAACCATTTTAGGGTAAATATCAAAGTTATATATTGTATACATATTAACTTCCCTTAAAATAAAGTTAGTGGATTATCATATGTTGATCTCCAGGAAAATGCAATGATCTTCAATGTTGAATATAGTTATTATTACCCGATTTTTATACAAATGAGTGTGGGTTATAATACATTACTGTATATGGTTGTAATGGGAGTTAAGCTAGACCCATGACATTTTTCTTGTTTTTTTTTTTCTAATGGCTTACTATATGATGAGATAATCATATACTAGTGTCAGCTGTTATAAGCACAACTTGATTTTCCCCTATACTGGTGTTTGAAATTTATTTCTAGACATTACCATAGAGAATAGCAGCAAAGGAGTGGTTGCAAGAGTTGATTTAAATGTAATAAAGTTGTACATAGCAATTTGTTTTGTCAGGGACAACAGCCTGTGTGTGTATGAGTGTCACTAACACTTAAGGTACCTATTTACTGCTAAGTGAACAGAGGCATTAGACGAAAGGAAATATGCCCATTTATTTATTACCCGGAATTCCCAATTGTGAATCTAGAATAAACCCAACTGTATTACTGTACTCAGTCACGGTTATATGCGTGTTTTTTCACTATACACAAACAACCTATCCTGAGCATCCCAACCTTTTGTGATATATGGAAAGTCAGCAAAATTGTACAGATCCACAGATCCCCCACATCCAGCTTCCTTTCAACATGAATGAAATACAGAGAGACATAATATCCGTTCCTTCCTTTCTCCACACCCCATACAGGGAGAGTGGCATTATTTACAACACCTGCACTTAGAGGGTTAATATCCTAAACCTTAAAATATATAATTATAAACAAAACCAAGAAATGTTTCTCTAAACAACTAAAGCAAGGCAGTCAAATATTATTGGTACGTAAGGTTGCACCTCTCGGCAACCAAATTGATGGTTCAACTCTCCATGTTCAAAAGGAGTCTAATTAATGAAGTGATGGTACCTGGTTTCTTGTTCCATTTTGCCTGACTTTTTTGTTTTTGTTTTAGCTGATTTGTCCTAAACTTCAGATCACAACTTACCCCACAAGAGGTGTTAATAATAAAAAAAAAAAAACTTTGCAGGTACTTTGCAGCCGGTGGCATTACTGGGACTGCATACAAGTTGAAACAGGGACCTCGAGCAATGGTAGCTGGTGGAATAATTGGAGCAGCTCTTGGCTCTATAGCAGGATGTATAAATCTTTCACTGATGTATCTTACAGGTTTGTTGATGCATTAAATTTTGTTAGAACCTAATTATGAAGAATTTTACCATGGAGTGTCAATAATAACACATGCAGCCATAAAGTAATAGTTTTAAAGATTGTTAAACCATCATTTTTACCCAAATCTCATGCAATAAAAACTGTTGTTCATGCACATGTAAACAGATTTAACAAATATTAAATGGATAAAACATTATCCAAGATATATAAAATATGAACTGGTGTGTGAAACTAATATAGCAGGAGGAAATGAAGGTGTAAATATGCAAGAATTATAGATCTTCCTTTTTTCTTTAAACTGCTAAATTAAATGTTTACAGTTTATTTAAAATTTCTCCAAGTATCAAAGAGCCTTAAAAATAAAATTTTTTAGTGTGATAGTCTTTATTTTATAGTATTGTTTGACTTGCCCACACAAGATACTACATGCAGAATAGATTCATGACATGCCTGTGATTTCATTCATAAATTGAGGCACACAATCAAACCTGTAACCACGAACTCCTCAAGCACACCTATCTATTACAATTCATTCAGTAGTGCATGTCCATAAGGATTCAATTCAACTGTACAGCCTCAGTAGTTATTAATACTGTACTGTATTATAAACACAAATCTGTTTTCCCCTATGATAAGACTTGTTCCTTTCAAATACTCGTACAACTCTTGTTATTACAAAGGCAAACACTAATAACATGTATCCATTACAGGCACATCAATGGAAAAAATTAGGTACTGGCGGTATGAATGGAAGGAAAAGTATCAAGCTGAGAAACTAGAAGAATTACGTAAGGCAAGAGTTGCTGAACTTAATTCACTCACCAAGGCTCATGAAGAAAGAACTAATACAGAAGAAATGGCTAGTAACACGCAAGACTTATTGAAAGGTATTGATGACAAAGAAGAAATAAATACCAAATAAACTGTGATAAAACAATTGTAGAATTCTGAAGATATTGGTTAAAGCTGTGTAATGTATTGATTAAAGCTGTATAATTCAATAATATTTTAAAATTTTCCTTGTGATAGGCTTAAAGTACAAATAATTAATATTAATGATGGTGTAAACAGGAAGAAAATAGGAAAATATTAGATACATTTATTTTATTTCATTAGTTGTATAGCACCACTACTGTAAATTTGTTGCTGGGCTCTAGCGAGTCACAAATTTATAACACGGCTCATATGTTACTATAATTTTTCAGGCCATGCCAATGCATCAGAATGTGTAACATGATAGTTTTCCACAAAAAACAATCCATGCATTTAGCACAGGGGATGTATTCCAGCAAGATGGAGCACTATATAGGGTCATTATAGCCTAGTCCCTCTGGAGATGCATTCTGGGCATCGTAATTTATTGTAACCAACATACTAGTTCCTAGTGTTATGTCAACAATAATACAGATGCTAAACATCATTACTAATTTTACAGTAACAATTAAGAACCACAGTTTAAATAATACTGAAAGTTAACTAATATCTCACCAATGCATAATGCAACCCCAAACATAGTGAACTTGACAGCACTAGAAGACAATATGAGTCATTTCTGAGAAGATTAGCCAGGTTGTGATTCATTCTTCTTAAAAGAAAGCATCAAGAGTTAATTGCTTTACCTGAAGTTGATCTATTAGTGGCAGTTCTTTGTAGCAAGAGATTGCATCAATAACAATTCCCTTTACTGCAGGACTACGGTCAATATCTGTCACTTTCACATTAGAGATTCAGGCCAACTATGATCTTATTGATCTTTCTCAAAATTCTTGTGGTGTAGTTTTTTGGGTACAATCATCATCTGAAGTCATTGTTGTCCTCCACAGACTGCTGTTGTTCTAGTTCCAATGGCTCTTCATTGTAAAACTTGCCTGGTTAGACTAGCTCCTGAGCATTGTTAATATTAAATTAATTCATTCCAAGTTGTCCGGAAAGGGTAATGTCATTACAATCAATGATCCACTGCCCTACTTTCTTCCAGCCACTGTTCTTGCAAGTGTTAGTTCTGTGTCTTCCTTCCAGGATGCCCAATGTTTCTCATGATCTTCATAATGTCAAAGGGTTCCCGGAAGTCCTTAGCTGATGCTGATCTTTACTACAGTATCTATTTCTTCTGCTAATTCCTTGAAAATGCAATGGTGATGGTACAGCTTATAATTTTATATGATTTTCTGATCCACTGGCACAATAAATGAAGTTATGTTCAGTGGAAGAACACTACTTCCACAAAAACTAATAAATTATATAGGCTTTCTAAGTTTTGGGATGACCAGGAAGATGTTTCTTAGAATCCCACTACATTCATTAGGACATCATCAAATGGTAGATAAACATTGGGTTTTGCATGCACATAAAGCATTCTTTACTGGCTTTAAACCCTAAACTGCTTCTCTTCTCAGATGAAAGTTTGTAACAAAATATATGCTTTCAATAAAGGTTGGTTTAGTTCATACTGAAGACAAGCTAGGAATGATAGTTAGCATGCTCAATAATTGCCTTTGAGCATGGCAGGGAATTCAAGCATTGAATGGTGGTCAGCACTTGTTGTCTCACCACATGCAAATAGTTGTCGATCATTCACTTCTTTCTTTTATATGCATGTGAAAATGCTCTTTTCTCTTTCCAAGATCATTAAATGGTTACAAACAAGAGTAAAGGAAAATGCAGAAGGCATATTGGCCCATATGAGGTAGTTTCTAGTTATACGTACCCAAACTCATTCATATACGTGTATAACCTATGCTCGAAACAATCAAGCAATCACATGTTTGTTTTGTTACCCAGTAATTTGCTCCATAAGTCAATCATTATACAATGTTTCCAAACCAGTATTTACCCAGGTCTTTCCTGACACTAAACTTATCCATTTTATATACTGTATATTGTTTCGTGTTTTATTTTTTTGTTTATAGATTTATGGGGTCTGAGTCAACTTGACTCTAGAATGTTTTCATTATTTACATTTCTTTGAAATTTTGCCTTAAAACATAAGCATGGTGACTAAAAAAAAATTGGTTTAAACAAATTTTAAATAATACAAACATACATTTTAAATAATTTTTTAAATCCATTTCAGATTTACAAATTTTACTGAGGAGTCATTTTGGTGGTTTCATTGAAAAGACAAGACAGTTCTATAGTTGTGTAAAAGGAAATTTCTAATTTTTGTTTCCAAATAATAATAATAATAATGATAATCATAATCATAATACAAAATCATGAATTCTATATTTTGATTTTTTACCCAAAATTCTATCTTCATAATAAAACTCAAACACAAATGTAAAGCCTGCTGAGTTGTGTAGTGTGAAAATTTCCTTAACCACTGAACTGCGCAACACGCCTGCAGGCCCTCGACGAGGGGTGAGCAATGCGCCTCCGGGATCTTATATTTTTAGCTTATGATTCAAAACTCCCGCGGCTACATAGGGTTCACATCAGCTTCCTCCGAGCTCTTGTAAACAGATGCTATTTAAAAAAAAAATCATGGTCCACATTCCCGGGTGTGAGAGCCTCAGTACTGAGTGAGTAACCAAGGTCGGCGCACGCAGCATGAGCTCACAGCACTGCTGTTCATCTTGTGGCCACAGCATCGCCTAATATGTTAAAATATATATATAACTGGCATTATTTAGCCAAGATAGTATTACAGAAGAGCCTGAGTGTGATAATGACTGTGTACAATGTTCAAATATCAGTGAATCAATGCTGTTCACGATGTTCACAATGCTAGCCACAGCACCACAGCATTATTTCCTCCATCTAGGAATCTTCAAACGACTTCTTATGTTACTTTACAAAATAAACTTGTGGTCAATTATTCATTTACAGGATTTAGTGACCAAGATTGTGATAATAGCAGGATTGAGGTGATAATTAGCCCTGTGCGTAGTATTGTGGGAGGAGGAAGTTTGGTGAGGGAGGGAGGGAATCCAGATAGCGTCACTGTGTGAGACAGCCACTCTTGCTAGCTTAGTGGTTCAATATGGTGAACACATATGTACATGGGTATATACAATATGTGTGTATATAGTGTAATAACAGCAACAGGAGTATGTTGGGTGGAGCCATTTTGGTGAGGGAGGTGGCGTCGTACTCGTAGCGACGTCTGCTGGCTGCAGTGTGATTTCTCGTGCAGTGTATGGTGGCCACTATGCTGTTTGGATACAATACCAGCTTACTTGCATAGTTATCATGAATAAAACATGTAGATACGTATACATAACGTGTGTAAATAGTGTAATAAAAACAATGTCAACAGGCTATTCTACCTCTTCGCCCTTACATCATTACACACAGAAATCACAATAGCGCGATGCATCAAATGAACAAGCATAATGAGGTAAGGGCGAAGAGGTAGAATAGCCTGTTGACATAGCTCGGGTGCATGGGAGAATTGCGTAAAACCCTGGTTTGTGTCTCGGAGAGACTGCAGGAACCGTGGTAAATTAGGATGATTTCCCGGTTGCAATTCTTTTACCATGTCGTAGCTCAGTCGATTAAGGCAGCGTCTGGGATCCTCTTGGACGTAGCTTTGATCCCTCATCACGGCCCCTTGTGGATTTGTTCATTTGATGCATCACACTATTGTGATTTCTGTGTGTAATGGCAAGGCGGGCTCATTTGCACCGCGCTGGGTGCAAGCAACAATGCCACACGTAGCTCCAGACAGACCGAGGGGTAACGAGATGTTGGGTGTCCACATGATCGAGTATATGCCAGGATAAGCATCACGGGATAAGGGTAAACGTGCCTGTATAGTATGCAAGAACACTACCCGAAGAGAACAAAAGCGAAGATGCATCAGCACCGGGTGCGTGGAGTGCAAGGTTCCACTATGCCCCGTTGGCTGTTTTGCAGCATATCACACACTCGCGGAGTTCTGAGTGTGCTTATGGTGTGTGTATATAGTGTGTGATACTGTATGGTGTGTAAATAGATTGCATATATATACATAAATTAGCATGATACATTGAAAATATGTGCAAGATATGTGTACACATGTGTGATGCACGTAACACAGTGTCTTCGGACAGTATGGATGTTCTACTGCCATAATGTAGTGTACATGTACATTATACATAGGATTAGCACGAAAAAACAAAAAATGTATTTGGAATTGTACGCAAAAAATGAACAAAAATACTGTATATTCGTGGCAACTCGCCCATCTTGAACCGGGCGCTCTACTGGCCCCAGGAGCGTACGTCACGAGCAACCGGGGAATGATGACGTCACGCGCAAACTTACAGACCCCATTGCAGCCAAAGTAAGTACAGTTTTGAGTTTTTGTTAACATATCAATACTCAGGGAATGGTTTTGACACTTTAAAAAAAAAATAAAAAGAGAGAATTTATTTCCTGCACACAGGGGGAGAGAGGTGACATATTTGGAAGGCATGCAGCACAGTGGTTAAAATGGCAATAAACACAATTTATAAAATATAAAAATATCACAAAATTGACCGACTCCTTAACAACTTAAATATTCCACTTCAGACTTATTTTGATCTTTTCCACAGTTTAACTAAAAGAAATCTCTATACTCTACTTCAAATAATTTGATCTGTACTCACCCAGTGCTGTCCGGATCAATCGATGAGAATACACTGAACTCGGTTGCTGATATACCACGACGTTCATCACTAACTGAGCTCATTCTACTTAGCGGAGCCCCTGGCAAATCCTAGATAGAAAGAGATGACATTGTGAACTAATGTACATGTAATGTATGTAATAATAATAATAATAATAATAATAATAATACACAGAGAAATCACAGTGACATGATATACTGTATCAATAAGAAAATCCACAAGAGCCACGATGAAGACTCGAAGCTATGTGCTGGGTAATCCCAGACACACGCTCTAGAAGACTGGGCCACGATGTGGTAACAGAACTGCAAACAGGGGCCAGATTCATGAAGCAGTTACGCAAGTACTTACGAACGTGTATAGCTTTCCTAAAACTTTGACGGCTTTGTTTACATTTATTAAACAATTTACAAGCATGAAAACTTCATAATCAATTGTTGTTATTGTTATGAACAGCCTACTAGTGCTTCAGAGCTCATTAACTGTTTAATAATTGTAAACAAAGCCGCCAAAGATTGACAAAAGCTGTACAGGTTCGTAAGTGCTTGCGTAACTGCTTCATGAATCTGTCCCCTGGGGTTCTCCTGAACCCACGAGAGGCTTCCACTAAAGCCAAACCAGGGTTTCACACAATTCCCCCCATGCACTCTGGCTTCTGTCATCCAGGAATTCTACCTCTGATGCCCCTTTTTCAATACACACAGTAAACACAGTTACGTGATATATCAATGAGAGAATCCACGGGAGCTGTAAAGAGGCTTCAAACTCATGTGTTGGGTTCGAATCCCAGTGCACGCTCTAGACGACTAGATGTGATGTGATTTTTAAGTAAATTCAGTATGAAAAAGCATGAGAAATGAGCCACTGCATTAATCTAAAAACATTCGGAAGTGGGGCTAGGAGCCTAGCTTGGCCCTACAATCACATCTAGGCAAGTATAGTGCTGACTCAAAGAAAGATACATCACCTAGAAGCCTGCCATTTAACTCCAATACAGGAGAGGTTGGGGGGGAGGGGAGAGAGTAAACAGTCAAGAAATCTCCTTACTAGCGGAGAGCTGGGATCGAACGAGACTGGGTTTACCTCCAAACTCTTAAAAACGTCCAGGACAATTGGCAACATACGCCAGGAATTAGAGTGGAACCGGTCACATAGGTGCCTGTAGAAGAAACTCACCTGCATAGGTAAACAGGCTCACCCATGAGTGGTCCATAAAGCCAGAAGCAGACCCCATCCATTGCCAATGCTGTTGAAACTGGCCAAGGCTTAAACCCAAATGAAATTGCTCACAAAGTACAAGGCAAATGCACTACCATAATGCCACCAGGGACTCTCGAGTATTGGTTAGGTAGGTCACATGTAAAAGGTTAAACATCCATTTATATCGGATGTATTTCTTGTGTTTAATGTCCAAATATTTTAAGTGTATGTTTACTTGCCCAAATATACATGCAGAGTCCATCAAGATTAGGTCTGTGTGTGTACATGAACATAAATGCATTTTTAGTTCATTTTTGGAGAGCTATTTTCCCTGATACAGTACAAAAAAACGAAAGTCAAGATACATTTCAATTACATTTCAAGTTCAATTTAAAAGTATTCATATTAAAAACCACAAACCTGTGGCAAAAACATTTATATATTTATTTATTTGTAATGTGTAAACTTTAAATCTCTAATTACAAATATCAGTACAAATGGAACATTGTCACATTTTCTTTAAGTATGGACACAAGAGCTGACTGGCTAAACTGTAGCACCTGCTTCTCTCAATGATTGCAGCAGAGCCCAATTAACAAACAATTTATAGTGGCTAGGATAAAACATATTTTATATGAATTCAGCTTATTCAAAGTAAAATGAAATAGAATGGCTTTGAATCACATAAAAAGACATTTGGTTTGCACATATTAATCTTGTTAGGTGTGGATAGATTAGTTAGATGTTTTGTAGTTAAGAAACAACAACAGAACATACCTGATGCAAGGATTCATCAAAAACCAAGGAATTATTTCCACTGGGTCCTCCATTCTGGAACATGTGGACAAACTCTTCGAAGCTGATCCTCCCGTCACCGTCAACATCCAGCCTGCTGAACAGCTGTTCCAACACCTGCAATCCAATATCACCACAAAATATAATACTCTATGTTTAACAAATTATTTTCAAATTTGTATTTTACAACCTTTTAATATGCATATGTATGCTGATGTGTGTAATATATTTTAAAACACTGTAAAATAACAGAATAAAATAAATATACCAGGATTTTTTTCAACTTAACACTTTGGCGTACCCCGCGCGCCACCCCTCAACTGTGCGATTTGGGTTCCAGGGTGTCACGGGAGGGCGCGTAAATTCTGAAAAGTGTATACTCTCTTCAACTTTGTCACATTAATTTTTGTCCTACGAGATTAAATTTGGTATCATTGGGTTCGCAATAGAATTCTTTACAGCACTAAATGCCTATAAACTCCAAAAGCCCGGCTAATTACCCGCAGCAAACAGAGAAAGTGCAAACGAGTTACACAGGAGCGCGCAAACGCAATAAAATGTTTTCACTATTTTCACTCTGGTCACCTCAATTTTCGTCCTAGGTCTTTCATTTTGGTCTCAATGGGTTCGCAATATAATTCTCTAGAGGAACATTAGCATATAAAATAAAAAACCTGGTCACGCTCCAACCGCCGACGAGTTGAAGACGGGCCACGCGTTAGCTGCGAGTGAGCGCTCAGACGCCTTCCAGCTACACTCCCAATTCCCGCCCTTTTCAAGCCTTTCTTTCGCAATTTTCTTCCTGGAAGGGTCTTGTTCATGATCACTATCCATCGTGGAGTAAGCGCAGATAGTTTCTAAAGCCGCAGTAAGAAATATAGCCATGGAAAATAGCCGAAATGTTCACACGTTTGAGATGCGAGGGGAGGCGACATCGGTCACAACAGTGGAGCAAAAACAATGGGCTGACGGCGTCTTAATTCTCATACTGATATTCCTTTCTCTCTTTATACAGTGCTATTTACCTCTCAACCACTCTTCTCCCACTCATTACTCTCTTTTTTCCATACTACCATTTTTATCTAACACTGCCCCCTAGCATTTAAAACTTACTACAGGTACCTCCTACTATATCTTCTAATGTAATATGTGCAAGAGAAGAGAGTTGAAGATTAATGTATGAAAAAGTAAGATTATGTAATTTGAAAGAAAGGAATGAGATATCATTGTTTTTCATCCTATAGTTCAAATCACTATCTTGTCACTCTATAAGAAAATACAAAAGCCACAACATCTCATTCCATTCCCTCAAATTCTGTAATCTTACTTTTCCTACATAACTTTCAACTTTCTTCTCATGCACACAGTATGAAATTAATTCAAAATATTTTGTAATTTCTCTTCATTCTAAGCAAGGAATGATGTAGCACCTGCATGAAAACATGTCGATAACAATTTATCCCTATCACATACCACTTGCACTCCTATCCAAGGACACCATGAGCAAAGCTCTCATTCTGTAACTACATTTAGGTAATTACACACAAATTATGTGGAAAGGAATTAAAGAATTTGTACAGTAAACTGTTGCCAGAGGAACACATAAAGAACATTGTGAGAGGAGCATGTGTGTAGCTTTCCAACTTCAGACTTGCTTTTAATTATATGGATGGAGAAATGCTAAAGATACTGTTCATGATTTTTGCGAGACCAAAATTGGAATACGCAGCAATTGTCTGGTGCCCATATCTTAAGAAGCACATCAATAAACTGGAAAAGGTGCAAAGACATGCTACAAAATGGCTTCTGGAACTGAAAAACAAGAGTTATGTGAAAAGGCTATAGAGGCATTAAATATGGCAAAACTAGAAGATAGAAGAAAAAGAGGGGATATGATCACCACTTACAAAACAGGAAACGACCAAATTGATCAATTGGAATTCCTGAAACTACCAACTTCAAGAACAAGAGGACACAGATTTAAGCTAAGGAAACAAAGGTGCCAAAAAATATTAGAAAGTTTTCTTTTGCAAACAGAGTGGTAGACTGCTGGAACAAGTTAAGTGAGAAGGTGGCAGAGGTCAAAACCTTCAATAGTTTCAAAGTATTATATGACAGAGTACTGGGAAGACGGTACACCACGAGCGTAGCTCTCATCCTGTAACTACACTACGGTAATTACACAGTATAATGACTTGCCTCATTTGCAACCTTCTCCATTCCAATTGCATGACAGACAGTAGCAAGCTCATCCAATGAGAGGTAACCATCATGACCGACTCCTAGACGCTGCCATGTTGCACGCAGATACTCCTGTAAACATAAAGGTTTAATCTTTTCAATTTTAGCAGACCCACTTTTTTTTTATCAGCACTAAACATATATGAAAAATCTCCAAAATCATACTTTTCCATCGAAATCTTTAAAACAATAATCGTTACATCTTAAAATTAAATTTTATTGATAAAATTTTAGTACATTAGAACACTGAACTTTTTCAAATTCCCTTGATACCAATTTTTGCCTTGCTTCCTTTTAAAGATCTGACTCATTATACCTTACATTACAAGCATAATTTTGCAGCAAAAATTAAAGGATAAAGAAAAGCAAAATATCCTAGAGAACTAGTATAGAATTTTTTTGCACCACTAAATCTGTTGCTGTTGTATTTTTATATTGTTATGAATACTGTCTATACACCAGGTGTTTCACCATTGACAAATATTTTCTGTTCAAACCTATACATAATGACATGTATACCCAATTACCCTTTAGGTGTTATTAGTCATAAAGTCATATATTATATTATTTATAATTATAACTAAAACAAATTTTTATCAAATTTTGGATATGACATTTATAACAATTTAAAATGTGTAGGTTGAGAAATAATGACATATTTACAAACCTCTTCATTGTCCCCAGAATAGGCAAGACTGTTGGGCTGACTACTTTGACCAGCATCTTGGTTTATGGTCCCACTTGTACTTAGTCGTTCCTCAAGGTCTTGCAAGGGCTGCAACATCACAGTTACCATATGAATTATTCACCAACATTTTTCGTTGAAAGTTCACCGACTTTAATTTAGGTTAAAAACAAATCCAATAATCATCCAAATAAATTTACGAGCACATGAAATTTTTCCACATGTTAATCAAATAGAGATGTAAAAGTGATTGAGTGTGATCTGAAGACCTGTTGTAATTTTATACATTATATAGGTCATTACTTGTCCAAGACATCTTTTTTATTTTTTTATTTATATATACAAGAGTTCTTACATTCTTGTAAAGCCACTAACTAGCATGTATAGCATTTCAGGCAGCTTTATGAAGATTGTACAATACAAAAACAATAATATAGGTACAACTACCTGACTTGCACACACAGCAGAGCTTGCGTTTTCAGCATCATCTTCAACTCCTGGCACAACATCTGAAGAACCTTCCATTTCAGTAGTTTTAGTTACCCCTGAAGATTTATGAGCACTCATTTTTCCTCCATGTGCTATATATAATGCATCTGATATATATTCCTGAAAAGATAATACAGCACTTATTAACTACTGTACTAATGAATACACTGCACTGTAAAGCCTTAACTCTTGCACTGCAATGAAAATCTGAAACTAAAAATCCAAAATAAAACAAAGTGCTTAGTGTAGAGTGACAATACAATTCCTTTAGTTGAGCACAGAAAGCCTGTGTATATACCAGTACCGTGTGTGTGTGTATATACTGAACTTTGGGTTTCGATCGAGGCCAATCTTCCCCCCTCCCCCCACACTAATGTCAAACTGCTGACCCTCCCACCAGGATTCAACCCCACAACAGCTGCCTAATTCCCAAGTACCAATTTACTGCTAGGTGAACAGAGGCATTAGGTGAAAGGAAATGTTCACAACCATTTCTGTTCTGCTTGAGAATTGAACCTGGGATCCCCAACTGTGAGTCCGGTACAAAGTCAACTGTACTACGAGACCCTGACTATATGGTGCTATACAAGTCTATATAGTGTCACATGCTAATACAAAATACATTAGCATGCAAAACTTATATAATTAACACTACATTTATATATTGACAGCATAAGTTTTTTTATAGTATTCAAGATCAGTCTTGAACAGTGCACACGATAATCACAGGTATCTCACTATAATAAAATTAGGTCCACAGAAAATTGGATACAGTGGAAGGATAGTGTAGGATCCAATGGTTTATATGTGTGGATAACCAATAAAATAAAAGTAAACCTGAATATGCAGAGCAGATGAAGTAAAAGTAAAAATTAAAACATTTAAATAATTTGTTCAACTTGATGTTAAAATACTGTATCTCAGGACTAAATACATTATATATGTATGTAGTTTTGATTACATTTCTACTAGATCCACCCCTGCCAGTGCATCCAAATTTTCTGTTGCACTCTTCAACTTTTTTACTACTTTTTAGAACAATGTTTTTTTTCTAGTTAAAGCAATACAATATGCAACTGCAGTAGTATACTAAAATCAACCTGAAAATTTTATTTCTTGCATACAAATGCAAGATTTTATAAATGTAAAAGATTTTAGACCTCAATGCCCATTGTACCATCAACTGTGTAACTATTTCATTGAATCAGGTGTACTGGACGACACCCCTAACAATTTATCCAAAATTTGCCTGTCCATTTTAAAGAATGAAACAATTTTATTTATATTATTTTTAAGCTGCATCTCTTATTAATCCATCCCTGCCCTTGTGTGGCAGTGCACAATAGAAAGTTGTATCTACATATTCGTACATTGAAACGTGTATACAGTCTAATGTAGTTCCTTGTAATCATGATATATATGTGCTTCAGCCTTCAGTTTAGACCTATTGTCTTGTGTATGACCCTCTGTCCTGTGTAACAGTGAATACCAGTATTACCCTCACTCTAATAAGACCTAATTGAATTCCTTAGATTAGGCAAAATTTTAATTCATTTTTGTCAATAAAGATGTTAATAATAATAATGTTATTCTGTATGAATTTAGTTTCCATCAGCACCTCAATCTAGTTTAGAAGGATTACATGATTATTTAAACACTTTCGCACTCTCGTGGCGCCTAAACGAGTCACCAATTTTTCTCTCGAGACCGAGGATTTGACTCGAGAATGAGTCCAACAAAAAAATATTTGTATAAAATTAATTTTTTATCTCATCAACTTTGGGGTAGTTTCAAAATGAGTGCCTTCAAATTGCACACAATTTGATACCATAATGAAAGATATAACATGAATCTTGAAGTCAAAACACTTGAAAGATTATAAATACGATTTTGGGCCAAATTTTAAAATATTTGTTGAAATTCTATTTATTGTGCTAATATTATGGGGACTAGTTTTAAAATGCGTGCCTTTTGATTGCAAACAATTTGATACCAAAATGAAAGATGTAACATGAACATTTATGTCAGTACACTGGAAAGATATAAGTAATTTTGTGATGATGAGTGTCCAAACTCAAAATATTTGTTAAAATTCTAGTTATTGCTCTATTATTATGGGACTAGTTTTAAAATACGCTCCTTTATATTGTGAACAATTCGATACCAAAATGAAAGATATAAGACAAAAATTGATGTTATCAAACTGAACGAGTATACACATTAGGCCGTGGTGTGCAAATTGGTGCTCGTTCACAGATAACTTTAGGCTTTGCTGTTGAGAGTCACACCAGGCTTTTGGACATTATATGCATATACACCTGTAGGGAATTCTATTGTGAACACAATGATACCAAAATGAACAACGCAGCACGAGAATTAAGGTGAGAAAACTGAAACGAGTATACACATTTTGGTGTCCCCACGTGACGAACGGAGCACATGCTCCCCCAGGGAGTGTGTTAACATCTAATCCACTACATCAGACATTGCATACAATTTTTAATTGAATCAGGTTTCATTGGAGCATGAACCTATTGTAATATTGCAAAAACAAAATACACAAATGACCAAAAAACAAAACAAAAATAGCATATCTGTTGTTACAAATGTAACTTAACCATTCCCAAATAGAACATTATTTGAGTTAGATAACAGTGTAGGGTACATTAGTTACGATAAGAATAAAACTATGTGGCACTGACAAGTATTGAGCAATATGGTCACATCAATGCATGTAGACCTACACACCATGATAACTGAATGTTGAACCTAATCTCCAGCAAGTGTATCCTTCGAGCAGAAAATGTTTCAAGGGGTTTTAACCAAGGAAAACATTATCTGATATAAATGAATATGTAGAAGTAGATACTCTCATATCAAATACCTACTATCACCCCACATCACTCTCCAGCCTTAAAAGCCCTGGCCAGTCTTTGTTAATAACTCAACATTACCAGAGCCCACAAAATGCCCCTGCCAGCTTTACTTTACCAGAACCAGATCTATACAGCAACGTTCCGTGCACAAGGAAGTCATGTCGATATAAAGTGGTTAATCCTCCCGGCGTTTGTCATCACCTTCAATAGTCTTCCGCCTCTCTCCAAGCGGCCTTGAGAACACTAATCCAGATCCTTAACGAAACCACATCACACCAGCCATCCAGTAACTCTGCCATTAAAACCCCATCTACACCATGCTGATATTCCAAGTCCTGTTCGACCTCTTCAATAATAAATTGCTTCGTCCGAGTAACGGTATAGTGACCAGGACTCGCGCGCAAGAAGACAAATCCACTCAAAAAATATTTAAATCTCCTCCTTATTTGACCCTCACGAGGACGCTCAACGACCCGTTAAGTTACGAAACTATTCCCTGAATTCCCATTATTCGAGTGGCATGAACAGAAAGGTTATAATGGAGGCAGCGGCTCACCGAGATCCAGTTATGACAGTATCCAGCTAGCCATGTAAACACACCTGACATGTATAGACGACTGAACCCACAACACCTCAACAAGGCGACTCGAGCCTATAAACATCACTTCATCTATGCAGGTGGAGACATTCCAGCACAGGTTCCGATGTACAGGTACACACAGGTCCCGATGTACAGGTACACACAGGTCCCGATGTACAGGTACACACAGGTACAACTGATGGTTAGGAGAGTTACAGCCCCGCTCCTGTGCCAGGTAAATCCACTACGGGCTCACCCGAGCTACTTGGATATTTTTGTTCCGAGTAACTGAATCTAAAACAACAACAACAACAACAACAGCGGCTTCCAGAGCTAATACAGGTCGATCCTGCACGCACAAATAGTAAATACAAATCCATATGTACAAATTGAAATTGAAATTGAAATAAGTTTATCGAGGTAAAATACACACAAAGGGATGAGGTAGCTCAAGCTATTTTCATCCCGTTCAGTACAACGTGTTAATACATACATAGACACACATCACAAACAATAAACATATTACCAAACATTCTGAGAGATAAACATATACATTTCCTCCTTCACAAGTAGTATGTTATCAGACGTACACACAAATACTTTTATGACCTAGGTATACTGTATAGACAATTTGCAAGAGACATGCAGATAATTCAACAAAATATTACAGTCTTGGTGCAAAATTCTTATATCTCTCCAGAATATCATCAACCTTTCCGTTGTGACACATCCAGGCTATTTGTTCAGGAACAGTCCTTATCTCAGTGTTTCTATATACATTAATCAAGGGACAATCAAGAACATAATGGGCAAGGGTGTGAGACCTTAACATACCACATAGTTTACACTTGGTGTCATTATCATGAACACCTATCCCATATTGCCCCACCCATAGCCAGTAATATTTGTACCCAAGCCTGAGCCGCATGTACCCAGAGTCACTCCAAGCATTTCTCCTTTGTACATCCAGGCTATTTGTTCAGGAACAGTCCTTATCTCAGTGTTTCTATATACATTAATCAAGGGACAATCAAGAACATAATGGGCAAGGGTGTGAGACCTTAACATACCACATAGTTTACACTTGGTGTCATTATCATGAACACCTATCCCATATTCCCAGTAATATTTGTACCCAAGCCTGAGCCGCATGTACCCAGAGTCACTCCAAGCATTTCTCCTTTTACCATAAGTGAAATGGGTGTTTTGACTCACATACATGTAGTGTTGCATGGTTTGACTTCCCTCATACATTATACCTCTCCTCTCCACTCCTGCCTGTGCCTGAATATTTCTGATTTTGCTTCTTATTTGTCTCATTGTGAATTCACATTCGATGTCAACTTGTGGTTTTGATGTGGCACGTTTGGCCAAGTCATCCGCCACCTCGTTGAGCACTATTCCAACATGAGATGGGATCCACATGAATTTCACACTATGACCTTTCAGCTGTATCTCAGTTATTCTTCTCTTACAATCCTCAACTATAGACATGAAGACTGGGTTTCGACTGTTTAAGGACTCCAGTGCTCCTCGGCAATCGACAAATACAAAAACATTTTTGTCGTCATGACGTACTTCCTCCAAACACGCCAGAATGGCCTGCAGTTCAGCTTGTGTGGATGATATATAATTACTAAGCCGGAGTTCAATTATCCTGTCCACAGTCCCAAACTCCGTATATTCCCTTATTAGGACACGACACCTTGCCCTGCCATCCTCCGCCATCCTCATAGAAACACTACACTTAGTGTAGAAACACTACACTAAGGAAACAAACATAGGAATGTGCCTAAATGCCAACAGTGACTGCCCAGACAGGTACAAGAGGAGTGTTGTTAACGCTTATGTCGACCGTGCTCTCAGCCACAGCTCAGAATGGAAGCAAGTCGACGAAGAAATCTGTAGGGTAAGGCAGGTCCTAGTCAACAACGGCTTCTCCAATGGTTTCGTTGAAGACATCATAAGAAGGAAAGTGAAACGCCATGCAACCTCTGAAGAGACAATTAACACAACACCTATACCCTCTGTTAGACTATTTTACAGGAACTTCTTTTCCACAGCTCATAAAACGGAGGAAAGGGTCCTGAAAGATATTGTTAATAGAAACGTTATCCCTACAGACAAAAATCAGAAGATACAACTGACGATTTACTATAAAACCAAAAAAACGGCCAGCCTACTCATGAGAAACTCTCCAGACACAAAGCAGAACGCTTTAAAAGAGACCAACGTCGTCTATGCCTTCAAATACTCTCTTGGGGACTGTAAGCCTCAAAAAACTATATATATAGTTATATATCATATATAGGCAAGACAACAACATCTCTTTCCAGGCGATTAACGATGCATAAGCAACAGGGCTCCATTAAGGAACGTAATGGAGCCCACAACCAAACCATCACCAGAGAAATCTTAGCAAACAACACAGAAATCATCGATAGATACAGCGATAGCAGGCGGCTTGACATCTGCGAGGCACTACACATCAAGAAGTCAACACCAGCAATCAACAGCCAATTAATGGACAACTATATTCTACCCACTTCAAGACTCCGCTCCAATATAGAAGCATCAAGAAATATGGGCCAATAGGCCCTCTGCAATTACTTCCATTCTTACCTTCAATACCCATTGTTTCGTGTTCTATCCTGTGTTGAAAGTTTTGTTCACCTCATCCAAAACTGTTGTAACATATCACCTCACCCAAAATGTGGGTATAAAATGAAAAATGAAAGCTGTTTAAATCATAGCATAGTAAGAACTCTGTTTAGTGTTTGCAGTTAATAGTTGTGTGTGTGTAAACTAAAAGTCTTTGAAAATGTAATAAGTTATTACGAAACGCGTTCAAGTGTCGCGTCAGACTAGAAATAAAAATGAATTTTGGAGAATTGATTTTTTAATTACCATCAACAGTGAAAAGAAACATAAGAAAGATCGAGAAAATTCGTGTTAGAATTATTAATCTTATTTTTTCGGTCATATTATATATATATATATATATATATATATATATATATATATATATATATATATATATATATATATATATATATATATATATATATAATACACATGAGAGAATGTGCAGTGACTGAATATCTGACATATTCAGAGATTTGAGTAGGGATACCGAGTGATGTTTGGGGCCAGAGTTGGATATTGTCCTAATAGCAGCTTTGTGTTGAGTAATTAGAGGACGTAAATGATTTTGGGTAGTAGAACCCCAAGCACACATACCATAATTGAGATAAGGATAGATGAGGGAGTAATAGAGCGTCACCAGGGCAGGGCGAGGAACATAATATCTGATCTTAGAAAGAATGGCAACAGTTTTTGAAACTTTTTTTGATATATTTAGAATGTGTCCCTGGAAATTCAGTTCGTGGTCAATGAGAACGCCAAGGAATTTGCCATCTACTTTGTTACAAATTTGGGTAATAGTTTCTGTGCGTGGCTCAGTTTTGATTCCCCTCTTTGAGACTACATTTCAAATTGTCCCTAACATATATGGCTACTCACCCTCCTCGTCTAATATATCTATCTGTGTGAAATAGTTTAAATCCATTTATCTGATATTTAGCTAATAGTTCTCTATTTTCTACATTCATCCAAGTTTCGGTAAGTGCAATAATATCTATTTTTTTCTGTAGAGACAAGAGCATTTAATTCGTTTATTTTGTTTCTTAGACTTCTACTGTTAGTGTAATATACCCGAAGTGAATTGTTATTTTGAGGCCCTTCTCTCTCCCTGATCATTTTGCCAATTTCTTTCTCCCCCAAACACATACTTTTATTACCTCCTTCCTCCATATCAATTCCCATACCACTATCTGCTAACAGTTTAAACCCAAACAAACTCCTCTAACCACTGGTTCCACCGAGTTCGCAACAACAACAACCCCAGCCCTCGATAGATGCACCCCATCACGAGCATACATTTCATTTCTTCCATAGAAGTGTTCCCAGTTATCTAATGTGGTACCAATTTTTAAGAAAGGAGATAGATCACTTGCATCAAACTATCGGCCAATTAGCCTAACGTCTCTTGTGGGAAAGTTACTTGAGTCGATAATTGCAAATACCATTCGTTTTCATCTTGAAAAACATAAATTAATAAACGAGTCACAACATGGTTTTACAAATGGCCGTTCATGTGTAACAAATTTGCTATCTTTTTATTCCAGCATAGTTGAAGCAGTTGATAGTGGTAAGGTTTGCGATGTTGTGTACCTTGACTTTAGCAAAGCTTTTGATACAGTGCCACATGAAAAACTGATTAAAAAGATAGAGGCTCATGGTATTGGGGGGTGCTATATTAAAATGGATTAGGGCATGGCTATACCAAAAGAAACAGAGTTAGTATAAATGGGGTTAAGTCAGAGTGGGAAAATGTAAGTGGAGTGCCTCAAGGCTCTGTCCTGGGATCTCTGTTGTTTATAATATATATAGATGATTTAGATTCGGGTTTGAGTAGCAACATTTGCAAATTTGCCCTGCCATCGCCTTTCCCGGGACAACAAAGTGCTGAAAGATTGAGATTAATGACTCTTGTTGCATTTGTCATTTCGTCTTTTTCCATGGGTAAAGGTTAGAGTACAGTGATCAGCATAGGCTTGAACTTCAGGAATGAGGGGTAGTAGATCGTTGAAACAGACATTAGTGTGTTCGGCCCTTGGCAAAGGGCCAAGCTTTCACTACTGCCTGGATCTCCAGTTTGTGGACTAGTCTCTTATGTGGTACGGTGTTAAAGGCTTTCTAGCAGTCCAGAAATATGCAGACTGCCCAGCCCTCACTCTCTCTTGCCTAATTTTTGTTGCCTGGTCATAGAACTCAATTAAACCTGTTAGGCATGATTTGCCATCTACCCATGCTGATGTTGTGTTACACAGTTCTTTCTCTCTAGATGTTCTACCAGCTTTTTTCGCACAATCTTCTTCATCATCTTGCATGGAATGCAAGTTAGGGACATTGGTCTGTACTTCAGTGCCTCTTGCCTATCACCCTTATTGTATATTGGGACTATATTGGCCGTCTTTCA